CTGTTTCAATGGCATCGCAATACTACTAACCTGACGAGGGTCTCCTCTATCATAGACCATCTTCATCACAACCTTTTGTCCGCGTTCGCCGGCTCGTTTCGAAAGCTCCCGAATTCCATTGGTAACTAAGGTGGCGGCACCAGAATGTATCCAAAAGTTTGTGCCAAGGAACACCTCATGCTCAGCTCTGGCAATGCAATTTCCGAGGTGGCGGCAAAGATCAGGTAGAGGCGAAACTATTGTCAGAGGGACTACCCCGGTACTTCCCAGCAGGGGAGGAGAGACGACTCCGGTTTCAGCCTTCTTTTCAACCGCGCGTAGTGCATCAAGGTACACCTAATTTGAGTCAAGTGAGTTAGATTGCCTTTCTCGTGAACTGAGCTCAATTAACTTGACTGACTTGAAGAAATAATTCGCTGGGCTCTGTTGTGCCCCATTTTCCACAGGCCCGCGCCTTTTCGAAAATGCTCGATTCTTGAGATTCCTCCTTCTTTTCCTGCGTTGAGTTTGAGGGGCCTTGCTTCGTGTCATTTGATATATGGTGGTGATCATGGTATAGACTCTTAAAGACCAAGGAGGCACTCTGCTTTGGATCCTTCGCCAGTTCTGAAGTCACAGTCGCCTCGGACTCCATGTTGATGCGAAATTGATTTGACTCTGCCGATGATTGCCAAAAGAGAAAGGTAATTGCAGCAGCTGCTAGAAAAGTTGAAATTATCACACTTGGAATAATGGATCCACTGAAAAGTTGCGGACTATCGCCCATCCCAGTGATTATTTTGTCCATGGCCGGGTCATGGATGACGTAGGAAATAATATGGAGCTCTCAGGACCCCAGGGCTCGAAACTATGTAATTTATGATGTTACTCGTACCTTGGACCCTCACTAGCTGATTTTTCTATCGAATCCGATCGAAGATAATGCTGATGCCTAGACTTGTGGACTTCGAGATGCTTTATGGAATACAAACCAATCCCCATTTTGTGCCTTGTTGCTCAGCCCTATCAAGCCAAGTGACGTCATCTACATCTACACCAACACCAGCCATCGTTTGCCTCTCCTGTTTTCTACTGTGATACAAAAGCAATTATTTTATCATCATCATGCTGTCTGTCTGCCCGGTTTCCTTTTCTCAAATACAGATAATCGTGTAGAGTGGTCTCAAAAATGAATGGCCTCTGGAACCCAAAAGACGCCGTGTCTACGGCCGTACGTGAAATGTTGGGGTCAAAGTTCGAAATACTTTGAATTAATTGGCGGGGCATAAAAACAGGACCTACATGTACAGTGCAATTTTTGTCGGAACTCAACGGACTGAGCTGGCTGCAGGTTTGAGAGGTGCGTGCAACAGGATGTGTGGTATCTGCATCTACGTCAGTCCCACACTAGCCTTGTAAGGCGTTTCAGGTGACGTGGAATCGCCAGCAAAGCTTAGCAAAGCTTGTTCATGGCAAACGAGGAAGGATTTGCGCCATGCAGCGCTTTAAGAATAATGGATATTAGTGCATTGACCCCTTAGCAAAGTCTCGGGGGCTCGCTGAGAGATTCCTCCAAAATGTCTCTATCTTTTGAAGCCTGCAGGGCTCGGGGTTTTCCCTGCGGCCCATATTTCGAATAAGATCGAATCGAAATATAAAGGCCTTATGGAGAACGGCATGGCTATATGCTCAGAAAGACGCGGACTGGATTGGATAAGAATAACGGCGAGCCTGTTTCGTGTTTAGCAAGCGCACGCGAAACAGAGCGCCTATTCCATATGATTCAATATTCAAAGCCCATTCGCTGCTCTGTATTGAGAATGTGCTCTTCCAGCCTCGGGCACTGTGGCTAGTGCTTTTAGAAAGGCTTTCTGAACTGAAATCTTGTCGGGGGTTCGGCGCCGGGGAGCGACGAAGTGATATCCTCATCCACTACAGCGTGGGGAGTAAAGATGCCCTTTTCTGTGCGAGTTCCGTACTGCAGCGACGAGCATCAAGAACCTTGAATGAAAGACCAGAATTTTGTCTCGACTCTCCACCTCGGAAGGGACACTCCCATTGTTCGGGGATTAGCATATCCTTTGCTGTGTAGGGGGGGGGGGGGATTGTTATGGCAAATTTTCTAAATTTAGGGTCTGACGTAGTGTGGTTGAGCAGATCCACTCAGCCACAAACCGCGGGGTGTTCAGCCTCAGCTCTGCGGCAAGTTCACCTTTGCATCTCCGCATACAATACAGCATAACCATCAAACACAGAACACTGAACCTCAATCCTCTAACAGACTCCTATTCCTCCTCAATCGCACGCACATACACACAATGCCGCCTCACGAAGGGCTCGTCCACCCCAAAGAATACGACATCAAAGACAGCAATGTCGAACTTATCGGAAGCGACCTAGATCACCGCGTCAAATACAATTCCGCTGTGACCGAACCTGCATGGCAAGGTCTGGGCCAAGAGCCAGGCCTCCGTGTCTGGCGCATCGAGAACTTCGAAGTCATCCCATGGCCCAAGGAGAAGACTGGCCAATTCTACGACGGTGACAGCTTCATCGTGCTACACTCGTACAAGGTCGGCGACAATAAGCTCGGACATGACATCTTCTTCTGGCTCGGAAGCAAGACCACACAGGATGAAGCTGGAACTGCGGCTTACAAGACGGTTGAACTGGACGAATTTCTCCACGGTGCAGCTACCCAGCACCGTGAAGTCCAAGCGCATCCCTCTGACGAGTTCCTTGCGCTCTTCACCCACTACCAGATCAGAAAGGGTGGGGTTCGAAGCGGGTTCACTCATGTTGAGCCCGAGGCGCCAAAGGAGATTACAACTCTGCTTCGCATCTTCAAAAAGGGTCCTAAATCTCGCACAATCATCGTACACGAAGTGGAGCCTACTTGGGAGTCTCTCGATGATAAAGACGTGTTCGTGCTAGACAAAGGCGAGAAGGAGAAGCTTTTTGTTTGGCAGGGCAAGGATTGCAGCCCCATGGAAAAGGCAAAGGCTGCTCAGGTCGTGAATGATCTGACAATCAACCTACATCGCGATCTCGAAGTCATTTCGCAACACGAATCGAGATCTAAGATCTTCGTCGATCTTCTCGGTGGGAAGGACGTCTTTGAGCGAACATTCCACTGCCCTCGTCCCGGTCACTTCCAGAAGCAAGACTCTGAGCCTAGTGATTCACCGAAGAAGCTGTTCCGACTCAGTGATGACTCGGGTCAGCTTACGTTCGATCTCGTCAAGGATGGGGAGAAGGTCCGCAGGTCGGATCTGGATAGTAACGATGTGTTCCTCTATGATACAAACACTAGATTATGGGTTTGGCAGGGGTCCGGTGCCAGTGCAAAAGAGAAAGCCATGTGGCTGAAGGTCGCTCAGGCATATATTCGCCGACTCCAGGAAAGCCAAGATAATTCCGAGGCTTACTATACGCCTATCTCTAAAGTAGTGGACGGTTACGAAAGCCCTGCTTTCTTGAAGACAATCGAAGTATAGACAGCCCAGTGTAAATATAAGTGAACAAATTGTTGAATATCATCTTTTTCTATCAGACGAATCAAACCGAATAGTATGCATCATTCCCTTGCTCAGAATCAATTGTTTCTTTGACGAAAAAGTAGCGGATTCCAAGGTTGAAACAGGAAGGACATGGTAGCAGCCTGTGACCCAAACACTAACTTGAAATATTGTGCATCTAGTCACCCTTCCCAGGTGGGCACTAGCAAGAGAGAAATTAAAATGGATGAGAAAGTATCCTTAAAGAACCGAGAAATGGGAAAGGTTCTGCTATAATAGATATGTGCACTAGACTAACAAAACTCCACCATTAGTGGTCACGACCGACCCCGTGGCAAAATAATCCTTCATCAGATACAAATACGCTTCGGCAGTATCGGCGGGATATCCAACATCTTTGGTGAGAGACAGATCTTTAGCCTTTTCCGATTGTTGCTTAAGCATCTCCTTCGGAATGCGATCCAATAGCTCCGTAATTATACGTCCAGGTGTGACAACATTGACTCGCACAGGTGACAGTGTCACAGCCAGTCCTTTCATGAGACCTTCAACAGCTCCTGCAACAACAGGTGGAAGCCAGTGAGATGGCTTTCTAGCTTGGGTCCCACTCGTTAAAGTGATCGAGGATTCCTTGCCGATGGCCATGTACTTAGGAGCATGTTTGCCGATGGCTATAGCCCCATAAACTCGGACGGTCATGAAGGCTTCAAGATCGATAAAAGAAGCCTCCGGTAACGAAGCCAGAGGCGGAATGTTTCCAGCCGTGAAGACGATGTGATCTACAGGGGAGATCTCAGCGGTGAATTCGAGGAGTGTTTCGATCGTGGCGTCCAGTTTTTCTTTGGTGCTGAGATCGGCAACGTAGGTACGAATGGCGGAGGATCGACTTGGGCTGCTCTCGCGCAGACGCTCCAAGGCTCTTGCAACCCTCTCTTCGGAAGAAGAGCTGATGGTGATGTTGGCTCCGTTGGCCAATGCGGCTTCGGCGGTTGCAAAACCAATGCCGGAAGTTCCACCTATAAGGAGGATATTTTTGTTCGCAAGTCTGTTGGTAGCCATTTTGAGTGATTCAATTCCTCTGCTTGATCTGTTGTATTTTACGGACATTCTCGACACTGGCCTTTATACTATGCCAAAGTCCGGACCAATTCGTCCGCTCGTCCGGTAGGTTGGTAATATGGTTTTTCTATTAGAAATCCGTTTTTGTCACAGCCATTCTTTCTGATTTTTTCCTGCTTATATTATGTATTAATAATAACTCAAGTCAAGATAATTCCTTAGGCGTTGTTGTCTCGCCGTTATAGAGTGTAGGCGAGGCGGCACAGTAAATAGATCTGTGCATAATATAGCAAAGTGATGCACTGGAGGAACTTTGAAATGACACAGTTTCACTTTTTGAACAACCCTTTTTCTTTGCCTTTTTCTCCTTTTTTTTCTCGGCTGCGATAGAGGAATTCGATTTGATTCAAATATAGCTGATAGATACAGGGCTGAGTGAGCGACCTATCCCGTATTCAACATTTTTTGTACTCGCTTCACTAAACTCCTCTCAAACTGCTCCACCCCATCCGACTGCTCAACCATCTTCCCAGCTTTCAAGACGTAGACCGAGCGGCGGCGAGTGGTAGACTCTTCAGTCTCCTCTTCTTCCAGCCCCTCGAATTCCTCGTCCAATTTATGATCGATATCTCGTTTCCCTTCAATGACGGACCTGATCAAGAAACGGTCGTGAGATACAAGCAAGATAGCCCCATCGAATGAAGACAGGGCCGTTGCTAGTGCAGTCACCGTGTGAAAATCAAGATGGGTGGTGATTTCATCGAGTACGAGGAGCTGTGGTGCATTCCAGACGATTCTGGCCAAGGCAAGACGAACCTATACCTGTCAGTGATGCCGAAAAAAAAGGAAAAATCACGGGGAGGGTCACTCACCAACTGCCCACCGGATAGCTTGTTGACTGGAACATCCGAGGCAATCCGACCAGGGAGACCCATAGAAGAGAGCAGCCCTCTCACAGTCCCCTCATTTAAAGACCCTTCCACCTCCGCCATCAACAACGCAAGAGCCGTGAGAGATGGGTCCCCCCTTTCCCCGCTCCTGAAGCTCCTCCACAGAATGCTGCCCATAGTATCCCACTTTCAACCGGGGGTGGGTAGCTACCTTACCCTTGGAAGGCACGTTACCTCCCATCAAGATTCGCACCAGAGTAGACTTGCCACAGCCATTCAAACCCACAATGCCGACACGGTCTCCGATATGCATCACTAGATTGATATTCTCCAATATAATCCTATCATTCCTCTTGTACTGGAAGGTAACCCCTTCTATCGAAACCAACGGCCCTGGAAATCGCAGTTCTGTCGCATCAGGAATGCTCATTGATGCTCCTCTCTCGTCTTCCGGCACTTCTATCTCGGCACGACTGGAAAGATGATATCCGACCAGATCGCGATTCAACTTGAATCGACCACCTTTGGCATTCACCTGGAGCCCCATCCGATCATCAACCTTCTTTTGCCGAGACTTGGCCTGACGAAGCTTATTGTCGTCATTGGTTTTCTTGCCAGCCTTGATATTGTCGCGAATGCTCGCTTCCATATGAGCGACTTGCTTTTCCTGCGCCTCCTTCATCCGGCCCCAGTAGAGCTTTTGCTCTTCGAAGTCTTGCTCGTAGGCCGCAAGATTCCCTTTGAAGTAGTTCAGCTTTTGGTCACGAATGATGACAATCTCCTCGCAAACAGAATTGATGAAATCCCTATCGTGAGAAACAAGCAGGATGGTCGTTTGGCATGTTTCGCTCATGGCTTGGAGGTAGTTCTCCAGCCAGATTACGCCCAGTAGATCGAGGAAGTTGGTCGGCTCGTCGAGTATCATGATATCGGTTGAAGGCCCCTGTAGCAGGACGCTCGCCAGCATACATCGCATTCGCCAACCACCGGACAGTGTCGAGACTTTCTTCTCGAGGGCGTCCTCTTTGAAGCCAAGACCGAGAAGGATTTTACGAGCTTCCTTCTCCATATCGGATAGTTTCATCTATTCATGTGAGATGGTGAAAAGAAAAGGTTAAGTGGCTACTTACAGCTTCGAGTCGACTTTGGACAGTCTCCAACATCTCAATTGCAGCTTGGGTATCGGCCTGGAGAGCGTCGGCATCGATGCTTTCTGAATCTTGATTGAGTCTGTTAAAGTTAGAAATGACGATATTCCGAGGTATTTTCCCAATAAGGCTTACATTTCCTGAGAAGTCTCCAAATTTGACTCTGCTGCTTTGAGATCCTTCCTTGCCTGCAGACCCCGGGTACCGCTCTTCAGGTTTGCCATCTTTTGGGCAAGGAATAACTTCTTCGTCGCTTGCTCGTGCCGAATTTCGCGAATGGCTCGAACTGGGTGTATCGGATCCTCTGTTTCGAAACTCTTGGACAGCACTGCTCAATGTCAGCTTTGCATCCAGCGGGACCTCGGTGGCAGGGGAGGCAGGCAGGCACTTACAATCCGCCGTACGGGACGCTTGGTTCCTAGCCTCATCACTGCTGAGGACTGATTCGAGAACTCCTTTTTCAAGACTGAGTCCGTCTGTGCCTCCCGCAGTATACTCGCCATCAATCTGTTGGAGAATAGAGATGCGAGTGGGGTGTGTGATGCCAGGAATGAGCTTCTCGGCCATTGCCCGGAGAAGGGCTAAAACTGTTCAGTAAAATGGCATTTTTTTGAGGTTGGAGATCATCTTACTGGACTTTCCGGTTCCATTGCGCCCGATAAGTCCGTAGCGTATACCCGCTTTCAGCCGCAAGTGCGCATCGGTAAGAAGCTCCTTGCCCTGCGCCTTGGCCTTGGACTTCCCTTTAAGCTTGGACTTTGATGAATCATCTGTAGATTCGGGTGTGGGAGAGGCAACGGTGATTCCAAGACCTTCTACATCCACCTGTTGAAGAATGGTTGAGTGTCAAATTGAGGCTGGGTGGATGGGGTTATTTTGCAGATCCTACCTCGGCGGAAGGGTTATCATCTAGAAGATGAAAACGCGTTTGTTTGCAGGTTGCAAGAATTGTAGGAGCAGAGGTCATGCTGCGAGGCTTCACATCGAATGGTGTAAAGAAATGACCTGGTTGTGTAGAGGTGATTGATCTGTGCGGACTGGTCCCTTGTTATACGACCTGCGGCGGCAACCCTCGGACAGGTTCACGTTGATTGCAAAACCATTCGCTTGAATCCTCGTATGCATAAATGTGTCATGCTGAGCCACCAGAGCCCCACAATTCGATATTGCACCGACCATGCACATATCAAGGGGCACATGAAGAAGCTCGCACTGTTCGCCACGCGGGCTCCTAATGCGGTCTAGTGGGTTTTTGGGAGCGGCGGTACCCGACAAAACGAACAGCAGAGAGATGGAGAACAGGTGGAGATATTTGGATGTTTCCATGGACAGTACTTGACTCACGGGGGTGAGTATGGTAGATGGCTTGGCAATTTTTTGATGTGGTGGTGGTGATGCTGGTGATCCCACCGGTATTCGGTACTTGCACGGATTGGCTCACACTGAAGACCTCTTTTCTCCTTTCCTTATGACCTTTGATATTTGAGTACAGATTTGGATACGAAATTTGATCTAGGTTGAAACCCCCATTGGGTTGTTGAGTATTTAATTTCTAGTTGTGGTAGACATACTAGTAGTTGCTAGTCCTGACGAGGGTTAGTATACTTCGTCTCTAGCCTGACCGAGCTGTTGAGGCTAGTTCGACTCCTCTTCGCCAAAGATATTGATTAGACAAGACCTCGGATTTCTAGCAGTATTTAATATTCCTCGAGATGTGAAGATACAATGAACAGCAACAGGCAAACAGAAAAAGCCGGAGTACCATGTTCACATTTCTTATGATAGATACACTTGGTCACGTGGTTCACAACCTTCGCCCTGCACCATGAAATTCGGTTATTTTTATTTCAGTTACAAAATACCAGGAAATTTCCAAAAATTATAAAATGAAGTGTATGCCTATATCGGAAATGAGAATAACGAATCCAATATAACCTATAGTCATCAAGGTGTAACTTGAAAAGGTGCTAGCTTATAGAGATATATAATGTGAACATTCGGATGTAAAAGAAATTCAGAAAAACCTTGAAAAAGACACAAAACCTTACTTGAATGCTTGACGACCTCATGATAACAATCTCATGAATCTGAGGTCAAATAAAACACAGTTATAAGTGTTATATCATAAAACCTTCGACTTTTTGCCTCAGTCCCAACTCCTCCGTTACAGGCTTCAAAAAAAATTATGATTTAGCCTCAAATACGCAACAATTGAGCCATTATTCATCAAGCGGCGATGATAGCTCAGTTGGGAGAGCGCACGACTGAAGAACAACTTCAATCAGCTGTTACAGCAAATCGTGAGGTCGCTGGTTCGATCCCGGCTCGTCGCATTTTTTTGTTGTTTTTTGGTTCTGTTTCATAGATATCCACAAGATAAGTGTGCCAGTGTGTGGCACTTGCAAGTAGCTTCGCCGTCCTATCTTTTTGCGGTATGGGTAGGCCACACCAAAACGGGCATCAACAGCAGGAACATGAACGAAACTGTTCATTTGATCCCTGCTATCAACATACTAATCAACTACTAACATGCCCTAGATTGACCCAAGTTGAAGGCCCTCGTTTAATTGAAGCCTGCAAAGCGCCTTGAAAGCAGAATTTACTGCTTGTTACCCGCAAATATGGTGTTTTATATCGCCAACCCCTCCGCCCTAGCACTTTGCTTGAACAGCTATACAAAAAAAGGTATAGTGTAGTATTACGATAACCACAGTCTACACAGCAACCTTGGAATACGAGGTATCAATTGAAGCGGAGAAGACAGAGCGAGAGTGTGGAGACCTTTTCTTATTTAGATACGCACCAGTTGTGTTAATAAATGTAAATAGTAGTTGCTTTAATTTTGCGTTTTGGCTATTACTGTGGTTTTGATGTGGAGTAGCTGCTTGCAGATAGCATCGGTAAAAGGAATTTCGAAGCACTGTGAATTAATTGAGGCTCTGTTTCTGGAATTTGGGGTATACTATATCGTAAATCGTGAAGATATCATAATCCACCTGGGGCAGATGTCTAGTTCAGAGTGGCCTTGAAGCCCTGGTAAGCTTGCTCAATATCAAAGGCCAGCTCTCGCGCCTGTTCTTCACTAAGCTCCTCCGTCGCTCGCATTTGATTCAGCGCAATCAACCATTGAATGATCTTCCCACGATCCTGGAATTCCCCATCCGTTACCTTATTGACGGACTGTATGACCTCGGATAAAAGTGGGTGAAGTGCATCTTTCGATACCATGTTCAATTTCAATGCGTCGAGGAAGGTGATAAAATTCTCCGTGGCTGCAAGGATGAGACTACCCGATGCGCCGGGGGCACCTCCAGCGGTGGCATTGTTAGCCGCGGGTGCGTTGTGTGAAGCTTGCTCAACTGTTGCGGGCAGGCCAATGCGAAGTCGCTCTGTAGCTCGGGGGCATTCCAACTGTGCGTATTGTGTGAGACATGAAACGCTGTGAAGGCGGGAGCCGACTTACCCCCCAAGATCGCTTGAATGTCTCCAAGTCAACAAAGCTCTGCGATACAGACTCATCACCCAAGCTCGATTTATATTGTTTTAATAGCCGCGTGCATGTCTCGGTGTATTCGGTCTCGGTCACGACGTCTTTGATGTATGCCTTTTCGAGTCCGTCAAGTGTGACGATGATGCTGTAGATCTCGGCAAGGGATTCATAGAGGTCACGCTCTCCGGAGCTGGAGACTAGCTTGACTTCCTATTAATTGTCAGGACAGGCCTTGCCTTTCGTCCACAAACTTGCATACCTCATCCAGATTGATCGAGGCCGAGCGCGCGGGGTTGGGGGTGTAGCTGTAGGGAGTTGGCGCATAGGAGAGGGGACGCTGGGAGTACATTGCGGGAAAGCAGACGGCCTAGCAGATAGCCTAGCAGCACAATTCAGTGATCAAATATTGAAATCAATTGTCGTAAGGTCCTTGGGGTATATGGGTCTGAATGGGTAAGGTCCGAACCTCCGTTGGCTGCCCGCAGCTTATCACAAGGCGGTGAGATCGGCGGTCAGCACCGATCTGCCTGAGCCAAAATTAAAATTTTCCCGGCCATTTTTTGCTATCAAACAGCACCATAACCTCAACAATGGGAACGAAAAAGTCTACCAAGAAGTTCGAGCAACGGCATCTCAAGGATATCCTTGAGCGTCGCAAGACCAATGCCAAGGGCAAGCAACGCGCCCAGCAGAATGACAAGCGCAAGGAGCGAAGTGCCGTCCGTCGCGAGGCCCATGAGGCTGCCAACCAGCCCTCCGAGGAGCAGATCAAGAAGCAGAATGCCTATGCCGAGATGAATGTTGATGATTTCTTTGCCGGTGGCTTTGACATCCCCACCGACAAGAAGGCTAGCAAGAAGGACACCACCCCCAAGATTGGCAAGCGGAAGCGCACTGCGGACCAGGCTGAAGGAGAGGCCTCTGGCTCCGAAGCCAGCGACAACGATAACGACGATGCCAGCGACGCCGATGCATTCGACGAACATAAGGATCAGCTTGAGGCGCTGAAGGAGAAGGACCCCGAGTTCTACAAGTATCTGAAGGAGAACGATGCCGACCTGCTCGATTTCACCAACCACGGCGATCTCTCAGAGGTCGATGAGCTGAGTGAAGGCGAGCCGGTGGAGGAGGAGGGCCCCGCGAAAAAGAAGAAGAAGTCCAAGAAGAATGAGGAGGAGGACAAGGAGCCCGAGGAAAACACATTGACTATCCCCATGATCCAGAAGTGGGAGGCGTTGATGAAGGAGCAATACTCGATCCGGGCCATGCGCCAGACCGTTCTTGCTTTCCGTGCTGCCGCTCTTGTCAACGAGGCCGAAGCCGAGGACCAGAAATACGCAATCAAGAGCCCCGAGGTCTACCATCAGGTTCTCATGACATCGCTGAATGTTGTTCCCAAGGTTCTCTCGCACCACCTTCCTGTCAAGGAGACTGCGGGCGGCAAGATCAAGGTGTCGATGGATTCCAAGAAGTTCAAGACCCTCACTCCTCTGATCAAGTCCTACACCTCTTCGGTTCACCAGCTTCTGCTCAACCTCTCTGATGCGTCGACTCTGAAGATGACACTGTCAGCCATGGAGCCCATGCTGCCATATCTGCTGCAGTTCCGCAAGGTCCTGAAGACTCTGATCAAGACTGTCGTTGCTATTTGGGCTGATGTCACTACCGCCGATGCCACTCGCATCACTGCTTTTATTCTTCTGCGTCGCCTCATGGTTGTCGGCGATGCCGGTATTAAGGAGACCGTGCTGAAGGCAACCTACGAGGGTGTCGTCAAGGGCAGCCGCAACACCACCGTCCACACTCTGGCCGGTGTCAACTTGATGAAGAACTCTGCCGCCGAGATTTGGGGTATCGACCAAAACGTTTCTTACACCGCTGGCTTCAGCTTCATCCGCCAATTGGCCATGCACCTGCGCAGCAGCATCACCAACACCTCCAAGGAGTCGTATAAGACCATCTACAACTGGCAATACGTGCATTCTCTGGACTTCTGGTCGCGTGTGCTCTCCCAGCACTGCGACGGCCTCGTCGAGGCCCAAGTCGGCAAGCAGTCCGCCCTGCGTCCGCTCATCTACCCGGTCGTCCAAATCACCCTCGGCGCCATGCGCCTCATTCCCACCGCGCAGTATTTCCCTCTCCGCTTCCAAATGACCCGGGCTCTTCTGCGTATCTCTCGCTCGACCGGTACTTATATCCCGCTCGGCTCATCGCTATTGGAGGTCCTCAACTCCGCCGAGATGCGCAAGTCCCCCAAGTCCAGCACCCTCCGTCCCCTCGACTTCAACACCGCCATTCGCGCCCCGAAATCCTACCTACGCTCGCGTACCTACCAAGATGGCGTCGGCGAGCAAGTTGCCGAACTCTTGTCTGAGTTCTTTGTTCTCTGGTCCAAGCACATTGCCTTCCCGGAACTGTGCGTTCCTGTCATCGTTTCGCTTAAGCGCTGGTTGAAGCAAGTCTCAGCCCGCTCGGGCGGTAACAAGAATGCCAAGATCAACCAGATGATTCTCCTGCTTGTGCAGAAGGTCGAGGCTAACTCCCGTTGGATCGAGGAGCGTCGCGCCAACGTCACTTACACCCCACGCAATCGCACGGAGGTGGACACTTTCCTCAAGGGCGTGGACTGGGAGACTACTCCCCTCGGTGCATTTGTCAAGACGCAGCGGAAACTCCGCGAGGAGCGCGCTGCTATCCTTGAGGAGGGCCGCCGCGAAGAGGAGAAGAGGCGGGAGGAGGCGAAGAAGGGAGGTGACGACGAATTGATGAATGATTTTGGCAGTGATGATGATAGCGAGGGTGAAGGGGAGATCGAAAGTGAGGATGAAGAGGAGCTTGAGATGGAGGATGAGAGTGAAGACGAGGATGAGGGAGAGATGGAAGAGGAGTAGTCTGGTCTAGTTTAATTTGTAAATTCATGTGTTTATACCTAGGCATCAAAAGAATTGGCGTTACTGCAACTACGAGGCTTCCAAAGATATCTGATAGTAAACAAAGATAATGTAGTGAGGTAGTAGTAAAGTGCAATGCTAAACTCAAATCTGCTATGCAAGTCTAATCGTTGACATCGTATCTTTTCCGAGCGAGGAGTCTGTATTTACACAGATCCAACAGGCATCCTCTCCTGGCCCCAAGCCCTAGTCCGCTCTCTTCTCATCGCAGCATCTTCTTCCTCCGCCCACGCCAAAGATTCACTAGGTAGCATGATAGCCTTGTCAATGGCGACAGGTAATCCACGATGCCGTCCACGAAGAGCAACAGCAGCAAGAATCAACTTGCTAATAGTATGCCAAGCGCCACAGAAACTATAATTCTTCCCAGGATACCCGACGCTCACGCCGACACAACCGTACGCAGAAACAACCTCGAAGATAATATTGAAGGTTGAAAATGCGACCGGTTGGTCCTCATAGTGGTCGCTCTCAGCTATCGCTATGAACAGCACCGCGAGTGCAATCCACCATAAGTCATGACTGAGTTGGGAACGCAGTTGTTGGTGCACGAAGTACCCGCGTGAGGACTCGGTTAGCGTAGGACGACCCATGTGCTGGCGGATAATATCCATGAGCACATTACTCCGACTTGTATTAGCGGGCTCTTCGCTTTCGTCATTGGCGTAGATGCCCAGTGAGCGTTCCTCGTAGACATTGGTGTTGCGCATTGTGAGGAGTACAGGGTACGCTGAAACGTACATCATCAGCACGTATAGGACTAATAGGCCCTGGCGCAGGTCGGCGATTGTGACCACGTAGAAGCCTCCGGCTCGCACGGCTAACGCTTGGAACAAGCCGTCAAGGACGCGGTACTTGGATGGGAGGGCTTCGATTTCTTTATTTCCGATGGAGAGGAGTTCGAAGCCAGCCCAATCGATCCCGTTGAGGATTATGATTGTGCCGAGGAGGTACCAGGTGTGTCGGGCTGGGAAAAGGTTGGTATATACCCTCCGTGGATGCTCGAGGATAAAATCTAGGGTCATGCGCCATGATTTCCATGCTGGTCGGTCCGGTATCATCATTCGCATGGTCCAGATGATGAAGCGAAGAAAGCAGGGGTAAAGTGTGTTCCCAGCAAGAATGAGGAATCCCAGTGTGAGGAGAGGGTAGGCACTGAAGAAGTCAGTAGGGTTGCCAGTAGATAAAGTATAAAGTAAACTCACCTGAGTTGCAGGGCGGTCATGTTCTTATCCAGCAGAGACATGCCACTATTCACAAAGGCTGAGACGGCAAAGAAGGCACCCGTCCAAAAGGGATTCAGTCCGTTCACTTCAGCAACATCAGGGTGGTTCGCTTGCAGCCATCCTCCCACGCCAAGGATACCGAGCAGCAGGCACATGAAGAAGTATAGTGAGACAATAATGGAGAGAAAGGAAACTGCTTTGAGCTCGACACCGCCAAGCTCTTCTCGCTCAGCAGATGTCAGTCCATGGAATTGTGAGTTACGCGAGATCTTCCCTTTTGAAAAGAAGTACTTCTGCGTGCCGCGGATCATCTTATGCTTGAAACTTGGGTTTTCATCTTCGGCATACAGCGGCATTGGACCAGCCACGTCGCGGGGGTGGTTTTGAAGATCTGGCCGAGCTCCGATACCCGCCATGGGGAAGAGGGTGTGTTGACGGTGGTGTCGTGTGTGTAGATCTGCCACTGTTACTTGGTCATCGTCCACCCAGTGTTGATCATGGCGGGTAGACGATTCCCCTGAGGCTTCTTGGACGTTGACCGTGGTTGATTTCTTGCGATGCCCTGGCAAGGTCTGGCCGTTATCGGAAAGGGAATGTTCCAAGACATCCGCATTTTCCGTCTGCAGTTCCAAGACTGATGCACGCCTGGAGGCCTGTCTAGAGGCCTCCCTGGAAGCCTCGCGTTCATCTGAGACTCCTTTTAGCTTAGCCTCAAATGCCCGCTTGCGCACCATCAGCACAGTGCTCGAGATGAGAATGGCCGAGCCAAGAATCAGCAGGATAAACAGGATGACCTGCTGAAATGTGTTCAAAGTTGACAGGTCGACCTAATTACTGTTAGAAGCTTGCTGCATAAAGTGGTCTTGTCCAATGGCATACAGTATTAAGGCCCGCTCCGGTCATAGCCGACACGCACAAGAAGATGGCATCAACGTAAGCCACATTCTTCCAAGGTGTTGATGTGAGATAGAAAATGATACTGCTAATCAGACAGGTCCCGATGAAGTAGAGGTAATGCAGTGTCAGGAAATTAGCGGGCGGAAGGACGGCTGTCAAAACTCGACCGATGGGGCTTCGCAACCCTCGTGCTGTGATAATTAGTGGGTGAAAAGCCATGGAGTAGGTATAGTAGACATACGAATTAGCAGGGTGTGAAACTTCATTTTGGCGAACAAAGAACCAGCTTAGTCTCGCCCGGCCAGTTTGATTGTCGGTGTAGTTATATGGGTAGGCGTAAGTGTAGGCGTAATTCGTGCGTCGAGTGTTCTTCGCACCCAAAGGACCAAACTCTCACCCACTAGCGGCCCCGAGCGATTTGAGCAGATGCGGAGGAGAGAAAGGCGGCATTCATGGTTAAAGGGGCCAACCTGTTTCACACGAATTGTGGGTTGTTGATGAATTTTTTTTAAGAATAACGGCAAAGCCCCACTTCGCCCCTTGGAAATGGATCAGATAGGGCTGAGACGGTGTGGAATGACTCGGGTGTACTAGTAGCTGGGCGTAGGATCATTTAGCCATGCAAGCCGTCGGAAAAATAAGGAAAAGGAAGGAGGGGAGAGAAGTTGGCGTATGCAAAGAAAAAAAACGGTGAAGCTCCGGAGAATTGAGGCGGCTTGGCGGGAACAATGCGATCTTGAAGTAGAAGTATAAGGACTATGAATATCAAAAGATTGAGATGAAGACTATCCTCATTGACATCGGAAGTCTACGTGGATATTCATAGGATACCTAGGTACCTAACTACCACGGAAGAGGGATAGCTAGTAGTAGGAAGGTGAGGCATATATAGGAGGCATAGCCAAAGGGCCATGGCCTGCCCCATTCTAAGAAGTCATAGCAAATACCACTACTAAACAATTATATCCCCTCCTCTCGCACCCAATGCCCACTCTTTCCACCTTGTTTCTCTAGCAAGCGCACACCCCCAATTATCATCCCCTTATCAACAGCTTTGAGCATATCATATACTGTTAACGCAGCCCCAGTCGCCGCCGTCATGGCCTCCATCTCAACTCCAGTTCGACCAAAACAACTCACAGTCGAAACTATCTTCATAGATCCGTGATCCTGAGACTCTGTTCCAGGCTCGACCAGATCAACTGTCACCTCGACGCCTGTAATGCCAATACCCGGGTGACAAAGGGGGACAATATCTGGAGTCCGCTTGGCTGCCATAATTCCCGCGATTCGGGCAACGCTGTAGACGTCGCCTTTGTGCGTACCTTGGCCTTTGCGGAGGAGTTCCCATGGTCGTTGATTTGAGAAGGATACTTCGCAGGCGGCAGTGGCTTTGCGTGCGGTTTCGGGTTTCTTCGTGATCTGTGTCATGTGTACGGTTTGTGAAGGTGTGAGGTGGGGGAGGTCGGGGTCTGAGGCTGTAGGAAGGGAGTGCGACTTTTTTTCATCGGAGATTGGGGTGGTGGTGGTGGGGTTATTGCTTGAAGGACGCCCACTGTGGTATAAACGGGCCTGGGGGGACCCGAGATTGGCAAAGAGATGCGAGGGAATCCTCGACCAGGGAAGAAGATGCAGGCACGCCTGGTTTATACTTTGGAAAAGCTGGTCTACTATCTATCCGGAGATCAGCAGAGTCATTGAAACTTCATTCATATGTACATGGTATCAAATATCCATCACCGCCAACACGAGTCCATGAATATGCATCATAAATCATTCCAGTCATAAGGGAAGTCGGGCCTACCCACCGATAAGAATCATAGGCCGGTTCTTCATGTTCTCCAATTTTCCCATCCCAGCATGCTTCGCCTTCTTACGTTTGACGGCTGCGCCAATGACATCGAGGATTTCACGCTCCCGTTCATTGACGAGGCCACCTTCGTCGCTGAGGAGAGCCGCAGACTGCACAGTCTCCAGTAGTCGCAGCTCCTTCAACGCGCCTTCATCAATAGGCTGTCCGTCGTTCTCCCGGCGAATTATATCCCGCAGGGACACCTCGGCATTACCAAAGAGACACACTTTGAGGTTCCCATCGCTAGTAATACGTAGTCGGTTGCATGATCCGCAGAAATTATGCGTCATGCTCGTGATAAATCCCATCTGGCCCTGGAATCCAGGGACTTTATAAGTCTTGCTGGTATCATTCTTATGGTCGGTGACCTTTTCAAGCGAAGGGTATTTCTCCCGGATCATCGCCAGCATCTCCTGGTAGGGGAACATCTTGCCCTGATTCCACTTGTTGCCATCAAAAGGCATATATTCGATGAAGCGCACCTCGACGGGCATCTCGCGGCCCAACTCGACAAAGGGGATGATCTCGCGGTCATTCATCCCCCGCATAACGACGCAGTTGATCTTCAACTTGATCCCCGCACCGACCTTGTTCATTTCCAGAATCCGATCGATACTCTTCATCACCATGTCAAAGCCCTTCCGCCTAGTCATAATCTGATACTGGAACGGGTCCAGTGTATCCAAACTGAGGTTGACCCCGGTCAGCCCCGCCTCAACCATGGGATCTAACTTGCGATGCAAGGAGATACCGTTGGTGGTAAGGCAGAGCTCGCGGAGCCCGTCACGCCGCAGCTTGCCGATATCCTGCATGAGCGGGACGATGTCCTTCCGCACAGTCGGCTCACCACCTGTCAGGCGGATCTTCGTGACGCCCTGCGAGACGAAGAGGGAGGACAGGTATAAGATTTCCGGGGAGGTCAAGAGGCGTGGCTGTGGCGAGAGCTCGATGCCTTCCTCCGGCATGCAGTAGAGACAGCGCAGGTTACAGCGCTCGGTGACGCTGATGCGCAGGTAGTCATGTTGGCGATTAAAGGTGTCTGTCAGGAACTGTGAGAAGGGCTTTGCGGATTTGAGTGCAGTGAGGCGGGGGGTGGCGTGTGAAGGAGGCTCGGGTACGGTCGCAGTGGTTGTCGATGGCGATGGCGATGGCGATGGCGATAACGATGGAGAGGTTGTGCTCTGCCACCGGATGGAGGGGAGCCGCCGCGAGGCGAGTCGTCTGCACAGCATGGTGGTCGAATGTTAGGAAACAGGTGGCATTGCGGGGGGGGGCGAGGTGCAGGTGTTCAAGTTATAAAGGGTGGTGGTGGTAGTCGCATGTACTTCCTTGAAGAGGCCCGAGGGTTTCCTGGGGAAGGTCTGCGGCCGAGCCACACATTCCGACCGCCGTGTTCGGAGTGGCCCGCTGATACTAGGAGATATTGGCATTAGATACTGCTTGATAACGATTGGTTCGACTGTTATGACAAATTTATATCAGTGTATCCATTGTATGTTGCATTGGGAAGATCAATACTGGACATACTTTTATGATCATACTAGTAGTGACCCTACTAGTATATTCAAGTTACTGGGAGTAGAGTACTATGACTCGGACTCGGAGGAGATATATATTCAAGTTTGCCCAAGTGTACCCCTGCGGTACAAGGACCACAGTACCCCGGGCTTGGATACCAACCTGATGTTCCCAAATATAACTGCCCAACCTGTTATCAGAATCCCGTCCAGGCTAGCCAGCACCAGGAAAATGTCAAAAAATCAAATTGGATCACCACTATACGTATAGCATAAGCAACCATAGAACCCCGGCCAGGGAACTTGCTGCTATCAAAAACAACAAAAAATGCGACGAGCCGGGATCGAACCAGCGACCTCACGATTTGCTGTAACAGCTGATTGAAGTTGTTCTTCAGTCGTGCGCTCTCCCAACTGAGCTATCATCGCCGCTTGATGAATAATGGCTTGATTGTTGCATAGTTGAGGGTGAATCTGGCTGAAACTAAATGGTACAGATTTGGGACCGGGCTGCGAGGACAAGATATCAAAGATTATCTTGACAACAGTTGGGTCTTATGATTTAATTTTGGATATGATTGATTTGAAAATATTTCAATTCAATAAATATATATTTTCGAGAATTTTTAGGATTTTATTGAAGCCAGAATCGTTGAGATTTGAAGGAGATATGGTCAGGTTCGGGCCAGAATTCGATATCAGGTGTCTGTGTTCCGCACCAATCACAATCACGCACAGCAAGCCGAGGCGGGTCCAAAATACGCCTTTCCCGATCGGAATTTTTTCTGGCGTGGCGGACAATCGCCGCGGGCTGCGTGAAATGGCCATCGTGCCTCAATATTTAAATTCCCCAGATGCGAGATTCCCTTCAGATCCCCAGAGAACACACACGTCCACCATGATCGGTACCACAGCTGACGAGCCCCTCCACGGTAAGCACTACATCCAATTGTTTACTCTACACACCATGGCATACCCACGGTGGCAGCGTCCCTTTACACTAAGATAGTGACTGATAAGCCTCAGTGCTCGACCTGCCCCAGATCTACAAGAAGCCTTCTGGCACCGAGCTGCTCAAGGCTCTGGCCCTGTTGACTCTGCAGCCACGATCATTCGGCATCACTGCTGATGCCGTCAAGGGCCCCGCAGTACAGCCCGAGGGTGTGACTCGCTATCTCACCTCCATCATTTCCAGTCCACTCTCATGGCTCGACACAGAGGAGTTGCAGGAAGCAGTCTGGGACGCGGCATCAGCCCGTCTGAGTGAACGATCAGGCCGTACCGGTAAACGCCGCGCCACCGTACCCCCCGTAGTGGAGTGTAGTTGCTAACAGACGTAGCCATGCCGGCCATGTCGCGCATCTTCAGCATTCCCACCTTCTCCGGCGAGGAGTACACTCTCACCTTACACGAACCCTCCCTCACATCGGATAACCTGGGCATGAAGACATGGGTATCCTCCTACCTTCTTTCCCGCCGCTTACACAAACTGCTCGAATCGCCAGCAGAACTCGTCCCCACAAGTTCGACCGGGCCGTCCACCCAAAAGGATAAACAGCTTCGAGCATTGGAGCTCGGTTCCGGGACGGGTCTTGTCGGTTTGTCCTTTGCCGCGCTGAAGGGCAAGTTAGCTACCATCCACTTGACCGATTTGCCCGAGATCGTGCCCAACCTCGCCCACAACGCCTCTCTAAACGTGGAGCTTATGAAAACAACCGAGGCAAGCGTGACAACAGGTGTTCTGGACTGGTCCGTCACGCCGAACCCTTTGCCCACTGCGGAGGAGAGATTTGATGTCATTCTCGCTGCCGATCCGCTCTACTCGCCGCTTCATCCGAAACTGTTAGTCGATACCATTGGGCCGTGGCTTAGCCGTGGTCTCAGACGCGCGTGTTGTCACGGAGATGCCCCTGCGCGACGCATACCTGCCACAGGTAGCGGAGTTCCGGCAGCGCATGCTTGATCTTGGGCTGGCGGTGGTCGAGGAGGGCGAAGAAGTCGGGTATGATGACTGGGAGAGTGCGAACGGCGAGGCACTGGCTGTGAAATGCTGGTGGTCTATCTGGGGATGGAGCGAGAAGGTATAAATGTGGCGCAGGTCATCTCATGAGGCCGATATGAAATCACGAATAGACGATAGTACACGATATAGGACGATAGACATAGACAAGTCCGTCCGGTAGATGCATCGAGATAGAACCAGAATACACATGCATTTGAAAGAGTCTGCAGTCAATAGTAGATGTAGACGGTGAACTCAAGGTTGATGGTGGTAGTTGAAGAACTTTGAACTTAGCTGGACGTTGCACGACCCGTTCTGGTCGCGTGGGGCAATGACGTACCCTGGCTAGACTGGCACAAGCCACCACCACCACTGGTTTCATCCAACATTTTACTTCTTTTTCCCACGGATTTCTCGATTCCCACCACTTCAACCATCTAACGAGCCTCATGGGACCAACTCAGTTCTCGCGCAATCCATATTACCCGCCATCTGGCTGAAATGTATACCCAGCGGCATCCATGATCCAACTGCATACAGCAACCACACAGCTTTACAAACCCAACAACGATACACACACACATATATACACACAGAGGTGCCACAAATATATAAGCCCTCTCATATATAAACCGACACCATGGTCATCGGCCTCCTTTTCCTAACCTCCATCCCCACCGTGACGGGCACCGCCTTCGCAGTCAGCGAGCAGCGCAAGTCCAACCAGCGCAAAGAAGATGCACGACGGATGGTCAAGTTCAACATCGAATCCGTATGCTCGGGAGACACAGATGACGATCGCGATGTGGATGGGAGGAGAGTGGTAGTTCGGAATGACAAGGTAAGCCAAGCCATACTATGGCATACCATATCATGCCTTACCCAGCTCAACCAACTAACCCAATAAAACAAAACAGGTCTATCTCGACATGGTCGATCCAACCAAACGCGAAATCCCCTCCTTCACAGCCCTGGCATTCTACATCGAATACCCCGAACTAGACGAAACGAAACATCTAGACCGCGGTCTAGGCCTACCCACATACGTTTCCGCCAATCCGCCACTCCTCAACTGGATCTATGCGGATAAAGATACGCATGAGTTGATGTATGGAAATCGGACGCAGAGTGTGGAACACTTCGTTGGGCCGTGGGATTGGACGGAGGATGAGAAGACTCTTCTACTAGAGGGGAAGGATGCGTTTTATGCCGTGGAGGAAGAGGAGGGGCAGTGGGCTTTATATTATGATCGGGATGGAGATGAATTGGCGCGGGTTTTGGAGGAGCAGGAGATGTTGGATAATGCTTTTGTGCCTGTTTCGCTTGTTCGGAAGATTGCAGAGGAGCCACCGGCTCCTCCTAGTCAGAGCCAAGGGCAAGGGCAAGGACAGGCTGGGGGGAGGTGGTGGAAGTGGTGGAAGTGGTGGAAAGTAACGAGTCATGATTTATTTATACGCCGTGATGATTATGAGCTGCCGTTATAGTTGCATACTCGATGCCAACTCTCATTATACACAATGTCTAATCCTCAAGTCCATCCCAACTCCCATCATCGCTGACAGCATTGCCCGAAGCGGCAGCCTTCCTATCGCGACTAGCAGCAATAGCCCCCTTCTTCTTATTCTCCAAGCGACGCTCAAACCCGCTCTTCGTACTGATCCTCGCCTTCCGTGCCTCCCTCTCCTCCCGCTCCTTGTCCTTGCCCTCCTTGCCACCGATTTGCTTCGAGAGCTGCCGAGCCTTGACACCATGTTTCTTGAGCTCCTGCTTGTCCTTCTTGCTGAGATCCGGCAGAGACTCGAGCAGCCATTTCTGGATAGACTTTGCACCGTCCGTGCCGCGGAGTTTCTCGCTGGCATCGATGACATTGGCAATACTCTTGACGTAAGGGATGTCTTCCTTTGTGTAGAATGTTACAGCAATACCACCCTCGCGACCCGCACGACCTGTTCGTCCAGCACGATGGACGTAGATGGCGGCTGAGTTTGGAATATCGTAGTTGACGATTCCGTTCAATCCCTTGATATCCAGACCGCGGGAGAGAGCATCAGTGGTCACCAGGATCCAGATCTCGCCCTTGCGGAAGTCGCGCATAATGTCTGACCGCTGGTTATCGGACAGATCAGAGTGAAGCACGGCAATGCGGGAGGATCCGCCGGCTTCGGCGGGGATGTCGTACTTCAATTCGGAGTGCAAAGCAACGGCACGGGGGATGGTTTGAGTGAAGATGAGGAATGGAGGTCGAAGACGGACATCTGAGGCTGAAGCCGCTGTAGGATGAAGAAGCTGGCGGAGGCCCAGAAGTTTACCCTGCTCGGTGGCTGCATAGACCAGTCGATGGTCAATGTTGGGAACGGCCGAGTCTTTCAAACCGACAACCAGGCGGACTAGTGGGTGTAGGGTGTTGCTGGTCTGGCCAATGTTTTCCAGACGCTCTTTAATCGTTGAACGGGTGAGTTCCTCGATGTTGGAGCCCATAGTCGCGGACCAGAGGCTCACGCGCAGGTCTGGGTGCACACATGAACGCCAGATATCGAGCGTTTGCTCGCGGAATAATGGGTCCAGGAGGACATCTGCTTCATCGAAGACCAGGCTTCGCACTAATGGCATGCTTGCCACGGGTTTCGTCTGGTTTGCAGACAGCGAGTTGACAAGTTGCAGGGGAGTTGTAACCAAGATATCGCTCTTGGTGACAGGTGAGTTGTTTTGGCCCTTGGCCTTGCTGCCCTCTTCCTCGTCCTCCTCGTCTTCGGATCCAGATGCATCGCTCTCTTCAATCGCGGTAGCTCCTTCGCTTTCGACCACCCGCATACCCTTCTTCATCAATGTGATCTTGACACCGGTACCTGCCACCAGCTTTCGTCCTTCATTGACAATCTGGCTGGCAAGTTCCTTCGTAGGCACCACGACCACAGACAGAATTCCATGCTCGTCAGCACCGGAGTGATGGTGTCGGACGATCTTGTTGATCACAGGAATCAAGAAAGATAGTGTTTTACCACTACCAGTAGGAGCCACCACGAGCAGATCTGGCTCGGAGGAATTCTTCGCGGATCCTCCAAGTAAAAGCGGAAGTGACGACAGTTGAACTTCCGTGGGCATTGTAAATCCCTGCTCTGCGACGTTGCTGGCGAGTCGACTGGAGATTTTGTATCGGGTGCGTAGCTCCTTGAAAGAAACAAGCGGTTGCGGAAACATGCGCCTGGCACGCTTCTGCTCTTTCTTGCTCAGCTCAGGCGCCTTGTCCTTCTTCGACTTCTTCTTTTTCTTCTTCGATTCCTTTTCCTTTTCCGCAACCGCAACCGCAGGCTGGATCTCACTTAGATCACGCAGATCCGTCACTTTGATCTTGTGCGAGTTCAAGATAGTGCGACATTCCACTTCGTCCATGGTATCCTCTTCCTCCGAGTCGTCATCGCGTTGCGTTGTGGAGGTGTGGTCATCCTTCGTCGTAGATGCGCCCGTCGGAGGCGCAGTGGAGCGCTTGGTGGTATGGAAAAAGTCCAAATCAGCTGGGATTGCGCCGTCGTCTTCGGTCACAGCCAAGCGCTTCCTCTTCTTGCCATGCTTCGACTCGAGCTCATCGGCTTCGGCGGTCCGGAAGAGTTGTGGGTTGGTTGCGGTGCCCGCGGAGGGTAGGCGAGCAGCAGGCTCTGCTGTCGGTACAGCGGCCTTTTTGAAATTTGCTGACCGAGTCAACAAGCGGAATGCATCCATTGTGGGGGAGAAAGGTGAGGGAGTTGGAGCTGTCGATATTTTGTCGCAAGGCAAAAAAAGATAATGAGCATCGGGCCCACCGACACTACTCCGCACCAATCAGCGGTGTCTAAGCATCATACGGTACATAAGAGAATACCCCATGTACACAACGGTGACAGGCGAAGGAATCCAAAAAAAGAGCAATACAGCTAATGCTGCAACCAAGTAGTATATATCTGGAAATTGCATGCTGAGGTTGGCGAGAAAGAAAGAGTAAGAGTAAGAGGAGGAAGGTGTGAGGTGGAGGTTCCAACCGGTTCGAGAGATCTACTACGGAAATTGTGTAACTACGCTTGGCTGTGAAATGGAACAAAAGTTGCAAATGATTTCTATCTCAGACAACAGTTTATTTTCCATCGTCTATCATACAGAGTACAAACGCGAAAAAGGGAAACATAGGAAAGGGTGGTTGTGCGAAAAGAAAGGACGAGTTCCACATCTAGTGGTGGTGTTCAGGCTCGCCCCGGTAACCGACAAGGTTGAAACGACCGATGATCTCGCCAACAGTGAAGAAACCGATGACCTCAGCGGCGGTGACACCGGCGAGGGCCATCTCCTTGGGGCTGGCGTTGCGGACGCGGGCCAGGAAGTTCTGGGGGGAGGGCAGGTTCTTGATAGCGGCGGGGTTCTTGGCGGCGTTGATCAAGGGCTGGAAGTAGGACTGGAAGGTGGCAACGTTGCTAAAGAGAAAGAAGAAAGGGAATTAGATGGGATCTGGCAGATGTGATGAAGGTGCGGTGCAGCGTAGGGCAACTTACGGAGGAGTCATGTTCTGGCCACGGAAAACCAGCTTGCCGAGCTCAAGACCGACACGGGAGTAGTAGAGGGTAGGGGGAATCATTGCTACAAATAGTGATCAGTTAGCAATGCAATGGAAAGCAGAAGATAAACGGAAAGTAAAAGTCTATGCTCGGGATGTCAACAAGGAGAACCGGAAGTCTCGGCCTATGAAGTTATCGGCCAACACTGAACAGTGCCAGCCTTCAACAGTGTATCAATTGGCATCTCCTACACTTCATAGCATCCTTGATAACATTCCCAAGCATTTCCATTCGACAGAGATCGGTGTTGGTATGAGGGTGTCTTACAGTCGACGAAAGAGACGACCTTGCCGACAGGGCCGCCGACCTTGCGGAGAGCGGAGGCAGCATTGGAGATGGCAGGACCAGCGGCAGCAGTGGCCTTGGAGAGACCCTCGCTAGCCTTGGAAGCAGCTTGACCGGCCTTGTTGGCGGCCTCCGAAGTGGTGGAAGAGTGTCTGACCACGGTCCGACGGGTCAGGAACTGCGATTGCCGCAGGACGGCACGAGTGGCAGCGGGCATCTTGGGGACTGCGAGAGGAGAAGGAGCGGAGACGAGAAGTCGATCACAGATCACCCAGGATAGTCGCTGGTGGGAAGAGGAGGAGGTGGTCCAATTGGCGGGTTTGGTCTATCGCAACGACGGGACCAGAATCTGCGGACTCGGGAGGTTCAGGAAAGGTGGTCACGTGAGTAAACAGCAGTAGGGACAGCAGAGAGCGGACACTATGGTGACATTGGGGGAAATGGTATAAGTGCAATATTAATATTGAAAATATTATTTATTCCTCTATATTATTACCTTTAGCTTAATAAAGAATTTTGGATTGGCTTCATGGCTGGAAATGAGTTCCAGTGTACTGAATCTGCATGGGCCAGTGAGGTCACAGTGTGGCTGGGACTCTCTTATATAGTACCAAGGTATTTATACAGTGCTGACTACTTTGATCAAACTGGTCGAATTGGCATACTAATAGAATACTAGTATTAGATGTTGAAGTATAACCTACCTGGGCAAGCATGGCACATTGCAATACTACTATCCATATACTACCTAGGTACTCTGGTCAAGAGGCGGTGTTGGTTTGCAGTATATAGCACCACCATCCATCAAACTTGCTAGGCGAAGTTTGCCACAGCTCTCGAGGTCAGGATGAAGTAGATCCCCCAACTTGAAAGTTCAAGCTGTAATACTAGTAGCCGTTGAATTTAGCCTCCGAACAACACACTATGGTTATAAATTTGCCCCAATTGCAGGTGCTCGGCCAATTCTACTCGGTGGTACGGACGGATCGGCACTTTCGGCAAGGAGACCGGCATGGTCGGCCAACCATCGGTACACCATTTACTCCGTGCTAGTATTTAACCAGGGCAACTGCCATTGTTTGGCTTCTAGAACCAGGTCAGCAGGTCACGGATTTTCTCCGGGGTGCTACATGGCTGCATGGCTGGTCCCACTCTGGACAAAGGAAAAAGGACGCGGAGAAGAGTCGCCCTCTGCAAACAGAACAAACCAGGGGCGACACAGCAGCGGAGTTTGTGAGGGTTTGTCCATCAACCGGACAACAGCATGGGCCGCCACCGGAGAATTACCTTTTTGGCGATAGTACAGTAGTAGTGTAAGTATAGTATATACCTTAAGGGAGTATATAGTATAAATATGATAAAGAACAGATACACTTAAAAACCCATATAGAATATTAAAATTGAGAGAAATGAGTACCTAGATATTCTGTACAACTGTACTACCCCGTACTGAACACAATTAACCGATCGCCACAGGCCCAGCGGAGGCGGCTGCCCGGTTAGGCGGCCTTAGGGAAAGTTGGCCCCGCGCGGTTAAATCGAGTGCCCCTCCACTCCACTTTTTTACACCATCCATGCTCATGTATGGGGGAATGACATGGGGTCGCATTGCTGCCACCCGCACTGGGTTTGGAGAATTTGGGCAGTATTAAAGGGCCCTTGCTGCTGCTCTTGTGATTCCTCTCATCTCCCCTAACTCCTCCATATCATCCAGTTCACCATGTCTTCCGCAACCACTGTGACCAAGACTAACATTGGTGTTTACACCAACCCCAACCACGACCTTTGGATCGCCGAGACGACCCCCAAGGTCGAGGATGTGCAGGCTGGCAAGGGCCTGAAGCCCGGCGAGGTCACAGTCGAGGTGCGCAGCACTGGTATTTGCGGGTAAGTCATGAACATACAATTTCTAACCATTGATTGCATGTCATTGCATGTCCTGACCGCAACAACAGCTCCGACGTCCACTTTTGGCACGCCGGTTGTATTGGCCCCATGATCGTTACTGGCGACCACGTCCTCGGTCACGAATCTGCCGGTCAAATTGTCGCGGTCGCCCCCGATGTCACCCACCTCAAGCTCGGTGACCGTGTCGCCATCGAACCCAATGTTATCTGTAACGCCTGCGAGCCCTGCCTGACTGGCCGCTACAACGGCTGCGAGAATGTCGCTTTCCTCTCCACCCCTCCCGTCGACGGCCTGCTCCGCCGATACGTCAACCACCCCTCCATTTGGTGCCACAAGATCGGTGAGATGAGCTACGAGGATGGTGCCCTCCTGGAACCCCTCAGTGTGACTCTGGCGGCCGTCGAGCGCAGCGGGCTGCGCCTTGGTGACCCCCCTCCTCATCACCGGCGCCGGTCCCATCGGTCTTATTAGCTTGCTCAGTGCTCGCGCCGCTGGTGCTTGCCCCATCGTCATCACCGATATCGACGAGGGCCGCCTGGCCTTCGCCAAGACCATTGCGCCTGAGGTCCGCACCTACAAGGTGCAACCCGGTCTGTCTGCCGAGCAACAAGCGGCCGGCATTATCAATGTCTTCAACGATGGCAAGGGCTCCGAGGCGGGTGCTCTGCGACCTAAGCTGTGCCTGGAGTGCACCGGTGTGGAGAGCAGTGTCAACTCCGCGATCTGGAGCATGAAGTTCGGCGGCAAGGTGTTTATCATCGGCGTGGGCAAGAACGAGATGAACATCCCATTCATGCGTCTGAGTACCCAGGAAATCGACCTTCAGTACCAGTACCGCTACTCCAACACCTGGCCTCGTGCCATTCGCCTGGTGCAAAACGGTGTGATTGATCTGCGCAGCCTGGTTACCCACCGCTTCGCATTGGAGGATGCGCTCAAGGCGTTTGAGACGGCGGCGAATCCTAAGACTGGTGCGATTAAGGTGCAAATTATGAGCTCGGAGGAGGATGTCAAGGCTGCTTCCGCTGGTCAGAAGATCTAAGCATGGCTTTTTGTTTTATACCTGGTGTCGGGGCTGTTGATTTATGATTGATGTTTAGAGATGCTTGGGTTATAGAGCATGAAATGAATTTCCTTTGTTCAAAAGTTTCCAAGATAAGATGGCAGCCAGTGAAGAGTAAATTAAATGTGAAGGTACTCCACAGTCTTTCTAAGGTTTTATAATAGGCATAGCAAGGACCTTGTGGGCAAGGACCCGCGTCGTCTGCTCGTCAATGGTACAGCCTATATACAATCATTGTTGTTGTAATTGCCATTCCGGGAGCAAAGAGACTGATGGCCAGACACCTGCGGAATCGGTTGTCTCCCTCCTTGAGAAGATAAAGCGGTAGGTTGGACATTTTCTGCTGTATGTAGAGGTGAATTCGACCCCGCCGGTGCGAAGATATCGGTTCACTCCTCCGCGGTTTTGAGGGCTCATAACGGGTGCACCGCCCACGCACGCTCTGGGAAAGTTTTCCTCAATCCTTGAGAGTAAATCCTTGGTAAATTCGATGGTATCAACCTCTTGGAAGGCCTGTTTGGTCGTAAGCTCCTCAAGATGAGCGTCAGCGGCGTCAACCAGCAGGTCTCGAAGTCCGCGATCACTCTTTGGTATGCTATCGTAAACAAGTGGTATGACACTGAAGAATTTTATTCCTTGGCATCGGGATCGCCGTACTCGAAAATGAAATAGTCGCCTGTTTGATGAGCGGTGTTGAACGATTATGTGGTCCCGATTGTTTTCGCGAGGGTGAGAAGGAGGTCGGTCTGCAGTCCTTCAACATCCCTGGAGACCTGAAGCCTTTCCCCCAAATTAAAAAGAAACATAAAAAGAAGTAGTAGGTGGGAAGAGAGAAAAGGAAGAAACTTGAAGGCTTTGGGGGAGAAGGAGAAGAAGAAGGCATGTGCCTGCCTAAACGGGCTGTTGGAAGTAGGGCATCCTAGTAGAGTACTAGTAGTACTAGTAGTAATCAGTATGTATGCTGATACTGTAGTTATATATGGGATATGAATGGATACAATACCATACTCAATCTAGCCAAGTTATGCATGGATCCTACAGATCAGATCACCCAGTAGATGATAGTAGTATACTACTAGTACTAGTACTAGTACTAGCTACCCTACCTAGGTACCTACCTGGCATATACCGGCACCTGGGCATATTCCAGGCATCTCTCACCAATCACAGATTCATCAGTCTCTATCCTCTACTCTCCTCCACTATCCTTCCCCACTCAAGTTGCACCAATTTATATTCAGGCCAACTCGGGTTCATACATAAAGCTGCACCACCTATCTTCTCAATCCCTTTGTTTCTTCCCAGGCTTCCCACCTGTTGTGCTCCCACTGGCAGTTGACTTCACAACATGCGGGGTGTGCTCCTTCTGGCCTCCCTCGTGGGAGCTGTGGTTGCACTGCAACCCCGATCATCTAATGAGGACTGCCCTGGCTACACGGCTACCAATGTGGATCAACGTGGTTCATCTACCCTAGAAGCCCACCTCACTCTGGCCGGGGATCATTGCGACTCGTACGGCACCGACCTGGAGAACCTCAAGCTCCTGGTGGAGTACCAAACAGGTCAGTAGCACAAATATTCACTGTGAACCCTTATCAATTGACATATTCTAGACGACCGGCTCCATGTGATGATCTACGACGCGGACGAGGAAGTCTACCAAGTGCCAAAGAACATTATCTTTCGCCCACCTCACCGTCACGACAATCAGCATGAAACTTCCAACCTTCGATTTGACTTCGAACCAGAACCTTTCTCGTTCAGAGTGCTACGTGGCGACGATGTCCTCTTCGATACTTCGGATACAAACATTATCTTCCAGTCTCAGTACCTGAAGCTACGCACTTGGCTACCGGAGAATCCGCATCTCTACGGCCTCGGAGAACATATTGACTCGCTCCAGTTACCGACAAAGAACTACACGCGTACTCTGTGGAGTCGAGATTCGTATGGACTTCCAGAGTTCGAGAATTTGTACGGAAACCACCCGGTCTACGTGGATCACCGTGGCGACTCAGGTACCCATGGCGTCTTCTTCTTAAATTCCAACGGAATGGATATCAAGATCGACCAGACGGATGACGGACGCCAGTATCTGGAGTACAACACGCTGGGTGGTGTGTTTGACTTTTACTTCATGGCTGGCCCGACACCGAAGGATGTTAGCCAGCAATATGCGGGGGTCGTGGGATTGCCTGCTATGCAGAGCTACTGGTCCTTTGGTGTATGTAGCTCCACGAAACTGATGGTGCTTGGGTGCTTTTTTATTTTATACCGACTCAATGTTCTAGTTCCACAACTGCCGATACGGATACCAAGATATCTACGAAGTCGCCGAGGCTGTTTACAACTACAGCCATGCTCATATCCCTCTCGAGACCATGTGGACGGATATCGACTATATGGATCGCCGTCGTGTTTTCACTCTGGGCCCCGAGCGGTTCCCGCTGGGTAAGGTGCGGGAGTTGGTGCATCATCTCCACCAGCACCATCAGCACTATATCATGATGGTGGACCCTGCCATCAGTGATAGTGGTATGTACTCAAATTGGGCCACCGTTGCAGGTATATATATCATGATAAAGCATGTTCCTAACTTCTTGCAGAGAATGAGGCCTTTGAACGAGGAGTAAAAGCAGAGGCTTTCCTTCAACGCGATGGGGAACTATACAACGGTGAGTGCAGTGCAGCGTAGTGCATTGTGGCGGCCAACATCAAGAAAGATACCAAACTAATACTGAGTATAGGTGCCGTCTGGCCCGGTCTCACAGTCTATCCCGACTGGTTCAGTCCAGGTATATCAGGTTTCTGGAACGGCGAATTCCGCCGCTTCTTCAGCGAACAAGACGGCATCGACATCGACGGACTATGGATCGACATGAACGAAGCTTCCAACTTCTGCCCATGGCCCTGCAAGGACCCAGAGCAGTATGCCAAAGATAACAATCTCCCCCCGACACCCCCAGCTGTGCGTTCGCCGCCACGTCCTATCCCGGGCTTCCCAGAAGACTTCCAGCCGCCCAAGACGTCAAAGCGAATCGACAAGCGCCGCGATAACTCCAAGGGCAGCAAGGTTGGATTGCCCGGTCGAAACCTCATCGACCCTCCATACAAGATTGCCAATGGAGCCGGTTCAATCAGTAACAAGACTATTGATACCGATCTCGTGCACGCGGGCGAATACGCCTACGCAGAGTATGATACTCACAATCTCTACGGAACGAGTACGTCTCCCTCTTTTACAACAGGTCAAGCCTAGCACACACACGCATAGCTAACAAAGTCATCAGTGATGAGTTCCGCTTCACGAGAAGCAATGGAAAACCGCCGCCCATTCAAACGACCCCTAGTAATAACGCGCAGCACATTCGCCGGCGCCGGCGCACACGTCGGTCACTGGCTAGGCGATAATCTCAGCCAGTGGGATAAATACAGACGATCAATCGCGCAAATGCTAGCCTTTGCCTCTATTTTCCAAATTCCAATGGTCGGCTCAGATGTCTGCGGTTTCGGCGGGAATACGACCGAAGAGCTTTGCGCGCGGTGGGCAATGCTAGGCGGGTTCTATCCTTTTTTCCGCAATCATAATAGCATTGATTCGATTCCGCAGGAATTTTATCGGTGGGACGTTGTGGCTGAGGCGGCGAGGAAGATTATTGATATTCGGTATCGATTGCTGGATTATCTTTATACGGTATTTCATCGGCAGAGTGAGACTGGTGAGCCGTTCCTTCAGCCGTTGTTTTATGTGTATCCTGGTGATACGAAGACGTTCGGGAATGAATTGCAGTTCTTTTATGGGGATGGGATTCTTGTTTCGCCGGTTGTTGAGCCCGGGAGTACGAGTGTTGAGGCGTATTTCCCGGATGATCGGTTCTATGACTGGTTTACGGGGAAGATTGTGCAGGGTTATGAAGAGAAGGTTAAGCTGGAGTCTCTTTCGATTACGGATATCCCGATCCACATCCGTGGGGGCAGTATTATTCCGTTGCGGAGTAAGAGTGCCATGACCACGACCGAGTTACGACGTCGTGGGTTTGAGATCCTCGTTGCGCCGAATGCGAGCGGGTATGCGCGCGGCGAGTTGTATCTTGATGATGGGGAGACTCTGGTGCTGGGGAGTACCTCGCTGGTACAGTTTGAGTTTGTCAAGGACAAGTTAAGTATTCGGGGTCAGTTTGGGTATCAGGCTGGGGTTGTGATTGAGTCTGTTACGGTGCTAGGGCAGAAGGGTTTGTCGAAGCGCAGTGCTGGTACGAATCAGACGGATGGGGCGGTGCTGTTTGATGAAGAGAAGGGGAGTGTGACCAAGAAGGTCACGATTGAGTTGAATGGGCCTGTGAAGGTGGTGATTTAGCGCTCAGGTGGGAGTGCGAGTGCGAGAGCAGTGCGACCGGAGGATTTCTACAGGATCGGGCGGAGTTGGGCATGTCTTACATGAGTCTTAGCCCGAGGAGGGTTAGCCCGAGTATTCCGAGCAAAAATAGGATATTTACGAACGGCACCTGACACCAATAGTTTTTTTTTTTTTCGGAGTATCCGTGGGAGTAGTGAGTCAAAGTACTCACTCCAAAGTAGTTACTCCTCCAACTCTGTTAGAATAACCTTGGATCAAGGATTTCGTCCTTGACGGCCCCAACCCGCCCCCATCCCCCGCCCCAGTCTCAAGCGCCCCCCCCCTGCCCCGGACCCATCAGCACCCTGGGAGACTGTGTACTACTACTCGTATATGACTGGATGTATCCATTCAGTTCCTGCGTCAAAGGATGCTCAATGCGGCCCGCAAGGGGCTCAATTAATATAAATCAAATGACGAAGTACGGTGTGTACGGAGTGCATGACCCTTGGCAATCTCAGATAGTCACGATAATACGGGGTATGCATAATCTATTGGCTGTGTGTGGACAGGGTATGATACACCTGTTCCTGTTCCTGTTTCTGTTTCTGTTCCTGGTTCCTGAGTTAGACAGAGACAAAGTTAGACCAAGTTACGAGTTAGACATGTCTGGGTTACATGGTGGTGCTCAGGCACTCTGGGCTTAATTTAGCTCGGGCCAAGAGAGGAGGCAATTAGAAGCGAGGTACGGTGCAGAATGCAGAATACGGAGGCAACCCATGATTTCATTTGATTTGAATTTGATGTGATTTGATTTCCAGGATTTTCAGGGACTGTTCGTGTTCATCAGTGTGGGTAAGTGCATGTACATTATACTGTAAACTACGCAGGTTGAGATGGGTGCGTAATGTTCTATACAAACTTCGTAGGGATGTACATCCACCTCCACCGCCAATGTCACGATCGCGCAATGACTGTCACAGGATTAGATCGGACCTGCCCCCGTGGAGGCCGAGTGGATACTCGACTAGTGGCCTCTCGCTTGCATTGGCGAACGATGGGCCGTGTTGCGCCCCACGGGAGAGTCGGGTCGTGGGTGACTCCGGTCAAAGAGTAATTCTGTGACAGGATCGGCCGGGATGATCAGTCGATCGGAGGTGGTTTCAGGAGGGAGGAAGAGGAAGAGGACGAGGACGAGGACAGAGGACAGAGAGACAGAGTACTCTGGATATGCCTACTAAATGCGGTGTATCCAGAGTATACGAGTATTCAGACAAAGAATACGGAAAAAACCGTATACTCGTAGCTATAAATGGACTATCTAAGGTATGGCTCTGCTAGTGTGCCACTGTCAATGCCACTGCCACTGCCACTCCCACAAGGCCCCCAGATACAGAATCATCCATGTCTCACTAGCAACAGCTTTTGTCCAGTCAGGGTTACCCCAGCAGCTCATGAGGCGGCTCCACTGCATCCACTTCACATCCACGCCTCCACTTGATTCCACTTGATCCCTGAGTGGGGTGCTCCCTCGCCGAGCACCAATCAATGATTCACCTCGGTGGCTGGGAGTGCCAATATTGCTCCACTTTTGACCAAAAAGTGAATACGGAGACACTGTTTAGCACTGTTTAGTACCAAATACTGCTCAACTGAGGGCTGAACAGCACCTTCCCATATCCGCGGCTCTCACTTCCTGCATTTCTTTATTAACCCCCAACCTCCCTCCCCCATTCCACCCTCTCTTCCTCCTCATTCCTCTCTCGCATCTGCATTTGCATTCGTTCGGTCTGCTCTTCACACCCTCGCTTACTGTTCACTGCTTACTGCACACTGTCGCTATGCCTTCCATCTTCAAGTACGCTACTGTGGCCCTCGCCGCAGTCGCTCCTCTGGCTTCTGCGCAGACCTACTCCAAATGCAACCCTCTCAAGAAGACTTGCCCTGCCAATCCCGGTTTGGCCCAGGCTGATGCCGACTTTGACTTCTCCAAGGGTTCTCTCGACAAGTGGTCCACCACTGCCGGCAAGGTCAACACCGGCTCCAATGGTGCTGAGTTCACTATCAACAAGCAGGGCGATGCTCCCACCATCCAATCCGACTTCTACTTCTTCTACGGTACCGTTGAGGTCACCATGAAGGCCGCCCCCGGCACAGGCATTGTTAGTTCCATTGTCCTGGAGTCCGATACTCTTGACGAGGTCGACTGGGTAAGTTCAGCAGATACATCCCTTCCCCATCACTCAATTGACCCGATCTAACATCTTTTATAGGAGGCTCTTGGCGGCAACACTGGCGCTATTGAGACCAACTACTTCGGCAAGGGCGATACCTCTACCTATGACCGTGATACCTGGCCTGCTGTGTCCAACCCTCAGGGTGAATTCCACACCTACAAGGTGGACTGGCAAAAGGACCACATCACCTGGTACATTGACGGTGCTGCTGTCCGTACCTTGAACTACAACGATGCTCAGGGCGGTGCTCGCTTCCCCCAGACCCCCATGAACATCCGCATCGGTATCTGGGCTGGTGGTGACCCCACCAACGGAGAGGGCACCATTGAGTGGGCCGGTGGTAAGACCGACTACTCTGCTGCTCCTTTCTCCATGTACATCAAGGATGTCAAGGTCCACAACGCCAACCCCGCCCAGTCGTACACCTACACCGACAACTCTGGCTCCTCTGGCTCCATCAAGGAGGGCGGTGCTGTTTCGGGCTCTCAGACTCGTGACACTACCACCACCTCTTCCTCCAGCACCTCGGAGGCTACCACCGCCGCCACTAGCGATGCGACCACCACCGCCAGTGATGCTACCACCACTGCCACTACCCTGACCACTGCCACCAAGTCCTCTTCGGCTGACTCTACCACTACCACTGCTGGCTCTACCACCGCTGGTTCCTCCAGTGCCGCCGGCTCTTCCTCTGCTGGTAGCTCTTCCGCTGCTGGCAGCTCGGGCGCTGGCTCCAGCTCCGGCGGTGCTAGCAGCACTGCTGGCTCCGGCTCCGGCTCCGGCTCTGGTTCAAGCACTGGCTCTGGTTCCGGCTCTGGCTCTGGCTCTGGCTCTGGCTCAGCCACTGGCAGCTCTTCCACCCCCACCGCGACCTTCAACGCTGCCTCCAACGTGGCTGCCAGCATGGGTCCCCTCGGCCTCCTGGCCCTGCTCTCTGCTTTCATCCAGCTGTAAACAGCTTCACGCAAATCAACGCAACGCAAATATTAATCACGTCTCACGGATGAAGTACGCTGGGCTGGAACCGAGCTTGGATATGAGGGATGGCGCTTTCTTTTTTCTTTCTGTGATGTATCTTTCTTCGGTTATGCCTTGATGTCTTTTTGCTTTAGCCTTGCGAAGAGCGGTACTGGCGCCGAGTGATTTTACCATGTATCTATGTACCTACAACTAGATCCCCTAATTGATCCTTCGGGACCCTATGGACAAACAATCAGTGCACAGTAGACAGCAGACAGTAGAGAGTAAGCGTAAGCATTCAGTCAGCCGACCATCGCAGACTAGCTGCATGATTTAGCATGTCTGACGCAAGGATCTCACTCAGCCGCATCAGATGCCCCATACGCAGTGTATGCAAGTCGCCCAATCCAACCCCGTATCTGCAATTCGCTGCCCGGCTCGGTAAACAAAGCCGAAAAAGCGATTTTGACGAGTACAAAGCATACTCGTAGTACAGTACATAGGAGACGGAGTACAGCATGTGCATAATTGTGTGATAGTGAAGTTAAAGCAGTAAGCATTTATTGTACATTCTATTTGCATGTACATGCATCCATATGTACTTCAAGTTATTGATACCATACACACTAGTAGTACCGTTTGTATTTGTGTATCTGTAACAGTAGTAGCTATAGACGAGGTGACTTCCTTCACCGATGCAGATTTCCAATTTTCGGATGATAACCAACGGTATATTATCGAGCTATTTTTTGACTTTGGAATAAAATTCAAATTCTGTAGCCTGATTCCCTTGCGATTTCTCTTTCTACGGGCTTCTCCGTAACAACTTCGTACTCAACCATGGACTCTGCGCATTCTCCACACCTAGCAGACCCTCTTCCTACTATTCCAACAAATTCATGGAAACCGTTAGAAAGAAAACCTGATGAAATCAATTCATTTAAGTGGATATTTCGGCCGACCCAATTTATCCTTGAATTTCATTCTGTTTGTATTGCGATTGGCTGGGGTGGATACATTTAGCTGTGTTCCGTGGTTGAAGGTCGGAGGTCCAGCCCGGTTGGTGCCCAGGTGGGTTCTAAGAAAAGAACAGAACCTGAGAGAGAAGAGAAGAACTTACGATTCTTGTAGTCTGGGTCTGGGCAGGGAATTGGCGTGCTATTGGAATTGGATTGAACCGTGGGAATAGTGTGTTTATAGGCTTTATAGGGTATACATGCATCGCTTAGCTGGAAGTAAACGGGTGCCGGCTTGGCGAGTATCGATTCGATTACTACCGAGGTACCATGCATTGCAGACTACTACTCGTACGCTGTATTCCCTACAGTGAAATCGAAATGTAGTTATTCATTCCGTGGTCCAGTTGTGTGGGTTCTAAGATCAGAAAGGCAAGAAAGGGAATGTTCTTCTCTATGTGCCTGGTCGTGATATTCGTGTCACATTGGAATGGAATTGAGCTAGCAGATAGGTACACCTGGGTAGTGAGCTGTTTACTATAGAGTACTTGTATAGATAACTTAGTTAGAAGCCGATGGATCACGAGACATTTCGCTGGCTCAGTGTGTATCGATTCTATGACCGAGGGATACATTACACTGGATATCCTCAATAGCGAACTTGAATTGTAGTTATTCATTCTGTTTGTACGTTAGATCAGTCGGTCCCGTTAGGGCCTCATTGCATTATGATTCAAGTCCCTGCTGACTCAGGATCGTTAGGGATGTAGCTCTAAGTACTCCTGTCTCGCCATTGCACAACTTAAAGCTGTACAAGTGTAACAGTCCACCGTAAGGAGGACCAGTGTTATGTACTTATGTACAAAGTACAGCTCGCCACCCCCTGAGAAACAATCCCTACCTTACCCCGTACTCTGTACTACACATCTCACCTCAGGGGTTTCGACCCTGGTTCAGATCGAGATCCCTGTCCTATGTTCTGGCCACTGTCGATCACTCGAACTCGGTGGCAAAACATCATGCGTAATAATCGCCGATCACCAAGTGTCAATCATAATGGACCCAGGTGGACCCTCGCGCACGTTGCAAGTCCCTTAACTGTCGTGATAATTTCTCCACCGAATCAGCAACAGGAACATGATGTGTCGCCGCTAATCTCATCATCGCCAAGGTCGTAGCAGGCCCAGGCATATCTTCCCCTTCCCCTTCTTCCGCTTCGCCAGCTGCTGCTTCTGATGCTGCTGCTTCTGACCACGTTGATTCCGACCCCGACTCCGATCCCCCAAACAGCTTCGTCCCAAACGTGTACTTCGACAACGAGTGCAAAACCGACTGAAATCCACCCAGCCCATCACCTCCAGTCCCACCCCTAACAAGCGAGTCCAGCGAAGCCCTCCTCGTCTCTCGCGAGATAATCCCATCAACCGCCGTGAGATGGTCATCCAGGGTACCAAACCGCGTAGCCAGCCCTTCAGTCTTGCCATGGATCTGCGAACGCAATCGATCAAGATACTCCGCGCGACGACGAAGCTGCGCTGCGAGCCTGGTATCGCGGGCGATAGACGTGCCCGTCGACTCCTTTGTCGGGGGCGAGGCGAGGAGGGAATCGATTGCCGAGCGGAGATCTGCGCGCAGAGTGAGTCGAATTCCCACACTGCGGTACGGAGGGCTGAGTCGCCTCCTTGGAATTCGAGAGCGAGGGCGTGTCGGGCGGAGGGGAAGGTGGTTTGTAAGGTTGTTTGGAGGGATTGGAGTTTTGATTCGCTTTCTTTGAGGATCGGCGCGAGCGGGAGGAGAGTTGCGAGGGAGCTGGTGAAGATTGATTCTAGGTGGGTTTGGGCGGCGAAGATTGTTTCTTCTGGTGTGATGGGTTTGTTGTTGTTATTGTTGGTGGTGGGGTTGTGGGAGGGGTTTCTGGGGTAAAGTTGAATGCAGCTTGAAGGGTACAGGCTTTTGATGCCGGGGATGCTGCAGAGTTCTTGCTTTGAGTAGATGATTTCGGGGAGAAATAGGAGGTGAAGTATGGTGGCGACTAGGAGGGTGTTGATGGTGTTGCGGAGGGTGGTTCGTTGATTGAGAGAGCCGATGAACCTTGCCAGAGGTCCTTGCTTGATATTTTGTTCTGCTTCTGAAGTAGATGAGCCTGCATCGGGACTTCTAGTAGATTTGGGGTTTGTCGTGATCTTGCGCCGCTTCCGCATGCCTGTGCCTTTGTCGACAGCTTGTTTAGCTGCAGCTGCAGTGGGAGTGGCAGATCGCATATTTGGGGCCACCCATGATGCCTCGGAGATAGGTGCTTCGTAGATGGAAGGCATGATGAGCTCTGGGCCCGACGTGCTGATCCATGATGAGGACGAGGATGCGAGTGATTCGGAAGACTGCGATAGTTTATCGTTTGGTTTCTGTTTTGATTTCTTGTCTTGTTCCTCATTGGGTGTCCTGCTGTTGCTAGTTCGTACAGATCTCGGTGTCGGTGTCGGGCTGGCTAGCTCTGGTCTATCGTGATCTGCCTGTTTCTCCTGCACATTTTCAAGTACATCTCCTTCCCTGATGGAGGCAGTCGATGCCATCACCCAGGATTCACCCAGTGCCGAGCGATCTGGGGTACGCGGTGACTTTGTTGACATGACGTCGATAGCATATCCGTTTGAAGTAAAAAGTGGCCCAACTCCTCGTAATGTCGTAAATCGTAAACAATAAGCAATCAGCACTTGATCAGATAGTGTGTATTCAGCACGAAATCACCAGGACTCGATGCGATCGAAAAGAGGGGTGGTATGCATGTGCAACACGGCGCTTAGCAGGTTGATGTAGGGCGGTGGAGGTCGATCGGCAAAAATGGGCAACACCCGCAGCAACAGCAACTTGAACAGCAGCAGGAACAAGCAGCTCCTCCGGTCATCTGCCATCAACAATGCGCCTGGTCACTCGGCTTCGACCGCAGCTTTGCGCCAGACCACTCGTCTACAGTCGCTTACAAAGGCCTGTCACGGTCGCTGTCCGATCACAATGGCTGTCTACAACGGCCATTCGGCGTTGTTCATGCGCTGATGCCGCCAACGGTAAACCCGAAGCTGCTCACCCAGCCCACGACCACCGAACGCTAGGCACAAGCCAGGAGCTGTTCACCTCGTCCATTTACAGTCCCGGCTCACCTCTCTTCCTTCCGAATGGAACACATGTTATCAACAAGCTCATCTCCTTCCTCCGCGCACAATACATGCAGTACGGCTTCCGCGAAGTCCTCACCCCGACTATCTACAAACGCTCTCTGTGGGAGATTTCCGGCCACTGGCAAAATTACAAGGACGATATGTACGAGGTGACCGGCCGCGGGGCAAGCGGTGAAACAGAAGGCGAAATTGGCGAAGACGAGTCATACGGTTTGAAGCCGATGAACTGTCCCGGTCACTGCCTGCTATTCAAGTCGCAGAACCATTCCTATCGGGACTTGCCCGTTCGTTATGCGGATTTCAGCCCATTACACCGGAACGAAGTATCTGGCTCGCTGACTGGACTCACTCGGGTGCGTCGCTTTCATCAAGATGACGGCCATATCTTCTGTCGTCCACAACAGATTAAATCAGAGATCGCATCGGCATTGGGCTTTGTCGACATGGCCATGACAACCTTTGGACTGGGCCCGTATCGATTGGTACTATCCACTCGACCTGAGACGGATTATATTGGAACTCTGGACATGTGGGACAACGCAGAAAACCAGCTTCGCGAGGCATTGAACAGCACGGGACGGGAATGGGCATTGAATGAAGGGGATGGTGCTTTTTACGGGCCCAAAATCGACATCCAGCTTCAGGATCAGGCTGGAAAGTATCACCAACTATCAACGATTCAGCTGGACATGAATCTGCCGCAGCGGTTTGAGTTGGAATACCAGGTTGCCGAGGGCGAGGCAGACTACAATCCCGCCACACCGGGGGTTGCGACACCCGTGCTGGTTCACCGGGCGATCTTTGGCTCTCTCGAACGGTTCCTGGCATTGCTCATTGAGCACCATGGTGGCCACTGGCCATTCTGGCTATCCCCCCGACAAAGGAATCATCCTGACTGTGAATCAGGATGATGCTGTCGTGAAACATGCGCAAGAGGCTGCTTCGAGGTTCGCCGGATTCCGCGTGCTCCAGACTGATGGATCAGCCGAACCGCCACGCCCACTATCATCCGCTGATTCGACATTCCTTGTGGATGTTGATACCAGTGCGCAGACATTAGGGAAGAAGATCCAACGAGCCAAGCAGATGAAGTATAATATGATATTCATTGTGGGACCGCGTGATGTCACGGATGGGGGCGTCACTGTCGATGTTACTGGGCAGATGCAAAGCAAAACTGATCCGGAAGCTCAACAATTCCAATCGGTGATCCGCACGGAATTAGGAGAGAATGCGCTGCAGAATCCTCGAGCAGTGAAACTTCAAGTGGACGAGGTGCATCCGCTGTTGGTGCAGCTTGAGAGGAACTTTGTATGATGAGGGGGAGGGGGACATGTACTACTACAATATTTATATGTATATCCAATTGTAATTGTAAAATTAGACCAACTACTAAGATGCTTATTTTTATGTGTCTACATTAGTCGACTAGCTCTCCATAGTAATCCACCCAATCCACCATGACATATCCCTTCCGCGCGGTTACCCTCGGCATTCTTCCCCAGGGACTCCGAAGTCGGGCCTGCAGAATGCCTGTCGACTGCCAGATACCATCAACTTTTGTATGTACAACCACGTCGTAGGACGCATTTAAGGTAACACAAAAATCTGAAAAAGCTGTATCAATCCGTAAAAAGTAGCCCATTGGCTAGCATGAAAGGCGAAACTAAACCAACTTTGGTTACTCGCGCGCCCTGCAGATCTACTTTTGACAACCCCACGTGACTCCGCTGTCGGCGCCGAAAGGACTAAAACTCGTCATTCGCCTTTGAGTCAGACTGTCATAAATGCCCCTAGTTTGATTGGTTTTGGGTTTTAAAAAGCATTCAATTTCCCTATTTCTCGGATTCTCTTGTGTCCTATCTATCCCACCAGCGCAGTCCTGCGTTTACCCTACCTTACTCTACCCTAGGGTATCTCGACCTGATCTTTTATCGCTTATCCCCCACTGTACCCCGCCAACCGCCACCATGCCAATGTTTGTCAACCCAATTCCAATTGCCTTGCCACCAAGAATTTCCAATTAACGGTGCTATTTTCTCTATCCAGGCTCAAAGATCCCTCAACAAAATATAAGCCGTTCAAGCCGCTGAACCTGCCGAACCGCCAATGGCCCAACAAGACCATCGAACGTGCCCCGCGATGGATGGCCACCGATCTGCGTGATGGCAACCAAAGTCTCCCCGATCCCATGGTATGGAATTGCGAATTGCTGGTTGATTGTTGATTAATCAGCTCGGATATCTATAACATGTGCTAACGGAAATGCGTATATAGGACGGCGAGCAAAAACTCCGCTTCTTCAAGATGCTCGTGGAGATCGGCTATAAAGAGATCGAAGTCTCATTTCCCTCCGCCTCCCAAGTCGACTTCGACTTTACCCGTCGCCTGGTTGAGGAGCCCGGTCTGACTCCTGATGATGTCTGGCTCCAGGTTCTGGCTCCCTGTCGTGAGGAGCTCATTCGCCGCACTGTCGAGTCCCTGCGAGGCGCTAAGAAGGCTATTCTGCACATTTACCTGGCTACAAGCCCATGCTTCCGCCGTATTATCTTCAACATGAACAAGGAGGAGAGTCTGAAGAGAGCTGTCGAGTGCGCCAGGTTCGCTCGCTCAATCACCAAGGATGATCCTTCAATGGCTGGCACAGAATGGCAGTTCGAGTTCTCTCCCGAGACCTTCTCTGATACCGAGCCCGAGTTCGCCGTGCAAGTTTGCGAGGCCGTTAAGGAAGCATGGGGCCCGACTGTGGAGAACCCCATCATCTTCAACCTGCCCGCCACAGTTGAAATGTCGACTCCCTAACATCTATGCCGACCAAATTGAATATTTCTGCACCAACATGACCGAACGTGAGAAGTTTGTTGTTTCTCTGCACCCCCACAATGACCGTGGATGTGCCGTGGCTGCCGCCGAGCTGGCTCAGATGGCTGGTGCCCAGCGTGTTGAGGGAACCGTTCTTGGCGATGGAGAGCGCACTGGAAATGTTGATCTTATGATTCTTGCCCTGAACTTATACACACAAGGTGTTTCACCAAACGTCGACTACTCAGATATCAACTCCGTCATCAAGGTCGTGGAGGAGTGCACCAAGATCCCCGTCCCCGAGCGCTGGCCCTACGCCGGTTCCCTGGTCACCAGTGCCTTCTCTGGCAGTCACCAAGATGCTATCAAGAAGGGCTTCAACCTGCGTGAGAAGGCTACAGCAGCTGGCGAGGAGGAATGGGTCATTCCATACCTGCCCCTGGATCCCCAGGATATCGGACGAACCTACGAGAGTGTTATCCGTGTCAACAGCCAAAGTGGAAAGGGTGGTGCGGCCTGGGTTATTCTGCGCAGTCTGGAGCTGGATCTCCCGCGTGCGCTGCAGGTCGAGTTCAGCAAGATCGTGCAATCGGAAACCGAGAAGGCCAACCGGGAACTGCGCCCCGCCGAGATTGTCACTCTCTTCGAGGAGGCTTACCACCTGAAGTCCAACCCTCGCTTCAACCTGATCGACTACAACATTACCACCGACCGCTCGCAGTCCCCTGCTCCTCCTGAGCCCGGCAAGGCTCTGAACACCAAGAACCTGAAGCGTCGCTTCACTGGTATCATTGAAATCGACAATGTCCAACATGCCGTCACCGGCGTGTCCAATGGTGCTATCTCATCTCTTGCCGCCGCCCTCTCCACTCTGGGAATTGACCTTGATGTCGTTGACTACAAGGAGCACTCTATCGGTACCGGTCGTGAGACCAAGGCCGCCACATATATCCAGTGCACTGCCCAAGGCAGCAAGGCACAGGTTTGGGGCGTGGGTCTGCACCAGGATGTGGTCCAGGCTTCTCTGATCGCGCTTCTCAGCGCTGCCAGCTCAGTATGTTCACCAATTTACCCCCAAAGCCCTTGAGCTACCAAACTAACCCGAGATCCGCAGTTCCTCGCCTCCACCTCCGGTTCCCCGGCTCCCTTCCGTCCCATTCGCTCGAACACTCTCACCAACGAGGACCTCCTGGCTCTCGAGCAGCTGACACCTCATGCACCTGCTGCTAACGGTGGCCTGGGAAGTGCCAAGGTCAACATCGAGCAGCTGACCAGGCAGGCGGAAGCCCAGTAAACCGTAAAAAGTTTTTGTGATTATACGAAGTAGCTAATAATGCATATACCATCTTGTTTTGTCTGATCTTAGAAGAACCTTCCAAAAGGCATATTATTAGTAGACTTAAAACAACCTATCTATTCAGAAAATACGAAAATCGGCATGAGGCCACGGTCTTAGAATGGTGACATTGGCCCCCAATTTAGCCGGAAAGATCCTAACGTTACATAATTCGATAACTGTCGGAAGACTCCACACACACTCTGCCCGAGGTCTACTAGTATGAAGAGCCTGAGGTCATTCCCGAGATCGTGACCTTTATCTTCGCCCTTCATCTTTGACTGCTAAGTACTGCACACTGACATACAAACCAACCAATCACAATGGCAAGCAAAACAGAGCTAGTAATAGGAACCCGGAATTCCAAACTAGCACTCGTCCAAGCCGAACGCATCTCCAAGGCCCTTGGTGATCTTCACCCCGCCACCAAATTCCCATGGCAAGTGGTCTCGGTCCGAGGCGATGTCGACAAAACAAGCCCATTCCTGAAATTCAGCGGTCCATCAGATGCAGCTAAGAACATCTGGACCGAGGAGATGGAAGCTAAATTATGTTCTGGCGAATTGGACCTGCTAGTGCACTGTCTGAAGGATATGCCGACCAACTTGCCGGATGGATGCGTTCTGGGCGCAATTGTGCACCGCGAAGATCCGACTGATGCGCTGGTTGTTAAGAGTGGTCTAGATTATAAAAATTTGGCTGATTTGCCTGCCGGTTCTGTGATTGGAACTAGTTCGACGCGTCGGAAGGCGCTGCTTAAGTATAAGTATCCTCAGTTGATCGTGGAAGAATGTCGGGGCAATCTGTAAGTTTTACGTCTCTTGCGTCGAATTTCGAATATTTTTACTTTGAAATTTCAAGGATCAATGCTAATTATGATCAGTGATACCCGTCTTCGCAAACTGGATGACCCAGAAGGTCCCTTCACAGCCATAATTGTCGCTACGGCTGGTTTAAACCGCATCAATCTATCGCAACGCATCACGAAAAGCCTTCCAGCATCAGAATTCCCCTACGCTATCGGCCAGGGCGCACTTGGAATTGAACTCCGTGCGGGAGATAATTCAACGCTAGACGTTGTTCGAAAAATCGAAGAACAGCCCACCCGCTGGATCTGTCTGGCTGAACGATCATTGCTTCGCACTCTGCAGGGTGGATGCTCGTCGCCGGTTGCTGTGAACAGTGTGGTTGAGAGTCAGAACTCGACAGAACTTTCTTTGAGACTTGAGGGAATTATTATTCATCCGCATGGTTCAAGCCAAGTGTCATCAACAAGCGTCGCGGTGGTTGAAAGTGATGATGATGCGGTGGCTCTCGGTGCGGACCTTGCGAAGAGATTGGAGGAGAATGGAGGACGGGCTTTGTTAGATGAAATTAGAGTTCTACAGCATAGTGCTTTGGTCTAGTTCTGATTGATGTATGGTGTGATGTATAGATTAGATGTTCGAATACATTTCCCCTCTAACTTTTGATCAGTGATATTTCATACGAGTTGCCTGATGCCTATTGCGGTAAGAAATGACCGAGTTTGTGCTTGTTGAGTTCTTATTGCATATAAGAACCTGAATTGCCAGTGGGATTTACCGAGGAGCAGATGAGAGCACGTTGACTAGACAAGAAGCTAGGATGGACGGTCGATGAAAGGGACGACTCGAGTGAGTCAATGCAAACCAAAGAAGGCTCCTTTGAGGATGTAGGAGGCGTAGCTAACACGAGGTCAAAGCACCAGATTGAAAGAATTGCAAGAGTGGGGTAACTGAATCATCTAACAGATCACAAGGGCTGCTTCTTTGTAAAAAATGTCGTGATACTCATGCTCCCCCTTCAAAGAGGTCCGACCTCACAGGGCTTCAAAGAAGGACACGTCTTGGCGCGAGAAACTCGACCCGGATTGGGTAAAGGAACTAGATAGCGCATGCAATAAAGAGAATACAAAGCTAAGTCAAAAATAGAGAAGTGTCTCTTCAAAGAGAGTGCTAAACATAAAAGCTCGCAATAGCTCGCAGTATAGTAGAAAATTTCAGAGAACAAAAGCGAGAAACATTCAAGTTCATACCAGCCACAGTATCGAACCGGGGACGAAGTCTACCCGATTACTGGGAATAATGTTGGGCTCAGAGGTTGGCTCCTGGAAATGGGTCGACTAACAGTCGTAACTGAGATAGACAGGAAGATAGCCAATCTTGGAAGGAAAGCAAGATATAGAAGGCGAGGGGCAATTCTTCGCCTCTCTGTCTTGCCACCCTGCCAACTTGAAGGTTACCAGCGTCCTGTCAATCTTATTACGGCCGCTCGTTGTCCTATTTCCAGGAGGCAACATCCTGTGTAAGGAGATGACTTTAAAGCAGACAACTTACTTTCCTTTTGATACAATCTGACTCGCAAAATTAAGTTTAGCCAAGAGAAGCTTAGTATAACTTAGCATGAGATCCTGGAAAGTATCAATAAATACCGGTACTGGATGCGTAAAGTACTCTTGATCTGCTTTCAATCTTTGCTACATAGAAATGACTCTGAAAAAATAGTAGAAGCTAATCATTGTACATAATTTGGTTTAACCCTTAAATTAAGTTCATTGCAACGTAAGTCATAACTGTGCAAGAGCTCTTAAGAAACATGCTAAGAGAACATGAAAGCAGCCGTCATCATCGAGACGACAAGTGCAGTAAATCCGTGACCACCACTGATAGCAGCCCCAGAGTCTTTACTCAGTCCCAATGGCAGCCCCTGGTAGCTAAACGTCACATTTTGAGGAATGGTCTTGTTGAGGCACTCGCCATTCGCGATGTCCAAGTTGGTGAGGTCATCAGCGTTCAAGAAGAACATGTACTTCGACTTATCCAGATCCTTGAATCCAGAAGTGTCGTATGGGAACTTGTCGCCCGAATCGGTCGCACTGGTGTTGCGGAGGAAAATGCACTGTACTTGGCCCGGGAATTCGGTTGCCATTTTGGGGTAATCACGCATCACGTCACTGTTACTGGTGTCTGCGACGAGAACAAATTTGCGCTCTGGGAATGTTTCAAACACCTTTTCCAGAAGGAACTTGCGAATGGAGAGGGTCGCTGAGACATCGCTGAAGTTGAGAGGGCGGGTGTCGAAGGAGCCGCCCGGATAGTTGGTGTAGATGAACTGCATGTAGTTTCTGGTAATTTGTTCAGGAGTTGTGGTCTAGCAGAATTGTGAGTTAGTGGGTTGAATGGAAAATGAATGGGAAATTAATGATTTGAGAGAGGCCTACCAGATAGTGGAAGTGCGTGTCAGGGAGACTGGTTGACCAATTTCGATAAATGTCTGGCATATTCTGCCACGGGGTAAAAGGCTTGGCGAAAGAATTGATCAATCCTTCTTCCGGTTCGTAAATCTTGGTGATGCGGAGAATATCGTCAATGTCTGAAACAATAGTGAGACCCTTTGGTGGCACCAGATAGGCCGTGGAATTCCCAATTGTCGCGCCTTTAACGTAGGTGTTAAGTCGCTGAATCGCCGAGGTCTTATTTCCAGCAGTCAAACCATGGCTAGCAATGTCGACAAAGGTATCAAAATCACCCTCGGCTGTGGTATTGTAGGGCAATGTCACATTCTGCGTGCCTCCGGTTGTGTTGGATGAGCCACCTCCACCGGGCTGTCCACTGGCACCCTGGAACTCAGCAGGCTCGAGGTGAATGGTGTTCACGGCAACGTGGGGTTGTTGGACGACGAAGATCTCGGCCGTCAAGTTTCGTGCTTGATCCTGTTGAGATTCGGGGAGGTCGGCGATACTGGTGTTCACAAGGAAACCATTGGCGAGCTTATTCAAATCGGAGACGGAGGTGTTGGGCTGTTTGTACACATTGCCGTGGAAGCGCACACTCCATCCTGAGTTGGTCCAATTGGCATAAGGGTCAATATTCAAGACATTGGTCGGCAATGCAGCCAATTCCGAGCTCTGCAATCCAAGAGAGCTCGCCACTGCGTCGCCGGTGGGAAACCCCTGGAAGAAGTTGGGCACTCCCGATGCGACCCATGAGGGGAGGTCAGAGCCCAGTCCGCTTAAAACACTGTTGACATCTGATTGGACATCCGATGCCGCCGATTCCGCATCACTTATCAAACCTCTTTCCACGATCGGTGAAGGGTTATTTTGAACTGGAGACGGGGTGATGGCAGGGTTGGGGACGTCGTTGTTGTAGACAAACGCTGTTGGGGCGGGCGAACCGCAGGCAATCGACAGCAGCGCGGCTTGCGCCAGTGCATAGCGGTTGAACATTGAGAAGGCCGCGTGAAGCTAGGAGGATGGAATAGATTGAAGGAAATTAAATGCGAAGTAGGGACTAGGAGAGTACTTATTCATGTTTACCCCCAAACATCCCATGGTCCAGGAACTGGAGTGCCGGTGGAGCCCAATCTAAACGGGAGGGTCCAATGACATCACCGACGTCAGCGGCGGAGACAGGTTTTGTTGAAATTGCCCTGAGACATTTTCGTGATACCGTGGCTAGTAATAAAGTAAAAACAGCCAGGAACTGGGGCGAGGGCGATGAATAGGAATCAAAGATGAGAGATGGGAGAGAATGAGACAGCGAAAGATGTTCCAATGAGATGAGGTTCTCCCAAGGAAGTCACAGAAGTATCACGTGTCCCCCATAACCCTCAAAGAGAAGCACAACTTGAAGCAAATAGTATTGGCAGTGGCATCAAAAGATAGACATATCATTGCTATGCATTGGACTGTATATACATCAAGGATTTATACCTCTTTTCTGATTTCATGCTGTCATAGAGTCATAGTCACCAAGAGAAGAAAGTATCCCATCCCCAACCTCTCCTCTCATTTTGTCCACCATGGTACGCATTAAACTCCTGCGGACCTTCCGAAGCAATAATGTACCCATGCTCACAAGACGAGAAAGAGACCTTGGGTTGATTCTCATAGAAGTCATCGAAACCCGAAGCCAGTGCCTCGGAAAGTGTGGTTACTTGGCCGGCAGGATGTAGCTGGCCCCATGGGTCCCGACAGGAATCACCTCCGCAGGATTTGAGAACCATCATTAAGGCATCAAGACGGTTGAGTATCTGAGGAAGTTCCCGATTGGCGATCTTGTAGTTTGCATGCTTTTTGGGATGGGCCGCAAGATTAACTGTCTGGTGGGGGTCATCCTGCTCGAAGTGGTTAATATCTGGATGATCGCATGTGGCATGGACGTGGGCAGATTCTTACCTTGAGGTTGTAGTATTCCTTCTCGTTGGTGCACCAAACTGCATAGTAAAGACTATAGTCATCGGCAACGAGTCGGATACCCTTGTAGGTGTTGTTCTGGAAGCTGTTGTGTGGTTGTTGCAGCTTATCGCTTGCATATCCATAGATACCTTCTGGCACAGCCTATCCATATGTCAGCATTTATTGAGTTTCTCTTTCTCGATGCTATTATCGAGATGACTTACCAATCCCCAGTACTCGATCGCAACATGCTCCTTCTTGTTGTCGGATTTACTGGCGGCCACAGTGGTTGGGATGGCTTTGCCATCAAGACCTTCTCTGGACGAATTGGCGATTGACAAGAAAGTGGGCGCGAGATCAGTGTGACTAGTCACCACATCTAGAGTCTGGTTCTCCGGAATACCAGGTCCCCGAACAAGGAGAGGAATGTGGATATCAGTTTCTGATACATCAAAGCAGTCAGCATCATGTAATCTATGGGGCCACCCTTGCAATAATCCACACTTACCGTAACCACAATTCTTCCCCGGCTGCATACGGTGCTGGCCCAGATGATATCCATTATCCGTCGAAAAAAAGATATAAGTATTATCCAATTCACCTGCCTTCTCAAGCTTTTCGACCAAATTCCCAATCATCTCATCAACAGCCTGCAGAGCACGCAAACGACAACGCTGAAACACATCAATATAATCAATCTCCTTTTGACTCAACTCGGGCACATTCTGCGTCCAGCTCACAGCCCCTTCAATAAGCGCGTTAAAGCTCTCATCACGGGGAGACTGATAATCTTTAAACAAATTGGCATGTCTGGGTGCGAACTCCGGCTCGCCGAACCAATTCGCATTACGCTTGGAATCGTGAGAGCCATTAGCGTGTGGCGCATTCGGCGCAACAGTCAGCATCCACGGCCGATCTTGCGCGATCGCTTCGTCCAGGAATCCCGCTGCTTTCTCAGCGATCACATCGGTTGAGTATTTGCCGTCGTAATGGACAGGTGGATTTCCATTGCGCGTCATGCGCGCATAGTAGTACCGGTATGTGTATGGATCGAGAAGGAAGTCGGAGCCATTGAAACCGCGCGCGTAGGGCTTGTTGTAGTTTTCTTCTGTGTGGGAATTCCATAGCTTCCCCACATAATACGTGTTATACCCTGCATCTTGCATCCAGAGGGGTAGATAGTTATCGTTCCAGCCAGCTGATACAACCTTTGGGTATCCACCGTATGGTAGGCCGACGTCCGTTACGTTGGTGTTGTGTGGCATACGGCCTGTCCAGAGATTTGCGCGCGAGGGACAGCAGAGGGCGACGGAGCAATAGTGCTTAGGATAGGTTGATCCTTTTTGAGCTATGAGCTCCTATTTTTTCAAGTTGTTAGAAAGACAGGGCACTTCAATGAAGGAAATTGAAGAGTTCAATAGTTGCATACTTGAAGCTTGGGCATATGTTCCAATCCTCCGACATACTTGCCCTGGTCGTCAGTCAAGACGAAGAGAATGTTGGGCTGCTTAGCCACAGCTAACCCAGCCAGCAGTAATAAGCGGAAGATATTCATTCTGCAAAGATTGTCTGGGATTTTTGCTGGAGTGAAAGACAGGGCCCTGGGTGCTCTATTATAGCTCAATTCCCCAGAAAATACCTCTTTGCACCCCTCATCATAACAGCAAAAGCAGCGGAACAAGCTCTTGTCTCATTTCTCCACAGGATTTTGCAAGCCCGACAATCATCTGTGATCGCTCCATGATTTTTGCTTGACTGAGTATAGAGCGATGCGCAACCAAGCCCGCTGATCGACGGCTGCGGATGGAGAAACGAGGGACATAACGGGTCAGATGGATGATCATGCGGTCGGCGGAGGATGGGTACACAGGATTCTCGTATTCTCTTTCCCTCACTCCGCGATTGCGAGATTTGTACCGCGATGATGCCAGCGGGGATGGTATAAGGGTGGGTCAGCATCACGTCTTCGAATGTGGAGACAAGCGTGGAAGCTTAAGGGGAATTACATCATGCACAGAAAATAATCAGCACTTGAAATGGAGAGAATACAGCTTATAGTAATAATTTTGTGGCCAGGCTGCTTCAGAGTAAGTTGGAAGCTTTTGGCATTCAAGTAGTTCCCGTTCGGTTCCAAGGTTTAAAGACATGCTATGTACATGATCAGGTTCAGGAGTACCCACCGTGACTCAAGTAAAGTTTCAACCATAGTGCTCGGCATTGGAGACAAGCGGGAGATGGACAGATACAAATAGATTTACTGTAGTGGAACTTAAATTGGATTCAGAGGCATTGATATACCTCGTCGGGTATGGTATGTACAGAAACGTACATGCAGAAAAAGATCGGCGCAATGGAGGTATTCGGGGATCAGAGGAGGGGAATTACAGCAATCAGTAAACAGCAAAGAAAAAAAAGGGAAAAGAGAAAAAAAAGGGAAAAGAGAAAAGAAAAGAAGAGAAGAGAAATGTAGTGAAGAGATGATCAAGTCTCCTGCCGACTGCCGATTGCCGACAGCACACGGTCCAACAATGGCGCCAGATGAATGCCAATGGCCCGCCCCATTTAACTATATCAAGCAAAAAGTCTTTTCGGTCAACAAATCAAGTGCTCGCTCATATACAACATGCTAATGCGAGAATGAATTTCAGGGTTTCAAGCCATCTTGAATCTACCACCTGCAGCTTGAGCGTCATCACCCAAGGCGGACTGGTACATCAGGGCCTCCGCCGGCCAATCGTCGATCACGCCGCTCTCTTGAGTACCCGGTCGGGCCTTCTCAGCGTATGCAGGGTCTGCCATGCTGGCTTGGTGATTAGGAAGCGAGTCGCCCCTCGGTAAATGCTGGTGGCTGGGCTGGGCTGATCCCTGAGGTATTTGCTCCATCGGTGTGCTAGGCATTTCGAAGCTGAATCGGAAGTCGCGATTCGCGTCTGTGGCAGTGCCCTGCTGGTGTTCGTGTCCCATTGAATTGAAGTGATCATCGTCTGCACTCATAATTGTAGCAGACTGTGGTTCTTGAATATAAGGCACCGCAGAATGGGCTGCAGAAACTGGTGTAGCGGGGACGCTATGGTCGGTTCTGGTATCAAGCTCAGGGAGAGTGCCTCGGCGCGGCATTTCTTGGTATGGCGGTCCTGGAGGTGCTTCGCTTCTGTCCTCCAGAGCCACTCCGGCTGGCGACCGTGGCACAGGAGGGGCATCATCCTCGTGCATAGTCGACATACGCATGCTGTTACCCATGGTACTGCCAGGCTTGGAGCTTCTGCTAGCACGGTTCTGGATCACATCTGCGAAGGGGTGGTCCCCATCCATGTCGCGAATGCTAAATTGAGCGAGTGTACGTAGCTTCCGGGTCACCCAGGATGCCAGGACCTTTCCGCGTTGCTTCTCACCGAGACGCGAGCGAGGGAAGTCACCGTGGGAGACGAAAGCAACGATATCCGCCACCACCTGGTGCTCGCCCAAGATGGTATCGACGATGACAGGAACAAGGGAGGCCAGGAAGGCCTTACGAGTGACCTCTACCACGACCACAATCAACCCACCAGCTTGGAAGATAGCACTAGAAAATAGAATGTTAGCGAAATATGTCCGCGTCGGGATGAGACGATAAGTACTTACCATCCTCCGTTCATGATGTTGCGGTGGCAGCTCTCCACTGAGGTTTCGATATCCATGGGGAAGTGGTTCAAGCCATTCACCTCAAAGGTCTCACCGATGCTTCCCAGAACGAAGAGAACCTGCATCTCCACGGGCTGTCCGCCATGACCGATAGGTCGAGTCACAGTGTGGAGGAAACCTAGATCACCAGTGCGAACGTAGGCACATTGGGATCCCCATCCGCAACGCGGCCGTTCATTCGCTCATAATCAAACTCTTGCTTTGACTTGTAGAATCCAGCGGCACAGGCATCTGATTGGACCCAGATCTCACCATATTCACCCACGTGGGCCAGGGTGCAGGTTTCCGGGTTCACAATTGCAATTTGGGTATTCACAGGCACCATACCGGAGTCCTGAAGCAGGAGCGCAGTAGGGTCGGCATCGGGATCCACGGGGTAGATAAGGCCACGACGTAAGCTTCGGATGTCCAAGTAAAGCTCGATAGGCTCAATGCACATGTATGACCGTGTTACAATCATCGGGTTGAGAACGTGTGAGTAGACAACATTAATCGCGGTGCGATCCAAGCCGGCTGAGGCGAAGTGCAAGCGGGTCTTCTGGTAGATGTCCACTCGGGGTCGACTCTCTGCAGAAATCATCAGGTTCTTGAGTTCTTGAAGCTGGAAGCCCTTGCCGGATATAGTGCTCATAGCGTAGTCCAGCATTTGACTTGTGGCGTAAGTGTCCTTGATCTTATACCGGGCAAGAGTCACGAAGAGCGTCATTGGGTTCTGAGCAAAGTCGACAGGGGAGACCATATAGGTGGGAGCTCCAACATAGATACCCATCAGACATGTATGAAGGAACCCAAGACCCAAAGTACTGCGTACACTGCCGAGCACCGGGCGCATACTGGTCATTTGACATGTCTCTTTCTGTACTTTAGCCATACCCATGATGGTATCATGTCCAATTTGCACAGAGATACGTCGCTGATCGGGGGTCCAATAGGTCCAAACCATGGCAGTCGGGTTGCCTTGCAGCCATGCATCCTTCATGGTATAGCCAAGCTCTCTGCAGCCGTGTGACTGTTTCGAAGGCTTGGAAGTGTTGTAGATAGCAGGCACACCAATCCGCAGAACTTGAGCCGATTGCTTGATGTGCTGGGACACGAGTTTCTGCCTCATGACGTGATCCACCTCGGTGTTCACAATAATGGCCTTCACACCTAGATCATTGATAATATGCAAGAATGCCGGGGCATCCTCAGCTAGGCGGTTCTGATCAATTGGAGCCATTGGAATAACCACAACTCCCATGCAGAAGCAAGCGTGGACAGCATAGATGTAGTCTTCGGAATGTGTGTACATCAGAATAAGGTGATCACCCGGTCGAACCTTGACCTTGTTCTTCAGGTAAGTTGCTACCGCAGAGACTTTCAGATCGAACTTCTTCCACGTGATACCCTTGCCCTCCTTTCCACGGCCGTCAATAGAGCAGTAGGCCAACTCTTCGGCCTGGCGAGACACGCGCCATTGAAGGAGATCGACAATCGTGTTGAATTTGTTGAGTGGCGTAGATGTTCGGTCATCCATTACAACATCGCGATAGTCCACGCCCGAGTACTGCTTCTCTGAGTATGCGAGCAGCTCCTGCCTAGAAGCCAGAGCAAGAGGAGACCAGATACCACCCTCGAGATCAACTCCCACCGGCAGATTTTGAACAGACCGCTCAACTCCGAACTTGACATGCACGGCTTGTAGCATGCCTGCCTCAAACTCTTTACGGCAAAGCATGTTGCCGATTTCTCGTCTACCATTCTTGGTCACTCGAGGAAGTGTGTTTGGGGCCGTGAGTAGGACACAGTAGACTCGAAGATGATGTTCTTGGTATAGGAGCTCCATGCATCTCTCCGCGAGCGAGTCAAGCAAGATCTGATCTAGTTGGCGGGGTGGACCACCAGATGTTGTAGGTGCTGTTGACGCTGCATATGACTCCAACACGATGACCGGCAAATGTTCATCGTTGACAAAGACATCGAATGCGGTACAATCATGGATCTTCGGGATCTTCTTGAGCAAGCTGACCACCAGGTGCTGAACGAAGAAGTATCGATGCTCGACAACGTCTTGGCCATGCTCGACCCATTCCACCTTTTGGCGCAATCGATCTTCATACAAACCAAGAACGAACACTTTGCCTTCGATCACGCAGCCCAGCAGACCTGTTCGAAGGAACTCGGGCTCTACAAGGATAGGTGTCGGGTTTGTGTCTTCGAATTTGTAAGGACGGGCATGGAAAATCGCCTCGGTGTGTTTCGGCAGAGCCCAGAAGCCTCCGGAGAGCGAAGGGGAATCAACCCAAATTTCACCAATGACATTGGGAGTGCAGAGAAGATTGGTCTCAGGATCAACGATGGAAAGTGTGGCATCGGGGATCGGGTAACCGAAGGCACCAACCCGGACAGCATGCGGCATAGTGCTAGCGTACTTTCTAGCATCTTCGCCCATCGCCAAAACAACAACCTCGTTACTCTTCAGTGCTTCTTTGTCAAGGAGTACCTCAGCCAAGTCGTTCTTTCCGGTCTCTTTGGGTGCTGATATGCGAGATCCACCGCCCAGAAGACTGCTACCAAATCCAGTGTTGGTCTCGGACTTCTCGAGCTTGGCGTCATCTTTTTTGGAATCGCGTTCTGCCGGATCCATCTCGTGTGTGAGCGCACATCCCATTCGTTCCTCACCACCCAACCAATCGCGCATGCTGATGACCATCCCGCCGTGTTCTGGCAAACATAGCATTGGTGAAACGATCTCTCTGGCCCGCGGGTTTCTCATTGGGCGCAGCCATCTGTCGGTCAGAATCTCGTGGAACTCTGAATCAAGCGTGAGGGTGTCGATGAGACAGAGTTTCACGCTGCTGAAGTTGGGCTCGGAGTTCTTTTTATAGTGCCTCGTCGACATGGGGTCTTGTTGGTAGTTGTACGCAGCAATCTTCAGTCCAGAATAATCGGCTGCCATGATTGTCGCACGGTACTTGGTGATCAGATGGGCATAGAGACCAGGAGTCTCCACGGCTCTATCTTCATGATATACAGTTGTGTGCCCTCCATATACAGTCAAGAGAACTCCCAAAATCATACCGATGCCTTGTCGCGGGTCTAGGTAGCTGATGATAGTCTCTCCCTTGGCGAACTGCTTAGAACTCGACTCGGTAGGTACAGTCGAGACGATTGCGCTGAGACACGCCATTTGGTGCATGATGGTACGGTGGCTCATCACCACGCCACGCATATCTCCTGTCGGAGCTCGAGCAAACTCGATATATGCCAAGTCGGGAACAACAAGGGAGGGGAGTCATCTTTCTTCTTGGGATGAAAGCTTCCAAACTCATTTGTTTTCCACCATTCAACGCCACGCGGCCAGTTGAGCTTTTGGGCAGTGATGTCACGCTGGAAACCCTTCAAATTGTTTTCCGTCGTCAATGCAAGGTGGGCTTGGGTTGAGGTGAGTACTAGGTTCAAACTTTGATAGTCATCGAGGCTGTTAATAGGCACGGCAACCACTCCAGCAATGAAACAGCCCAAGAGAGCCACGGCGAATTCGATGATTTCAGTCTCACGATAGATCAAGGCAACACGATCTCCACGATACAGATTGCTCTTGTCGCGGATAACCTGGGCAACTTTCTCCGCGCGGCTAGCCAACTTGTCCCACGTTATAGATGCAATCTCCTTGCCCTTCTGATCCAATACCCAGTATGCCGGTTGCTTCGGATGGGCTCGTGCACGATGTCGGAGAACGGCCGGAAGATTGTCGAAAGATGACATGGGGGTATTCTTTTCATGCGGGTCATTCACGGCAAACGGGATGTCTCGGGGTTCGAGAGGAAGTAAATGTTGAATAGCAGGGCCGTGCTGCGCCAGCTCTGAGGCCGGAATGAAAGGCGGCGCCATGTTTGCTGTTGGAGAAAATGCTTCGCCGGATTGAGAGTAACGGTGAAATCCACCACCACCATAGCTATCTCTGTAATCATCATGCTGCTGACCAGCAAAATCTGAGAAGTATCCTTGCTGCGAGTCAAGCATTGTTGACTGCCGTGTGACACCACCAGATGCAGGGTCGTAGGCTCCCATATCATCATGCGCGTATTCGGGTTGGCCATATTCCGCTTGGGAATATTCGGGTTGGGCGTACTCTGGCTGGGCATATTCTTGCTGGGAATACTCCGGCTGAGCATATTCAGGCTGCGCATACTCTGTTTGCGTTTCAGGGTTGAAGGCGTAGTTCTGACTCATGAGAGTGGCCGTCCTAGAGCCATCCGGTCCTTGGGATCCCCCAGGTCCCGGCCTGGGAAGGAAAAGCGAATCGTACGACGATGCGGATGGCGCTCGATCGAATGTCTGCAGCATTCCGGTGCTATCTCTGTCGTGAGACCCTCCGGTGGGTGCCGGGGAGGGGTCCTGCATGTCCGTGTTGGCACCATGGTCGTACCCGTACCCTCCACTACCATCGTACGCAGCAGCATACGTAGGAGACGAAATGGTTGGATGTGACGAGTCGGCAGTGGGTGGCCGAACATTCAGAATCGCGGGAGGGGCAATGTGAGAACCGCTTAATGAGTCGGCATGGCTTGAGGTCGCGTGGGCATTGAGGTCAAGAGGTTTATTTGGACCGAGGAACTGGGAAAGCAGGACGGTACGTCGCTTTTGGTATCTATACACCGTTAGTTCCAACTCTGACCCCGTCGGCTAGAGAGTCCGCTAGGATAGCTCAGGGTGCTAGACGAATGTCCGCAAGAAGCCGGGGGATCCCAACGGTGGCCGTTGCTTACCCTTTCTCGGTGATATCGCCCTCCTGTCAAGCATCATGCCGGGTCAGCACCAGTTTCACGGACATTTAAGGCTGAGTACCTACCTCTAGTTCGCGGTCCAGGGTCCGCAATGCGGATTGAAGCTCGGGGCTTTCGTCCGACATTTGGACACGGGTCGGGCCTCAGTTTGAGGGAATGTGGATCGAGCGCGCGGGGGAGGAATGGGTGTCGTGTGGACAGGAACACCTCATGGCAATGAGCGTCCGAAGGCGCAAAAGAGGGACAGGGGAGGTCGGCCGTAGGGGCGCAGTCGGTATTTGTAGTCGAATTAGCCGGGAGTGGTGGTAGTTCCTTTTGGCTAACGAGTCGATTGTCTCAGTGATGGACTCCCCGTTGCGCAACGTCACCCACCCGGAGACCCTAAGGGCGAGGGCGGTCAAGGGAGCCGAGCAGCGGCTGAGACAATAATGTCGACAAGAATAGATTAGGCTAGGGTGGCCTAACTGAGGGGCAGAAGAGGAATTGGGGGGTGTTAAATTTGTGGGGGAGAAAGAGGAAGATGGGAGTACCCGTGGAAGTGGGAGTGGAAGTGGAAGTGGAAGTGGAAGTAGATGTGGCCCGGATGGAAATGGCGGGAATTGGGGGGGGGTTCTCAGGTACGGGAGGAGGAGGAGGACATGGGGGAGTGGATGAATACTGTTAGTACTAGTATTATGGTATTATGCTTATAGGAAATATATGGGATTAATTATATAGCATATATACATATATACACACATACAAACTACGCTACAAATACTACAACTCAGTGTATCTCACAGCTATTGTTATCGACTGTATACTGTAAGTTGTAACTATACAAAGTGACATGGATAGCTTGTTAGTCAGCATCCCCATTGCTGCCTCAGGTGTCAACCAGGTGTCAATCAGGTGACACTCACATGACCGTCGACACCTGATTGGTGCCAGATCTGCCCTAACTCATGTGACCCCCACACAACGCCTAAGCGAGCGCACCGCGAATTTCCTCCCATGCGGATCGCCGACCTCAACGACTTGTCGAAGCAACCACCCAACGACAAACCCTCCCACATACCCTCCCTCGACACTGTCAACATGTCCGACGCCGGGGAAGTCGTCGCGGTCAACTCCATCCTGCCCAAGGATGTGAACGAAGGCTCCGTCCTCCTTGTACGCCTCCTCCAAATCTCATTGAACATGCAATCTCGAAAAATACTAACCCTTGCCCAAAGTTCAACAAGTGGTCCTACGAGGATGTCGAGATCCGCGACATCTCCCTGACGTGAGTCCCTTTCAATTCAATCGCCTCCGAATGCGCAAATATGGTTGTTGTCGAGTCCACAATGGGGCGTGATTTGATGATTGTGTGGGTTTGGGGGGTTATGATATCAAATTCGGTCCAACAAAACACGGGAGATGGTTCGGGAGGAAACAACTTGCATATTGGGCATTCGGAGCGCAGCACACTCCCGAGGACAATTGCTGATATTTTTTCTTTCCATCTTCAGCGACTACATTCAGATCCGTCAGCCCGTCTACCTCTCCCACACTGCCGGTCGCTATGCCGCCAAGCGTTTCCGCAAGGCCCAGTGCCCCATCATTGAGCGTCTCACCAACTCGCTCATGATGAACGGCCGTAACTCCGGAAAGAAGCTCATGGCCATGCGCATTGTTTCCCACGCTTTCGACATCGTACGTTTCACTCAGCCCGATACACCATCCGAAATTTCGACCCAGTCGCTAATATTTTCTCTGTCATTCAGATCCACATCATGACCGACCAGAACCCCATCCAGGTTGCTGTCGATGCCATTGTCAACTGCGGCCCCCGTGAGGACTGTAAGTTTGACCCCAATCGCGATGAAAGGCTCGATTATTCGAGGGACTTCCCGAAGACAAGAGCTTTCATCGAACATCGTCGATCGAGGGAATAATTGCTAATTCATTTTCTTCTAGCCACCCGTATTGGTTCCGCCGGTACCGTCCGTCGCCAGGCTGTCGATGTCTCCCCTCTGCGCCGTGTCAACCAGTCCATCTCTCTCCTGACCATCGGTGCTCGCGAGTCCTCTTTCCGCTCCATCAAGAGCATTGCTGAGTACGATACCCTGATCTCCTTTTCTCATCTGAGCCCACATGGGCCACATCATCCGAACTTTTGCTAATCATATTAATTTATAGGTGCCTTGCTGAGGAGCTGATCAACGCCGCCAAGGGCTCCTCCAACTCCTACGCCATCAAGAAGAAGGACGAGTTGGAGCGTGTTGCCAAGAGCAACCGGTAAAGGGTGTGTGGGGTGTATTCTCCGTTTGGTCCTCTGTTTACGGCTTCTGGAGTGGACGGGGGGGTTTTCGCCGGGATTCAGTGGAATTGCACACATCTGCGCGGCTGTACTTAATCTGATACGGCCAGGGAAAAGCAGTGTCCAAAAAAAGGAACGCCGTCGGATTGCTTTTTTCCAAGTAGTTGGGATGTGAACACGAAGGTCTCGGGTGGTAATGGCCACTTTCAATATGAAAAATTTTTTCCTCTTCCAATGCAAATCAAAAATCATATTTCCGGCGCCCTTAGTAGTTACTGTAGAGAATCAATCTTTTCTTTAAAGAAATATCGAAATTTGACCGAGGCTTTGATATTCCATGTACTGGTCCCCCAATTCATTGGTCCCCCAGTGCTACCTTTAAGTGGACGTTGGAGTCGCTTATCGATACGACGAAAAAAAGTTTCGGTCCACCCCCAACCTTCGTGAACTGGGACCAACCTCCTTCCACCACCCACCATTTCTATTCACAACCAGTCAAGATGGTGAAAAGAAAGCTTGGAGCCTTAGAAAAGGTCGAGGCTGACCTGTGAGTTTTTCTAATTTCTGATTGCCCAATGCGCCCGCAACGGTCCTGCTCAGGCAGAGACAACGAACCGCTCTATTGACATCTTGCTCGCCCTCATAGGCCTAATCTGCAGCACAAGATTCGCAGAGATCCTAAGTAAGTGCCGTTTGGATGAATTTCTCTACTCCCTTCTCGCAGTCGAAACGATCTAACCGGTATCCTGCGCTTAGATCATACATTGAGGATTTCCGCGCTCAGCACTATCAATATGAGTCGCACCGCGAAATTTTCATGGCTGCGCCTTCGGCCGCGACGGACACTGGCATTATCTCTCTGCGCGAGTTGATTGACTTCATTTCGCACGTTGCCGACGCTTACCCGGAGATCTTGAAGGACTTCCCGCAGCAACTCATCGATATGCTGATGCAGCACCACCTGGTGCTGGAGCCGGAGTTGAGAGAGAAGTTGGTCGGAAGTCTGGTGTTGTTGAAGAAGAAGGATCTGCTCGATTCTGCAACGTATGTTCATCCTATCTTCTCATGGCATTTTGGTTCTCGGGTGGAAGTTCTAACGGGTATTTTAATTGCAGACTCCTCCAAACACTATTCCCCATCCTTATCTCTACGCCTAGCAAGACTCTACGTGCTCTGCTGTTTCAAAAGATTCTGTCTGAGCTTCGGACAGCCAACACTAAGACGAAGAACCACAAGCTCAACCGCACTATGCAGACTGTCCTTTTCAATCTGGTATCATCTGACCGCACCAGCTCAAAGGCACTCTGGGCCATCAAACTGGTCCGAGAGCTATGGAAGCGTCAAATCTGGACTGACGCCAAGACTGTCGAGATCATGAAGGAGGCGAGTTTGTCTGAGAACGAAAAGGTCATCATTGGTGGTGTTCGCTTCTTCCTGGGTGGCGACAAGGAGCGTGAGGAGGCAGAGGATGAGAGCAGCGATGACGATGCCGTCGATGTTGGTCGTATCAAGCACCAGCTTGGTATCAACAAGAAGACCAAGAAGAAGGCCCGTGTGGCTGAGAAGGCCTTAACCACTCACAAAAAGAAGGAGAAGAAGAAGAACCAACCGCACGCTCTCAACTTCTCCGCGCTTCATCTGCTGCACGATCCCCAGGGATTCGCCGACACTTTGTTCACTCGCCACCTGCAAAGCTCCAAGGCTAAACTGAACCTTGAGAATAAGCTGGTTGTCTTGCAATTGGTGTCTCGTCTTGTGGGCTTACACAAGTTGCATATTATGCCGCTCTACTCCTACTTCCAGAAGTTCCTCACCCCGCGTCAACCTTCCGTTACCTCATTCTTGGCATCTCTGGCCCAGGCGACTCACGACTTGGTTCCTCCCGATGTTCTTGAGCCTCTTGTTCAGAAGATTGCCAATGAGTTCGTCTCTGAGGCCTCCGCTGGAGAAGTAGCTACCGCCGGTATGAACGCTATTCGAGAGATTTGCGTCAGGCAACCTCTGGCTATGAACGAGACGCTGTTGCAGGATCTCGTCATGTATAAGAAGAGCAAGGACAAGGGTGTCATGATGGCTTCGAAGGGTCTGCTCAGTCTCTATCGAGATGTGGGCGCATCGATGCTCAAGAAGCGGGATCGTGGTAAGGAAGCCTCCATGGGCCTCCGTGCTGGCGACAAGCTCGGCAAGCGATTCGGAGAGCAGGAGAGTGGTGGTATCGAGGGACTCGAGCTGTTGGAGAAGTGGAAAGAAGAGGAGCGCCGCAAGAGGCGTCGCGAGATGGGACTTCCTTCTGATGGCGAGGATGACGAGGAAGATGATGAGGAAACCAACTGGGCCGCCTGGAACGTCGAGGATGATGAGGACAGCGATGATTCTGGCGATTGGGTTAACGTCCAAAGCGACGTTGAGATCGATCTCAGCGACTCCGAGGACGAGGACAAGAACAAGAACAAGGCCCCACCCAATAAGAAGGCCAAGCAAGATGAGGATACCAAGAAGGATGCGGCAGCTGACGCAGAGACTGCATTCTCCAAACTTGCTACTACTAAAATCCTGACTCCTGCGGATCTGGCTAAGCTTGCCGAGCTCCGTGCTGAGGCTGCTGTCGGCGCGGCTCTTCCAGGATCGAAATCCCGTCACGCCCAGAGCACCACCCGTCACAGTGATGATCCGTTGACTGCGGAGGAGATCGAGGGTCTTGCCCGCTTGTCTGCTGCTAAGCAGACGCGTGAGGAGCGTATTGCTCACGCCCGTGAGGGCAAACTGGACCGCTCCGAGCACAAGAGCAAGGAGGCTAAGCGTAAGGAGCGCAAGGAGGAACAAGGAAAGAGTACCACGAACAAGGAGAAGGCTCGCCGGAAGAACTTCCTGATGACTATCGGCAAGGCGAGAAGTAAGAACAAGCGCAGTTTGGTGGAAACGCGTGCTGTGCTCAAGGCGCATCACGACCGACAGAAGAGAGGTGGAAAGAGAGGTAATCTTGGAAATTAGCCATTGGGTAGTAAATACTAGTTGTTATGCATGCAGTTTATATATACCTAGGTATCTAAAATGGGATCTGGCGTCTATTGACTTTATTTTTACTCCTACCAGTGCCTATACCCAAATAGTAGTAGCACTCCAGCCCTGGAGGGCTGTACTAGGTTGTAGCTGGGCACCTGCGTTAGAACCACTGCATGACCTTCAAGATCCCAGCCCTAAATTATAGATACCGTGACGGTGTCTGATGCGGTATTATAGAGAAAGCGGTCTGATATATTGTTGTTATAGTATTGTATCTTATAAAATTCACCATTGCCTGCGAGTGAGCATTGCTTGAGGGTGTAATATCTAGGTGCTATATATACCTAGTCGTTCACCAGTACTATCATCATGACGGTGTCAAACTTGAGCAATTTGAAGTTGGAACCTTCAAGTTGGTCCTTGCAACACAGCTTTCTACCTACTCAATCAAAACTAGAAGCCGATACCACCATACTAGTAGTAGTAACCACGTTCCAAGCACCTTGAGGCAAGATCGCGATGCAAATCCGACGGAAGACAATGCCGATGGAGCAACCAGGCTATATAGTATTGATCGTGATGCAATCCTGACGAAGCAACTTGAGCTGTAGAGTGGGACTCGGAAGTTATAAATAATGCCTTTGCACATTTGCAGTCTACTCAATCTACTACTCCGTATACGATAAAGGTACTATATGTACTTCCACTGTATACAACTGACCAATCCGGGTGCCCGCGTCTCCCGTGACAGCATCCACGTGACACAGCCCTAAGCCCTAACCCAAAATGGACTAATTGATAGTGGCGCCGCAAAAGTCTGTGACCCCCCTGATTGACCGCCTTCTCCTCATAGACTAGCACTTACTAAAAGAAGACTAGACGGGACTATCTACTCCATTATAGGTAACTACTAGTCCTGCTCAAGCAGGCGGAGAACAGGGCGGTCAGCAGGGGGTCACAGACTTTTGCGGCGCCACTGGATGTCGCGTCGCCGCGCAACGCGTGCCAGATCTTCCCAGCCTCTTCCTCTTCGTCGAGTTCACCAGGCTTTCTTATCGTTCCCTCTTTGCCCCAGCAACTATCCTCCCCCTCCCCTCTCCTCCTTGCTTCCAACCCTCCCTTCTCCAACTTTTCGATCAATACAGTACAACCCCTCTACCCCTCTCAACCTCCTACGTCATGCCTTCTCTCGTGATCCAACCTGCCATGTCAACCTCCAACGACGCGCTCTCCAAGCGCAGACGCTTTCAACCCGTAATTACAAGCTTCTTCCAATCTCAACAACCCGAGTCGCACATCGTCGATGGAACACCCGTCTCACACAACCACTATGCTGCCGCAACCTACTCTGCAATGCCCGTCGTATCAGAAAAAGTGCAATCCTCGCTACTCTCGGTCGGAATGCGGGTCCGCAAGTCGGTGGCAGACGGATACAAGACCCAACGATCGCTGAAGCAGGAGAAATCCATTCCTCCACCTCTTGCCGTGAAGACCCCAACCGCCGAACTAAACGCAGACATGTACAGCCACGGCGAACTCGCCCCATTCTCCGGCATCTCCAAGTACAACCAATCCTTCAGTTCCACCTCTGGCCACATCGTCAACGATGATGGGGACGACTATTCTCTCTCCCACCGAGCAGTCAAGACTCTGTCACATCTACCAACTCCTTCAACAACAACATGAACAACAGCCAGAAGCGGATTTTTGGTTCGGATGACTTCGCTGCCTGGGAAGATGAGAGCAACATTGCTTTTCATGATGCCCCTACTGGTCGACGCATTCTAGCACCGGACTAGGCCAGCAGCGTCGTCGTATGCTTGCTTTGCGACAAACTAGCCAGCCAGGCATGGATGTGGACGATTTCGAAGAAGCTTCTTTCCTGCGACCTCTAGAGGAGGCTGACGCTGATTATGCGCGGATGGATTGGGCTTGATCTCTTCGATCAATTTTCTTTTCTTGTTCGCCCTGTGTATTCTGTACCCTTTACGACCACCTGATTCCCCCTTCTTTTATCCTGTACAAATATCCACCTCGATTCCCACCTCGAATCATCCTGTTTTATTATTCCATGTATATCACCCGAAACCTATGCCTCGCCACAAGCGTGCATACACTGTCTTACATAGCTCTTTACTGTGAAAACTCGATTTTTCTCAATGCCAACCGGTGCCTTCTCTTTCATGAATGTCAACTGGTCTCTCAATATGTAATTCTCTGTCCCGCCGTAGTATTCTTGGTTCTGATACGCTCACCATAGTAAGCTCCCATTATGCGCGATTCCGCCCTGAGCAACCCCACCTTGACGCACTCCCCACCCAAGTTCTCGGCCTCAAAGCATTCAGAAATATCAATTCTTCCCCCCCAAAGCGGATTTGGACAATCCAAAACTTCCCTATGGATAAGCAAGCCATCTACTTTGCAAGCTTCGGCTCTGTGGTCCTCGATGAGATTCGCTTTCCCAACCAAGAACCCCTCACAAATATCCTTGGCGGATCAGGAGCTTATGGTCAGTTCTATGCCCCATCTCTCCATAACCGAATGACTTGACCTCTGACCGAAGTACTATGTATCACTATAGCAACTCTAGGCGCTCGTCTCTTCCTATCCTCCCCGCTCAGTCGCTCCTTAGCTTGGCCAATTCATGTGGGAAACGACTTTCCAGATGCCATTTCAAATCTCCTACAAAGTTGGGATATCGAAATGTTCATAGAGCAGAGTTCAGATAAAAAGTCCACTCGAGGATTACTTGAATATCAAGATACTACTTTTGGACGTAAGATAAGACTTTTATTGTCACCCCAACTCCATCGTCTCTCATTGCCAAGCCCTTCTATGGAAATTAACGTATTCCATGACACTGGCACATACACATATTGCCTATATGACCAGTAACAGTATGCTAACCATCCATTTAGCCAAGAAATTCAAGTACACCACTCCCCTAATTTTGACCGAAGAAGAGAAACTGCATGGCACCATCGTCCTAAGCTCAAAGTCTTTCCATTACCTTGCCAGTCCCGCGGACCTAAAACCTCGGCTTTTAAAACTTCTCACAATTCGAGCGCAGATGGGAATATCGCATCGTCCGTTAACTATTTGGGAACCATCCCCTCTTACGTCTAATCCGGATAACTTTCAAGCCTGTCTAGATATGGCAAAATTGGTCGACGTCTTTAGTCCAAATCACTTGGAGCTTGCTGCTACGTTCGGGGCCTTGTATTCTTCCGAGACGCAGAAATCCGAAATTGAAACATTGGCTCTAAAGGTACTCAGCAGTGGCGTTGGTCCCGATGGAAATGGAGTGGTGGTTATTCGAGCTGGTGAAAATGGCTGTCTTGTGCAGTCACGGGATATTGGTCCTAAATGGCTGCCTCCATTCTATGTAGCAGCAATGCAAGAAGAACAAGCATCCGGAGTGGTTGACCCGACTGGAGCTGGAAATGCATTTTTAGGTGCCTTCTCTATAGGGTACCTCGAAACGGGTGATGTTATCGAAGCGGCTAAATATGGGTCTGTCGCGGCATCTTTCGCCTTGGAGCAGGTAGGGATGCCGAGGAGAAGCAAAGAAGGGCAGAAAGAGTTATGGAATGGGGCCAGCGTCCGTCGAAGATTAGATGAATATAAGGCTAGACAGAAATCCACCAACTAGGAGCGAGGGAATTGGTTGGCAAGATTCTACGATTTGCATGGTGAGGACCATTCCTTGCATGATTGAGGTAATTCAAGATGAGATAACATCGATTAAATTCATAACATCATTCATAATCGTACTCTTCTATGGGTACAGTGGCTAAGAAAGAAATAAAGAAACAGAAACATTGAGACATGTTAATAAAACCAGCGGAAAGCTTCGCTGGCTGGTCCATCTTGGAGATACTCAGTCGGGATGTCCTTCGCTTTGACATGCAATCCCTGAGCACGATCCCGTTTCTTGTTGTCTATCATCATCCAGACTCCGAGACAGATTGTCAATACAATTCCAGTACCACCAAAGCTCGCAGTGGTGATCAACGCCGGCAAATATTTCGGCGCATCCTGAGTGCGGAAGATATTGGAAGCTACAACGCCCATCAGGTTAGCCACGGGGACGGCGATGCTGGTCAAAACCACACGACGACCCTCGTTGGCAATGTTGTTGTTATACCAGGCATCAAGGAGGACTGAAGGTGCGGAGGTACCCCTGGAAAAAGAATTAGCAAGTTGAACAGTGAAAAAAGAGTACCGAATGGAACTCACCAGGTCATCATAAACGAAGCAAAATAAGCAACGTTGATATCATTCTGCACATCAATGGTTGCGTAGATGATGAATCCGATGAATGTAAATAAGAAGCCCAGTGCAATGAATGGAAACCTCCATCGCGTCCAGTCGCTGCAGAATGCCAAGATGAGCAGCACGGCGGCACCTGACACATTGGGAGCCACAGTGAACAGGTTAGTCTTAACAGTGCCATAGTTGAGGCGCTGAATGATCACAGGCAAAAACAACTGGACACCCTGAAGCGGGACACCAAGGCAGATCTGAATAGCCAGAATCGCCCAGCTGGTCCAGTGCTTGAAAATGCGGAACGCATCGCGAATGTTGAGCTTCTCGTCGACCACCGATGAACTATCAATTTGCAATCGTAGATATGCGACCTCCTTCTCCTCAGGTGAAAGAAATGTAGCTTCGGCAGCCGATCGGGGCAAATACCACAGGGCGAAGAGGGCGAAAAGGACAGTACCGCAGCCTTCGATGAGAAATAGATATCTCCACGACGCTAGAGGACCGGTCTCAATGCGGAAGACTCCGAAGGCGAGGAGACCGGAGAATGCAGAGGCAATACTTTGTGCCGCATAGAAGATGGCGAGTCGGCGGGCCAGTTCTCCACGACGGTAGAAACTAGATCGGATTATGTTAGAATGACTCCATATTGGGGAACAAATCTCATGAGGACTAACGTTGTCTGATAATAGATGACCAGCGGGAAGAAGGCACTCTCAGCCATACCCAAAAACCACCGAATGGCAAAAAGGCCACTGAAGTTGAATACACCAACCACAAGAACGGTGCAGGTACCAAAGACCAACATCATACAGGGAAGTACGATGTTGGGTCCAATCTTCTTTCCAAGAAGACCAAGGAACGGTGCCGTGAGGACATAGGGAACGAAGAAGATGCTGAGAATGAGGTTGTATTGGTTTCCGTGTAGACCGAGAGTATCTATGAGGCAGAAAATTAGAACTCGACCAGTAACCGTCTAAAAAGAATAAAACAAGAAACATACCCTCGAGTCCCGCCGTTTTGGCATTTCCCAAGTTAGATTTATCGAGACTGTTGAAAAGGTACATTATAGCCAGCACGGGGAGCAAACGCAGGTCGAACTTCCAGACCAACGCACGCTCTACCCGTGAATCGATGTCCACACTAGCTATCGTAGTATGGACATCTTGTTTTTGTGGCGCTTCTTCTGACATGGCTATAATAATTTGGAGTCAATGAAATCCTACATTTTCAAATTTGGAGGTTTAACACTTCCCCATATACCAAAAATTATGCTTATCGGAGACACAGCATGAACGGCCGATGTTTCCCCAGGATGACACACCCCGACTCCGGGTAAACCATGGGAGAGCCACCGATAAGCTGTGTTCTTGGCGCCCCGCACCCTAAGGTAGACCCCCGACTGGGGCAGATAAGCGCCTGCCAATGGGGTCCACTGAGCTCCGCCCCCGAATTGTCCCTATCTTCAGTTTTTCTGACAACCCCAATCTGCTAATTAAACTTTACATGGTCTCACTACTTTGTAGAAATTCTAATTACGTTAAGCTTAGCGCCGGCTATCTATCTGCCGGATGTATGTGGTTGACCAGTAAAATTTCTTTGCTCCGAGTCTCTACGAACGATGTCCGACGGAGGCTCGAAGCGGGTGAAGTGGCGCTCCTAGATAAATTGGACACGCCTCCAGGGCCCCCTTCGATGGAAGATGTAGACCGAGCTAAAGTGCGGTTATGCTAGATTTCTGCGGGAGCTGAAAACAGAGTTTCTATGAAAATGGATGGCTGATATTGCCAAAGTTTAAATGGACTCGCTCATACTTAAAAAGTTCCTAGCAAGATAATACAGATCTCCTATTAGGCCGACGCCGCGTGCTCGCTCACTTCCCGAGGAACAACAATATCCCTGAGCGCAAATGAGGTCGTAAAGTTTTTCTGCTTGACAAACCAAGCATTCACCAGCTCCCACTCCTGTTTGGGATCGGTGAATTGTATCTGTAAAGAATTGTTAGCAATATTCCACGACCTTGAAAGAGATTAACTCACCTCGAATCTTCGCAACATGCTGGGGACAAGCTTATAAATCTCAAGAAGGCTGATATTCTTCCCAATGCATGTCCGGCTACCCATTCCAAATTGGAACATGGTACCATTCATCTCCTTGACTCGAGACTCTTCCCCTTGTTTTCCAATCTCTGTCTTGCAAAGCTCTTCATTATGTAGCCATCTTTCAGGTCGGTAAATCTCTGCATCGTCACCAAAAACACCTTTATCCATATGGATTAGCCAAGCAGAGCAACCCACAATAGTTCCGCCCTGAACAAAGTGGCCTGCAATGTCAGCCCCGCCTTCTGGTACAACCCGCTCAAGTGGCAAACCGGCAGCCGGGTGGAGTCGGAAGGCCTCTTTTATACAAGCATCGAGATATGGAAGACGTTGACTCTCATGCCAAGTAACCAGGCCCGTTTCAGAGTCCGCAAAGGCCCCATCACGCCCAGCTTGATCAATTTCAGCCTGGAGACGTGCCAATGCCTTGGGTGTCTTAAGAAGGAAGTAAAACACCGCCGAAAGACTGATGGCTGTTGTCTCCGAGCCAGCGAATGCCATGCTCACAGCCATAGTTTGAACCAAGGTTTCGCTCATAAATTCGGGATGCGATTGATGCGCAGCCATGAATTTGGACAGAAGATCTAGCGATTTCGCGCCGGCAACTGGTTTCAGATCACCATTGGCTAGCTCGGGCATGCGCTCTGCCATGCGGTTGCCCGCAAATCGTGCAACTGGGAACGTAGCATCGATGAATCCCCATTGTGAGAGTTTAAGATAAATGGGATTTTTTAGTAGTAGTCGGTCTAAAAAAGGGATTTGTCCGATCTAGTAAAGTAAGTTAGAGGGGATGTCCGAGGTAGAATGAATGGAGAATGGGTTGTCACATACAGGAGCGACGTAGAGAAATAGCCACGACAAATAGGCAACGATACCGTCGATATCCTTGTTCTTCTCCACAAAACCATGCCTTTTGCTATATGTGATCTCTCCAATCACATCAAAAGCATAGAACTGTAGCCATTGGGTAAAGTCACAACCCTCAGGATTGTCAACGTAGATACTCTTCGTCTGTTCCAAAAATAGCTTGGTCGTATTGTCAACAAAAGGCTCGTACTGAACCAGAGCCGACATTGCAAAGGCCGAGTTGACACATCGACGGAATCTTGCATGAAAGTCGTTATCTGTCGTACTGAAGAGGGACTGCAGACGATGTCCCTTTGCAATGGACTGCTGCACAACATAAAATTCAGACTATATGCAAGCATTAACACGAATCAGAATGGATCATTGGGGCTAGAGCAGAAAGACATACCTTGTTGAATCCTTTATTCAGACCGTAGATAGTCTTGAGAGCCTTTGGACTAGAGAAGGAAAGTGTATTCGGTCCAAGACGAACGACATCTCCATACTTCTTATGAAGAGCACGATGTGTAACTTCAGACCGACGGCCATACACATCAACCAGGCGCCACCAGTCTGTGATAGATGCCAGAAAGGGCCCTGGGTATCGATGAAGACCATGTTTATATCGATTCTTGAGACCCCAGAGGAGGAGTCCACCGAAGCACACTGCTAACCAGTGCTGAGAAAGCACATGAAGAAGATGGTCTGTTATCCCATGCATGTTGAGCGCCAGGGAGGGAGATGTGTTGAACACGGAAGTGAATGATTTGCACCATGAGAGCTTGGAAGGGGTAGTATATAAAGAAAGGCACTACACGGGATTTGATGCCCCCAATATCTACCGAGCTCATTGTGCCTTTGACGAATCGGGCATCGCCACAACGCGCCAGTCCAGGCGGATCGTCATAGGTAGCTGCGCCGCCGCAGAGCCTACACCGAAAGGATGGCCTAGTCAGACGCACGGGATTATGCCTAGACCAGGTGGCTATTTCCTCTCGTTAACAATTGGACTCAACCTTGTTTGTTTATTTTTGCCAGAATCAGCGGATGCACAGGGAGGCCGTAAAAGCTGGCTCGAATGTCGCACGCACTGTCGTCATTGCTGACTGCCATGATGGGGGCATAATGAATTCATGACCAAAAAAGCAGCTGGACCCATTTCTGTCGTCGTATCGGAAAATGCGGGGAAACTTGCTCTGGGGGAATTCCAGACGGTGGAGATTGGAAATTGGAGAGTGGTGGGGCGTCTTCTCCCGCGACAACGGGATTTGTATACTTCGCTAACTACCGAGCCATACTGGAATTCACTCATTAGCCTAGAGGATATGAATCCTTGATTAAAATGTAGTATGTGAAGTTCAATAAAATAAGGGCTTAAATGGGTTGCTAAGATGACAAAAAAGACTTCAAGTTCTTAATTTAAGAATTAAAAAGTTGCAAGTGACGAGGTTCGAACTCGCGCGAACAAATGTTCATTGGATATCTTAGGAAAGAATTCTTAAGACCAACACCTTAACCACTCGGTCACACTTGCCGGAAAAGTATCAAATTTAACCTCGCCAGGCGTCTTAGCACACTCGGATATTTTGCTAATTGGTTTAGCTTAAGTCCACTTTGCCATCAGTGAAAAAAGTCACCAACCGAACCATTTTAATCAAGACCACCAACCCTGAAAATAAGAGTCTAGAATTTCTCACTATTCTAACGGTGATTATACACTTGTTTCTAATCCAATACGGAAAATTTAAATCCAGAAACACAGACATAATCCCATAATACTTCTTTTCTCTATTATTTTAAGACGTGAAATGATACATGGGGGAGTTGAAGCATGCTCTGTACTTCCAATGCGCGGTATAAAAAAATGGCCAAAATGCAATGCAGAGGTCTCACCGAGTTCACAGCTCATCCTTGCGGGTATCGTCTGTGGACTTAGCCTTTTCCTTCTTCTCCTTCTCCTTCTCTTTACCCTTACTCTTCTCAGCTTCGGGCTTCTTGTCTTTGCTCTTAGTCTTCTTGGAACTGTTCTTCTTGGAAGCAACGGTCATGCGTTCGTACATGCGGTTCAAAACACGTTCAAAATCACGCAGACGAGAGTCAATGTCTACAACCGTCAAGGCTGGGTCATCCGACTGGGTAAGCGTCTCCTGAAGTGCGAGCTTTTCTTCAACCCACAGCTTGGAAGAGTCGTAGATCTCGGTAAGGGAGGAGAGATCGGTAGGTGTGAAGAGGGTGTACTTGGGGCCGGTGGGCTTGGCTGCGGCAGCAGTCTTGGTAGAGGTCTTTGAAGATGACGAGGAGTAGGAATCATCGTCAAGGTCGTCCAGAGAATCATCGCCAGAGGCAGCTGGGGCAGGAGTGGAGGAGCTGGTCTCTGTTTGTTCGGTGGAGGTGCTCGAGGCAGAGAGGGCAGAGGAGTAGGTGTCTTGGTCGGATTTGATTTGACCCTCAATCAACTGCTTCATGGACTCGGCGTTCTTGATCATGTCTTGAAGCAACTTGATGCGTGCGGGCCGATCGGTGGATTCTTTCATGCGCTTGAGTGCAGGGTCGACAATGCTCTTCAGATCCTTCAACTTGGCCTGGAAGTCAGCCGTCTTAGCGTTGTCGCTCTCTTCGTATAGCCAGTCGCTAGATGTGGATATCTTGTCCTGCAAAGTAGACAGCTGACCCTCCTTGATAGCCGTAGCAAATTCTTCGTTGTCCACAAGATCACGACTGCGATAGATAAATGATTCAAGCTCGTTGAGAGCTTCCTCGCGCAGGACACGATCACGGTCTGAAGAATCGAAGGCAGAGAGGCGTCCGCGGATACGGCCTAGCTCGGCAGCCGAGGGAGCCTTCGTTCCAAGAGGAGTGGACTTCAGAGCAATGGGAATGATCTCGAGCTTAGTCTGCACGGTGGCCTTGCCGTTGTCTTTGGTGGCGCTGGTGGTGGAAGCATCGCTCGCGGAAGTCGTTGAGGATTCAACTTCAGGCTCAAGGGTAATCGACTCACTCGCCTCGTCTTCACCGAGGGGCTGCTGATCTCCCTTCTTGGATCCAAGGCCAAAGAAGCCCTTGACATCATCGACAATGCCCTTCTTCTCTGCTTCAACCTCACAGCTGACATTGCCACTTGTGACCTGGGGGAGACCATTGATGGGGTTCAGACGGATGTTGAACTTGGCGGTGATGTTTGCAGCCGAGCAGCCAAAGCTGTCCTTGAGCTTGGTGACAGAGGCGGTGAGGTTTTGAGTCTCAACACTCAGAACGGGGAGGTTATCTCCGTCCTGACCAACCTGCTGGTAGAAGCTGAAATCAAAATCATCCAGATTCTTGACAGTGACCTGCTTCTCCGGGCCGACCTGAGAGGTAGCAGTGAACAGCTTTTGGTTTCTATCCTTGCCGTCTGACTTCCACTGGAGAATGACAGGGTAAGAAGCGGCGTCACTAGCGCGGATCTCTTTAACACGGAAGCTAGGGCTAAGAGCAGCCCCCTTGAAAGCGGCACCAAATACAGCGGCCTCATCGGCATTAACATTGGACCGAATCTTTTTCGAAGAACCGGAGATTTTCTCCAGCTGCTTTTGGACGAATGGAGTGCGAACAGCACCACCGTGGAGAATGATGGAGTCGATATCGTTGAGCTTCAGGTTGGCAGACTCAAGGGCCCGCTCCAAAGGACCATTGATGCGAGCTGCATGACTAGCGGCCAGTTTCTCAAAGTGGACGCGGGTGATCTTGTACTTGAAGTTGACCTCCTCATCGAAGAGCCCCTCAAAACTCGCGCTAGTATCGCCGTTGGCGCTCAGAACCTGGCGAGCCTTCTCCGCGTCTTTCCAGAGTCTCGACATAGTCTTTCCGTGGGCCTTGACCTCCTCAACGGTGACTTTGCCCTTGAGCTTCATTGATTCGACAAGATTCTCAACCATGTCGTTCACAATGAGATCGTTCAGAGAGTCACCTCCGAGTGTCTTGTCCCAGCCCGCTCCCAAAACATTGATTTCCTGAACGGTCTTGTTGTACTTTCCAATGTCCTTGACCTGACGGCTCTGGAAGCGCAACACGCTTGCAGTGGTCGAGCCGGCTCCCATATCAAACACAACATGGTATTCCGGCTTCTCGCCATCTGAGACGCTAGGGAATGTGCGACTGGTGGCGTAGTTCAGACCAACAGCCAGCCCATCGCTAACAAGAGCTTCGATCTTCAAACCGGCCAACTCGGCGGCCATAGTGAGACTCTTCTTCTCCTCCGCGGTGTAGAATGCGGGGTAGGTAATCACGACATCTCGGACATCGGATCCTTTCCCAGCCAAGAGATCCGCGTTGGACTTGACTTCCTTCAATTGCATGGCCAGAATTTCCTCGACCAAAAACGCATCCTTCCTCTCCGCCTCGCCGAGTCGGTTCGTGCGCATGGCCACTGAGCCACGGCCATCGGGAGCACTTTCAAGCTTGAGGGCTGGATACCGGCTCCAGTACTCCTTGACCGTACCATCGTTTCCATCGTTGAAGGGCAGGCCCAACAAAGTCTTGAGGTTCATGTAGACATCATCTGGGTACCGAGCCGCCAGGGCCAGCGCACCACTACCGTAGAATCGTTCGGGGAAGGGAGCATTGCTTTCTTTCGTCGGCTTGAAAGCAATGGCAGCCGGTTCCTTGCGCTTTGAGTCCTTGCTAAGCACAATTTCGAGGGGAACACCGGGCTTCACGAGAGTGGCCTTGAAGTATTCGGTACCGACATCGAGACCGAGGACAGCAGATCCGGCGGCAGAAGCTGAGCCAGCAAAGCTGAGGAGGAAGACTAAGAACGGGAGTATCACGAGGGAGAGGAATGGAGAGGTAGGTAGCCGTTGTCGGCCCGGGAGAGCCATGGTCTATGTCTATGCTGCACACTGTACCGAGTAAGTCAATGTCGGATTTGAAAGGGGGATTGGGTGGCTTGGGGAATTACGCACCTTAAGGCAGCTGTGTATAAGCAAAAATTTAGCGAAATTCAAAGCGTTCCACCAGATCGCCAAGAGGTGTGTCGGTGGAGGTTGGCCTTGCGCCAGTTGAAGTGTCGGGTGTAAAAGCTATTGAATCGTGTGAAAGGTGGTGTAGGTGGTCAAATATGGTGGTGATTGGGATGTTGGAAGACGGATGGAATGAAGAATCCACAATGACTAGGCCATTCGGGCGATGGGGATGCTGTGGCCACCTGGCAAGAGAAGTTCAATGAGGCGCATCGTTGTGAGGCCACGGGTCCAGCCATGCTTGCCTTGCTTGGGTTTGCACTGTTTGTTTGGATCACGTAAGCCAGCCCTAATTTCAGGGTGTCACTACGAGTATACGAGTAGAGGCAGGTTACAGGTTTACAGATGTACAGATGTCTTTCTTTTACTTCTTTTACTTCTTTTACTGCCATTTTTGAAGAAAAATCTCATATCAATTAGTGAACTAAGTACACTTTATACTAAACTAAGCCGGTCAATTATACTAGTAAGGAACGTAAGTCATAAATGTGCTCATCAATCACCGCCGCCTGCCAGGGTGCAGGCCACGGGCATTAGGGTAATAGCTCGGTCATCCACGCCTTTCCCTTAGAATCCAATTTTTTTTTATATGGTTTTGTGTTTTTGGTGATCGGCTTTCACTTCCATTGTATGAAACTGTACGACGTCTGGAAGGAAAATTTGGAAAATTGAATCAAGACTCAGGCGGAAATCATTAAAGCAGCGCCATAATAATGGCGAGGCCGGGGACCAGGCCGGCCAGGGACATCTTGTATTGAGAGGAGGCAGCATTAAAAGCAGGAGAAGTAGTAGCTGCTGGAGCCGGGGCAGTTGAAGTGACCGGGACAGAGGGTGCTGCGGTGGTCGGCTGCACTGGAGAAACCTCGGGGGCAGGAGAGGTAGGCTCGGGAGCAGGGCTCGAGGGGGGGAACAATCACCGAGGTGGTCGTAGGCTGAACGCAGCCCTCGGTGCAAGTGACGACGGAAGTGATGGTCAAAGTGCTAGTCTGAGTAATTGGCTGGGTATATGTGGACGTTCCGCTGGTGACGGTGGCCCAAGTAACTGGGAAAGTTAGCAATTGTTGACCGGATAGAATTCTTATCAGTGTAGACTTACTCGGGCAGGTAGTGGTGATATAAGTGGTAGTAATGGTAGTAGGTAGAGGAGGAGGAGTAGTAGTCTCGGTCTCACATGGGGTCGAGGTCTCTGGGGGAGGAGTGGCCTCGGTGGTGGTTTCACAGGGAGTGGAAGACTCGGGAGGAGGAGTGGTGGTCGTAGTCTCGCATGGAGTAGTTGAAGACTCAGGAGGGGGAGTAGTGGTCGTCTCACATGGAGTAGTAGTGGTAGTGGTCTCGCATGGAGTAGTAGGAGACACAGAGGGAGTAGTGGTCGTCTCACATGGAGTAGTAGTGGTGGTGGTCTCGCATGGAGTAGTCGAAGACTCGGGAGGGGGAGTAGTGGTCGTCTCACATGGAGTAGTAGTGGTAGTGGTCTCGCATGGAGTAGTCGAAGACTCGGGAGGGGGAGTAGTAGTCGTCTCACACGGAGTAGTAGTAGTCGTTGTCTCGCATGGAGTAGTCGAAGACTCAGGAGGGGGAGTAGTGGTAGTGGTCTCGCATGGAGTAGTAGGAGACACAGGGGGAGTAGTAGTCGTCTCACACGGAGTAGTAGTGGTGGTGGTCTCGCATGGAGTAGTCGAGGTCTCCGGGGGAGGCGTGGTGGTGGTCTCACATGGAGTGGTGGTGGTCTCCCGGGGAGGCGTGGTGGTGGTCTCACATGGAGTGGTAGTGGTCTCCGGGGGAGGCGTGGTGGTGGTCTCACATGGAGTGGTGGTGGTCTCCGGGGGAGGCGTGGTGGTGGTCTCGCATGGAGTGGTGGTGGTCTCCGGGGGAGGCGTGGTGGTGGTCTCACATGGAGTGGTGGTGGTCTCCGGGGGAGGCGTGGTGGTGGTCTCGCATGGAGTGGTGGTGGTCTCAGGGGGAGGCGTGGTGGTAGTCTCGCACGGAGTCGTGGTCTCCGGAGGAGGAGTAGTGGTAGTTTCGCATGGTGTCGACTCTTCACCACCACCTCCTCCATGGCCAGGGTAACCACCACCACCGTGGCCACCGTCACCACCACCATGACCAGGGTAACCACCATCACCACCACCACCATGGTCACCATCACCACCTCCATGGCCAGGGTAACCACCATCGTCGCCACCGCCGCCACCACCACCGCGGATAGCGAGGCGCATGTCACCATTGGCATCTCGGGCAGAACGCTGCCCGAGGCCATGGTGACGGCACAGAGGACGAGAATTGGAATTCCACGCATATTGCTTAGCAGACAAACGAGGGAATGCTAGATGATATATTGAACAATCACTTGGATGGTCTGATCCGATGAACGAAAGACGATAAGGAACCGTAGCGAAAGAGTTCCTATCACGGATTGATCTCAAAACCAGAAAATCCGAGCAAAGAAGGCGAGGATTCGGGTTGATTTTATATCCACAGCCTCATATGGTGGGAAAGGATTCCTGCCTCGCACAGAACCCACATCCCACAGCTCATGGCGCAGGTGCAGCAGCTAGTCCATGGCAGGACCCTGGCCCCAGGGCGGGTCTGTCTCTGATGACTGACATCAGGTGCTATCCAAGATCGATAGATAATTGGAGCCGTCATCTCGATTTGTCAAATAGAGAGTCAGACAGTGGTACCCAACGGTACTAGGCTCAAAAGAGGCACCTCTCGGCTTGCATGATTCACAAAATTGGCATGCATTTGCCATCTGCGTGGGCAGAGTTTCCGTGTCTTTCATGTCAAAGCCGACTCGCGATGTACATTGAACTGGGTCTCAATGCAGGGCCAAAGTTAGTGCCAAGGCCCCGACCCGGTTGGCTCAGCGACATATAGCCGGGGTATGTCCAATGGCTGGTTCTTTCGAGATGAACCTGCCTTCTGGTTCGCTTGACGTAGAACCAGGATGCACCTCGCCAAACTCTAAGCGTTCGAAAAGGCCGACACTTGAGCGGAACCGATCGAAGTTGACCCACTGCCCCCCAATCATGCATGACGACCTTGGCAGATGCTGCGAGGCGGGAACAAAACTGATAGATAGCTCACTCGGTTGGGGCTGATGGGGGCTGGAGGTACAGGGGCCCTGGGTTGGTGGCCAAACACCCGGATGCATTGTGCAGTGAGGCTTTTTTTTCTTCTTTCCCTCTGTTTGTTTATTCTGTATGAAGTACGGAATACCCCTGCCATCTTGCTACTCTCCCCGATCGGAGAGGGTTGAAGTCGTCCCCGGCCCACTTCGTTGTCCCCTCGTTCGGATAAGAATTCTACGTCATGAGACTCTAGGGGATGTCAATTGCTGCTTAGTCGTTGGGTGCTCGGACAGCGGTCTCACTATAATAATCCAGATTTAGATATGCCGTTGTGGGTTGGTGTATATTTCTGGAGTATCCATGGAACCCCATGGCAGGTCTCATTTGTTGTTGATGGGTGAGCACTGATTGTGGGGAAACCTCACGAATGAGGAATGAGACGGCAGCTCTGCTGTCTCCAATACCAAGGTTCATACCGCTAAATTAGCGTGCTCTGGAAAACTTGTAAGGCGGAGAAAAGGGAGACTTTGGGTTGGGATCTCGGTACGCCCACCCGGAGAAAAGTGATGTCTGTGCATTAGCCGGTTGGCCCATTTGGTATTCCCCTTGTTGTTTTCTTGAGGTGTCTGCAACTGCACCTGCGCCGACTCCGTACACTTTCAGGGTCCTGGGGGTGGCTGGTCACTAGTGAGCCAAAGTACCTGGATGTACGAAGTAGTTACTCTCGGCCACGAGTTCCTGCAGTCCCAGTCACGTTTACCATCTCCCTGCCCACGACAAATATTGCATGGGGCAGAGCATGAATTTGCATAGATCGACAGAGCTAAGCAGCGATACCCGGGAGTCAATTGAGTCTGCCCTGATTGTGGCCCCTGCAAGTAACGTTACATGACAGAGACCAAGCAGGGCCTCGACTACAGGATGTACATACAGTACACAAATACGGGGTCAAGGCCATCAAGGCCATCGAGGTCATTGAGGCCAGAGAGCTGCAGGCCCAAGTGGGCCGGGTTACTGGGAGGTGGCACAGTGCGCTGGCACTAATGCTTGAGCAAGGATGTTTCCGACCGGCCCCCGCGATTGGTGCGATACCAGCCACGGGCATCTCATGATGTCACGTTAATTCCATGTTGTTGGCCATGTTGCTTTTCTCTGTTTTTTTTCCCACTTCGTACTTGGTCCCTGCTTGGCCGACGTGGTTGACATGTCTCGGACTTCGTGTCCCATGGTTGCCCTCCCAGGTCCCTCCCAGGTCCCTCTCCCAGTCACAATAAACAAAAATGCTTTTAGCTTCTTCGATGTGTTTTATTTGTTTTTGCTTTTCCGGTGGCCCATAGTATTGTTTTTGTTTTTCTTTTCGTATGCATAATCCGTATTGCCAATCGGTCTGGAGCGCCCGCAATCCCCGCACTGATAAATTGTAGTATGCAGGGAGGCTGGCACGGCCTTATGATGCCCAGACGGATCACATAGGGTTCAACGGTGAACCAACTTCCGGGTGAGATCGACAACTGCCGGAAAGAGCGGAAGTGGAGGCATTTCGAGAGGAGATTACGAGTATCGTAGCTCTTCACCCAGGGCAACGGAGAAAGCACCGTCTCACTCAGATTGTCTTGACTCTTGTGCTCTTCAAAATTTTGCGCCACACTCAAATGGTAATCACCCGTTCGCCGAGTGATAGTAATAATAGACAATGAAACACCGGTTTTGATCAATTATAGAAATGGTGGCGTCGGTGAACCACTGTCTACTCTGAAAGTGACATTCTACGAATAGCTGCGAGGCGCTGTGAGACTTCGTATCGTGACTTTGAGGGCTTTGGTCAGGCGGAGAACTTGCAGTCGACGGACGCCCTTCCAGAATCCAGAATCCAGAATTCCGTCGACAATGGCATTGGCTGGGGTAATTTCGATGTGTCCAAGAGAGGGTCCGCCCGCGCTCTAACGCAGCAGGTTCTGGGTCCATATTCGTTGCAGGAAAAGCGGTCGTCACCGGCGAAGATTTAATTTCTCTCACTTCCCCAAATAGGCAGGATGAAGTCAACAAGTTTAGGCTCGTCCTGTTCCTGTCTAGTCCTCCTCATCGTCGGATCCACTGCTCCAACCGGTCTCATAGCATTCCCGGATCTCACCCAGCCCATTAACCAGATTTTCCCGTTCATCCACCGATAACATTCGTGCAGCCGTACTTTCAATTGCCTTGACTCTGTCGGCCGTCCGGGTGGAAGCGGTCAATGCGGCTAAGACACTTACCCCGGCATTTGACGGGGATTTGGGGTACATTCCGTGCGGGAAACTGTCGAGAATGGGCAGATGGAGTGGGGTTCGGTAGCTAAGACAAATCCAATTAATCCTTTGTCCTAAAAAAAAAAAAAGAGAAAAATAAGACATCATGGATATCAGGGATGGGGGTCCTACCTTTGAAGCATCGACTCCGAATTATACAGTCGCAATTTTCGCAGACGCCCAACGTCCCCGCCGGTGGGCTCGGTGGATTGTCCGAAGTCATTCCCACGTAAGACCTGGACTTGATTGAAGATATGGTGAGACTTGCCCTTTTCTCCATCGTACGTGAAGTCAATGTCGAATTCAGTTTTCGCTTTCGGTATTTCATCGTCGTTGGCACCTGAATCTTCATTTTCAGGGTTGATGGTTGATTGGAGCTCGAAGATATTATGCCTTCCGTCGTCGCCCGCAAGCGAGGCCTCGAAATCGTGATAGGGCCGCAGTCTAGAGGGCAATGTGACTGTCTCAAGTGCAGAGCTTAACAATGCCGTGCTTTGCCACTCTGACTGCCGATCCACTTGGATCGAGCGGGGAAGCTTCTGCGGGATGTCTATGACAGGCACATACAGAGTCGACTGTGGTGAGATCGAGCAAAGTGACTTCGCTTTGTTCGTATCCCTTTTGAGTTGCCGGTGCTGTGAACTCGGTCAGAGAAAACCATTGTCGTACCTTGGAGTGAACATTTCTATCATACCCTTTGCACTTTGTTGCCCTCCTCCATGGCCCAAACCCATACACTTTTCTTGCCGTATTCATCTCTGATGCGGTCAATGTAGCGAGCAGTAAATCCACCCCAGGCGTCATCTGAAGTTGAGAAGAGTTGAATGGCGCGCATCTGATCACATTCTTCGGCGAATGGTCTTAGGTCTCTGTCCAAGAGGTCATGTTCTTTGTCAAGATCATTGAAGAGCTCTTCGCCGACATCCCAGTCTTCAAAGGGCATGATCTGTGAGTTCAACTCATATTCATTTAATTGGACGATTGAACGTGGATGATAGAATGTTCTGTTGTAATCCGACCAGTACCGTACCGTGTCTGAGGTTAGTTGAGGTGCTGAGATGCCCTGATCTAAGCTTTTTTGATAGTCACTTTGTGGGATAGGGGCCTGTTTCTGAACGACCTCTTTTCCATCCCTAGCATAGCAAGTCAATTATCCGCCTCGCGCATCGTGTGGGATTAAACATACCAGAGGCCTTGGCCCGCTACCGAGTCTTCGGTCAGCTCATACAGTGCATTATATTTGCGCAGAGTCCCAAATCCACCCTTGAGATCATAGATGACAGTCCGAGGAGTATATGTTTCTGAGCCATCGGCTCCATATCCTGGTCGAAAATGCACATCATGGTCAACAGGGGTTTCTTCACTATCGTTGTATGTGAAATATGATTCCTATGCTAATATATTAGAATATATTATGACGGAATGCAAGGAGAGGTTCAAATCAAAAGAAATCACCTGGAGATTCCAGAAATGCGTGGCCAAGTAGTTCGCCCGCTGACCGAGCTGAAGAGTGACAACCTCATGCATGACTGCTCGATCACTTGTTTATTCTTCCTGTTCAACAAGTATCAAGTGGTCAACCGAGTGCCGCTTCGATATGCCCGCACAGACAAGTCACGAGCGAACCATCCCACGAGGCTAGTCCCCTTTGGGAGCGGAAGCCCTCCACGTGATGTAGGGCCTCGTGACCTGACGCTAATCCCATTTAGGGAAGGCGCGACGGTGTCCACGGCAACGGTCACCTGACTTGTCCCAAGAGGGCAATAAACACAGTAATGTGATAATGTGATGTGGGTGCGTCACTTCAACGGTGATTTTCCTCTCAACTAACCCACCTGCGACGCCCTCATGACCCTTTGACATCCAGTGTCCTAATACCCCCTCGACTGCACCCGCGATGGACTCTCCAACGCGTCCAGTCCTCAGTCCCACCAAGGTCCTACACCCGGTATCGCCGGAACGCATGAATCAACAAACAATTCCCGCCTCGCCCTCCCTCCCCACCGATCTTCTATCCTTGCACCACAAAAATACGAGGGGTGTTTCGGAAGTCCAAGCGAAAGTGGCCTTCTTGAACAATCTTTCTCGTCAGGCCAGCCCGGCGGCTCAGGCACAGTCCGCTGCCCAAAATGCCGCCTTACAAAGGGCCATCCTCGGTCGCGAAGAGGCCGAGTCTACCCTGGAATCGGTCCAAGAAGAGTTGTCTGAAGCACAGTCTCGTGAACGTCGCATCAGCGAGAGACTTGAATCTCTTATGGAAGAATTGCACGGTGCCAAAGAGCGCCAGGCCCACGAACGCTCAATTTTCGAAAAGGAGATCCGGAAGGCTCGCAAGGAGGCATTTCGAGCGGGGTCTACTCTGGTGAGACTGCAAGAAGAACTGAAGCACGCAAAGTCTGAAGCCAAGGCGCTGAAAGATGAAGTCGCGGCGGAACGCGAGTCGAAAGATATTGCCAAGCAAGAGGCCTTTGAGCGTGCATATGCTCTCGCGGGACTTACTGAGGAGCTCGAAGTTCTCAAGGGCAAACTTCGCTCTATGGAAGCCTCCAACCATTCAAATACCCTTCAAGTTCGCGCTCACGAGATCCGTAAGGAGGATTTCGGCAGACTATCGCTCGCCGAGGGCGACCTCGCGTTCCTAACAACCCCGCGTCGACCGAAACGCGCCGCCGCCGGTTCCGTGAAATCTCCAGCACCCGAACTCGAATCCCTCGATGTCGAAGCCACCCCTCCAAAAAGACTGCGACTGTCCGAGTGCACCACCACTGCGGGGGATGATCAAGTCACCCCAGAGAACGAATCGTCGGAATCTTACAACGAGGCGATAGAGGAGTTGCAAGATGAGCTTGAGCTCGAGCGTCGTCGGAGATCTGAAGCCGAAGAGATGGTACATTTCATGAACATCGAGTGTCAGTTCGAGCGATGTTCCTGCCGGATCGCCGAAACACAGGGCCGCCGGTACATCTACGACGAGGACTACTACGAAAAGTTCCAGAAGGCGCAGTTGGAGGCAGAAGCAGCAGCCGCAGCAGAAGCAGCAGCTAAGGCAGAGACAGACGCACAGGCACAGGCACAGGTACAGGCACAGGCACAGGAGGACGCAGCTCGTCAAGTTTACGCTTTTGTGGAGGTTGCCCCTCCTGTCCCAGTCCACGCCGAGCCCATTCATAGCGATGTCCAATCCAGCTACACGCCCAGCGTTGAGCCCCCCTACTCCCACCCACCACCACATCCAACACACCCCGGTCCGCCAACAACCCGAACTCCCAACCAAGACAATCAAGACTGAACCGACCGACCCGCCTGAAAAGATGCCTATGCCCGCAGAGCCGCTGGTCACCTTCTCTCCCGAGACGGGAACCTTTACGACGTATCCGTCACCTCTGCGAGATAACGTCAAGGCTCGTCGAACCGACTCATTCGCCTCTCCTGGTATCAGGCACTCCAATGCTCATTCCAATTCCCACCGCGACTGGCGTAACTCCGCAATGTCGGCAGCCTCCTCGATTCACCAAGTCGAATCTCACACCCCAACTGCAGAGCCCGTTCCCTCGCGGATGATCCACATTGCGCCTTCTGAACCTGCTGCAGTTGAGCCCGTGCCCGCGCCGGAACCCATGGATGTAAGACCCTCCCGACGTCAGGAACGAGAGGAGTATCAGCCTCATCAGTCGATGACCAAAAGAATTCCGCTCCGTGAAGCAACCGAATCACAGGGCTCTTCTGGGCTTGTTCATGATACTCCCATCAACCGGGAGGAAGCGTTGGCTCAAATCAGGGCGAGACGCAGCCGTGCTCGCAGTAAGCAACGATCTGTTAGCGCAAACGAAGCTACTGGACGGTCTGCTGGGTCTACTGGAAGCGTTAAGTCGACTCCTGGCCGAACCGCGAAGCGTGTTCCGAATCTGCGCGCTGATTCGAGAGGTGAGAACGATGTGAATGAACGTCGGGACCTCAGTGCCCCTGTTCGCATGTTCCGACGTTAATAATCGAGTCAAGGAGACTCGCGCATATGAATTTCTGTGGCTTGATTGTTCAGCCGGTTCTTGTCTTTTCCCAAAATACCCCGGCGCTGGTGCATAATGTTTCTCTCTTCGCATTTTCTCGGTTGCAATACATTCTTTCTGATTTAGTTATGCCGTCGCTCATTTGCATTAAGCCCCCCCCACGACGATTTTGGTTTTATGATTCCAGCTATGGCGTTTGAGTGTTAGTTTACTTGGCATGCATCTCTTGGTTTATCCTTCGCTAGGATTTTGTTTTCTTTTCTTCTTTTTCCGGGATGCCTTGCACATCAATCTGACCCTCCCTATGCCATTTCCTTTGTCTGATTCTGATTGGAGCTTCTTGTACATACACACATACGCCTTTAATCCTTTTTGATGAATATTCTACCAGCCTTAGAATGTAACCGCGGGTACGGTGCTCCATAGCCCCAAGTAACCCAGTATTCCTGCCAGGTGTTTCTATTCAATTTGTACAGAATACGAACATTTCCCCTTGAACTTCCGCCTCCGGCTACTGAAAATATCTACCATTTTGGTTGTCAAGTGGCTTCCAAGAATGTCCTCGAGACCAGACATGAGGTCATGAGCTCATCGTTATTGTTTGTTATTCATTGGAGGAACAATTGAAGATTGCGTGTCGCAATCTAGAGCATCGCTGGATGCACCGCAATTTAGCTATGCATAGAACAGACAGAGGTAGGACAGTTCTAGTACAGTTTGGTAACTCCCCAAGTCCAGGTCCCTGGCTACTCAGCAGGAGTTCTTGCCATTCAGAAACTTGAATTTATTCCATCGGCCCTTGCGTTCCACGCTGTCCGCCCGAGGCCTTCACTTGCACTTCCATCGAGTCCAGAATTTGTAACTTCCTGGAAGTGACAGACTAGTCATCTCGTTTGTCTTGAGGCGACGATGTGGGAGAGGGACGTGTCACTTGTGGTCCATGCCCGAAATGTCCAGACTCCAGAATATCAGAGTACCCAACAGTTGGAGACGGCTCGGCTCGGTTTTCAAGTAAGTCTAGGCGCGCAGGACTGGCTGCCACTGAGCCTGCCAAGATGGCCAGACTTGAAGCCAAGAAAAAATGGACCAGCCGCATAATTATCGAGGCAACGGGCGAGTAGAGGATCCGTTTCGGTTTCTTCGAAATCTATTGCTCTTCAATGAAAACTTCAAGTTGAAGAGTCGTTGAAAAGGTATCCTTGATGGTCACACGGAGATGGCAATGGTTGTTGTTCCCCCCTTGCTTGGGTCAAACAAATAAAAACAGGTATAGGGGCAGGAGTTGCTTCTTATAAGGATGATGCCGATCGTTATCGTGTTCTGGCTCTGATTGGTGTAGGGCGGAGCCAGTAGCAGTATGAAACAGTTTGCTGGATCTAAGTGATTGGTTACACAGATCGCCGGGGTACATAAATAATAGTACGAGTATGTGTGATATTCCTGCAGATTTGATTTGATCACATCATGGAACTTATGTTAACTTGAACTAGTCCTCAAAAACTAATATTGGGTGTTCCTCTGCTTCGTATCTCGTACTAGACGGCGCTCCATAGCTGAAATCGACCAAGTGTTTCAGCGTCCCAAAATTTACTAGTGCTTCCTATAATGTACTAGCAATTCAGGATACTGAGTATTAGTATATAACTTGGTAGGCTAGGGAACGCCGTAGCGAGCCCCCTCCCCCTATAGCACAGTGAGATTCGATAGATGTAGTTCATCGCGATTCACATATTTTATACTGCTTCTAGTACATTTATGCAGTTTGCTTTGACGGCATTTTATCTTTCCACCAACGCGCAATTTGCCCAGTTTGCAAAAATTCAACCTCGCCCTCACGCTCCCACTCTTTCAACCAACTCAAAGTCCGTTCCAGCATACCAATGACATGAGCCATGCCACTAGTATCCGGATGCATGAGAACAGGGAATACAGGTTCCTCTTCGTTATCCCGAATCCACAAGAATCGGTCCCGCCAGAGATTCTCGATCACACGTACATCAACATAGCCTTGCGAGTTTTCAGTGTGCGGAAGGAACTGCATCGGTGTCATGTCTTCCATATAGTAATTGCAAGGTACACAGACAAGAGGGCGTCTGTCTGGCAAAGTTGGCGATTCTTTGACTGGATGCATCCATGTCGAGGCGGGCTTGGAGAAATCAATAGGTTGCAGCGCTGGACGTCGTGGTGCAAAAAATGGATGGCAGTCATGATCCGTCAGAGAAGCATCTACAGAATTCAACGGTTAGTTTGTATACAAGAAGATAGTCCAGCGACATACCGTATTCAAAGCCGAATTCCTCAAGAAGATCAAGCGTTGACTCGCGCAGCTGATAGAGTGGCGCGCGATAGCCGACTGGTTTCTTCCCGGTCAGGTTTTGAGCGATCTCTATGCATCGAACAAGCACGTCACGCTCTTGCTCCGGGGTGAGCTGATAAGCACCCTCGTGCGCGTAGCCGTGCAGGCCAACCTCACACCCCGAAGCAACAACCTGTTTTACCTCCTCGGGGAAGCTCTCGGCAGAGTGTCCGGGAATGAACCAAGTACAACGCTCGGAAAGATCCAACTTCTTCAGCATGCGAAGAAGGCGGGGAACACCGACTCGAGCGGCGAAGAACCCAGCTGAATAGTCAGCCAGATTATTGTCTGGATGGGAATCTGGAAGCGAAAGACATCGTTAGCATATTTGGATTCTGCAATCATCGACATTGAAAAAACTTACTTGTTCCGAGCCAGCCTGAAACTGCATCCAAATCAATCGAAACAGCTACGCGAATTTTATTGCGCTTTGGCTTTGGCAATGATCTGGGAATCGACGCTGCAAACTCCTTTTTGACGATAGATTTCGGAGGTTGAGTGGTACTGGCAATCGGATCTTGCTTGCCTCGCTCAACCCGAATGCATTGTCCAGAGATATGGCCGGCTGCACGCTTCGAGGCAAGGAAAGCCATAGTCCGTGCTACATCAGCTGGCTCGGGGCCTTGCTGCCCATTCACGATACCAGGAGCAACGGCATTGATGCGTCCTTCAGCATCGAGACGGAGTATTTCGTCACGAACACCGTTGAGCAAGCCATAGTGAAGGCCAGCTTTGCCCGCAGAAAGTCCCGACCCATTTTCTGTCTCTGTAACAACGATTGCGGGACTTGTAAGTTGGGTCCCCGAGGTTTGTTGGGCTTCGTGTAGAGATCGAAGGAAGTGTTTGATGACCAGGAAGGAACCCTGAACATTTGTCTGATAATTCTTCTTCCAGTCAGCTAACGACAACTCCCAGATAGGAATTTTCGCCGTCGAGTCTTCAGCAGAAGAGTTGACAATCAATATGTTTGCTGGTCCAAATCTTTCTTCGGCATCCGAGAATCCAGACTTGACGGATTCCTCGTTGATAACATCTCCATTCAAGAGGTGGAGCCTCGAGAATCTTTCTGCATCGATTCCGGAAAGCTGGAGTGGCTGGCTATCGTAGGCTGTGACAAGACATCCATGATCTAAGAGTGGGTGTTAGGCCTTTCTGTTAAATGAAAAGAAACTGAAATAGTATATTCCACAGCAACAGTATACTACAATACGATAAAAAGTCCGAGTATAGTAGAGACTAGGAAATCCTGGGGCGATATACAATTGCTAAAGTCAAGCCAGAATAGGGCACCCACCTAAGAATTCCCTCACAGCTTCGCCTCCAATGGCACCACTGGCTCCAGTGATGAAGACATGGCACCTTTCCAGCCCCAAAAAGGAGCGACGAGATAGCGACTCAGAAGACATGAGATCGATGATTTGTCGGCAAGACACCGGTGTGTATCAAGTTTACTCCGTACGGAGTACAATATGTCAAATGTTCAGCCTTAGCCTAGTAATTACCCCTCCAGGTTGGCGAAGCGAACGCCGATCTTTTGCAGGACGAATCCTCCTGCCACTTGAAGAAGGATCTGCACTCAAAAAGCCGTTCACCACGTGGCGATAGCCCGAGTCAGGCAAGGCTGATGTACAATGTGATTAGCGAAGGATTTGCCTGCAATGTGCCGAATTTCTGGACCGAGGCGGAGTGTTCTCCTGCGATGCAGTAACTAGAGAAAGCAATGTAGTAGTTCCGGTGTCTCCGTGAACTTCCGTTATCCCCACCGCCTTCTATCGAGAAAATAAAGAGCCATAGAGCAAATTTCCGACTGTATCTGTATTGCAATGGAAAGCGCCTTCCGGGCATAGAGGGTTAAACTTCGAAAATCCTGGATATTTACTCCATAGTGGGTTCGGCGTTCTCAAATTGCCTTTCGGGGACCGGGCTCCAGTGGGCTTTGGACACATCTTCAGCGATTCCGTCGTCCGTGCGCCTGCTGTCCAGCCTTCGGCATTATGGCCGATTGTCATGAATAGCAATCAAGCTTCAATAGTTCTCGGGGTTCAAACCTGTTGAGAATGGAAAGAAAGAAAAGTTCTCTTGGGAATTGTGGGATTAAGTTTCCATTGATTGACCAAGAGAAATGGCTTGCCAGGTGCTATCACTCAACGAAATGTATTTTCAACAGAAGTTACTTGGAAGCACCTGCTCGGACGGAAAGAAAGGTGCGATATCCATAAAAATAATTATTAGAACTTTCCTGCGCTGTACAAGAGGATCGGATTCTCACAAATTCGATTGGTTGCCAGTGGTTAGAGTAGTGAACGGCGCGAGGGAAGTTCAAGTTATAATAATCGCATATACTACTAGTACGTCGTTGAATTATCGTATGTAACTACATACACTTTCCTCCATCTCTAGATAGACTTCTAAAATAGGAAAGAACTCAACTTGGTCTGGATTTCATATGTAGTCTGAAAGTTTGTTCCTGGCCCCCAACCGCCAGCAATACATAATTATCGTATGTAAGGTTCAAGCTGGGGGAGCAAAAATCGTACTCGGAAGAACATTCCGTAGCCACCATCATACCCCGAGCACGGACCTGCATTAGGGTGGACTGTGTGCGAACGAATCAACGCACAGGCAGCTCTACAATCGATGCTACAATGTACGGAGTAAGAAAGAAAAAAAATGGCCTTGCGCTATTTTCTCCGATCTGGTCCAGACCAAAGTAACCCAATTGGGTATGGAGTGAACCTTGAACAAATAAAATAAATATACGGAGTACATATGTATATGCCCACTCGCGCTCATTGCTGGTTCGAGCTTGATTAACTGAAATGAATTAATTTAATCTACCAGGGGTTCCAACTTCCTGTTGTTCTTCTATTGATGCATGCTTGGTACCTCGTTGATTATCTCAATATCAAGCACTCTCCACATAGATGATTCGTGATTCCCGACAGCGACATCGGAAGAGGGAAATGTCGGATAAATCCGAGATATTGATTGTGACTGTCTTGAGAAAATTAGCCCCGATGTTTCCGTATCTAGATTGTTTACCTATTTTTTGTCTGACGAGTATCGTATGGTGCCTTGGAAAGGGATAGGTTACAAGTCGCTTAGGCCCGACGGACCGCGCAGTAGACGCCGTGGGTCTTCAAAACTCTGTTGCAATTTAGTGCGATGGCCGATTACGTGGCTTGGCTAGACATTGTTCTTTTTCTGGAAGAGCTGATGTGAAACATCGTTGCATTTCTAGCAACATACCTCGCCCACGTCGACAAAAAAATCAAAAAGGGGCCAAAAAATTTGAAGATGGAGAGGGATTTCCAAACGCATCACAGGGGCTCTATGAAATAGTGGGGATTGGTATGATATGGCCATCAGGTTTCGGCCGATGACGATTGAGATTTGATAATTTCTCCAGACCGCTTATCATCTCCCCGGACGATCCCTCCATTTGATTGATTTTTTTTCGTTTCTTGGAAAGTGGAAGCGGCCCCAAGATGCACACCCGGAAAATCAATGTCCACAGCTCTCCTTGAAAAACCAAGGTATGGGATGGAGAAATCAAGCGATCCATGGACGGGGGGGGGATGCCATTGTACCACTCAGAGCTGAACTAAGCCAGTGTCTAGGAAGGTGGCGCTCGTCGGATGGCGTGGGAACCACCAAAAGGTACAAAGTGGAGTCATGTCGTTCGACCGAGGCTCGTTGACAGGCTGAACCGGTCATTGCTCCCGAATGGATATAATTTAAAGAACCAGAGGAATATTAGCCCGGGGGGAAAATGGCGGAGTTGCCGGCTAACCGGATATAGGACTGCGTCCGACATCAAAGATGATGTCGCGTGCTTCGATTCTTATTTTTGGGATTCCTTCGAGAACTCATGCAAGAGAAGATTTCGGGGTTGGCGCGAACGTTAAGAGTCGGAAATTCCGGCGAAGATCGCGGCACTTGCACGGGAACTCTTTTGTCGCCAATCACGTTGCAGATGTGGGAATTGTTCACAGCGTGTCTCCTGAACCATCGTAGCACCCGTGCTTCCCAGCCTCTCTGAGAGGCTGGGTGCTAGAGTATAGTGGAACCAAACCATGTTTAGAGAAGATCAACAGTCGTTGACGCAAGACTCAAGGATCGGGAGATCGGCGGGTCGGATGGACTCTATCCAATCGGTGTGCAGTTTGACTTGAACCGGTTATGCTGAGGCGAATAAGATCCATGGGACAATTGGCGAGAGGTAGATCTTTAGAATGCTCTTTTCACATTGCGGTGTAAACCTTGGAATTAGCACTATGTAGTAGTAGATGCATAAATTGATGAAGATGATGGGTATATTGATCTATACTGCACTAAATATGTAGGAGATTCCGGCAGACCCCCCAATTCGATACAATCCAACCCCCCCCCCCCTCTGTCCAGCTTACTGAAAAACACCCGGACAAATTAGAAGAAATATGTACAGAAAAAGGTCCAAAAATTAGGGTATCGGGCGCACACGTGCGTATAATTCGTAAATTGGGATGCGTTTCTTTTGGCTTTTAGATCCGTGAGATCGGCGTAGATGATACATTGTATGTCGCGAAATGATAGAAAAATGAAGTATGTCATGTAACTTCGAATTCGGATCAGACCTCTTCGTGGCCTTGGGTGACATGTGCAGTGCTGGACTGATATTGTGGCGGTCGCGAGTCATGCTGCACAGTGACGGTGATGTCTTGCCGGATGCGCAAGGCTCGTGCGGAGCCGTCATCGCTGCTCATATCTCGCTCGTCGGATCCCCCAAGACTGATATCGGAGACTGCGGGTCCGCTTTTCTGCGGTGTGGCAACAGTACTGCGATTGGGAAAGTTTTGCATGTCGAAGTCGCCCGAGCGCAATTGACTTGGAGGTCCGTATGGTCGGGATCCCTTGCTCGTCCAGGGTCCAGACTTGTATCGGTCGGTGCCCCTCTTCGACCCTCCAGTCCAACTCTTGAGCGCGGGGAATACGTCCCTCAAAAGCGACCAGATCAAGGGTAGGTTGGTGACTAAAATGCCAACGGTGGCTTCGCGGAAATACCAATTCATGTAGACGTAAGAGATGAGCGACGGAACCAGGCAATAGACCTTGTTCAGGACGGCGGCAACAATGACGAAGATGCCCATTCCGAAAAGTAATATCAGGATGAGCTTCTGCTTCATTGGTACACGAACTTGTACTAGTAGGGGGATGGCGACAAGAAGCATGAAAACATCCGCAGAGATAGAAATGCATCCTTGGACGATCTCATAGTACTGGTACGAAGAGCATTGATCTGGAACTTGTTAATGGAGGAGGACATGGGTATTGGAAAGACGCTTTCTTACAGTTGTCTGTTGGAACAGCCCAGTATTCGGTGATTGGGCGGCAGATGAGGAAGAGAGACAGTTCGGTGGCGACGAAGCCGAGAGCAACGTATACGGCGATGTAGTTGATCCATTTGCGCTGGCGCAAACCCTCCGTGATACGAGCATAGATCACCAGCATACAAGCTTTCATGCTCCATACTGCAAGAACGAAAGCGTGCTCCGACACAAAGACCCATTTGCTTCCCTTCTCTCGTTCAGCCGAAATTGCAGGAGTCAGGTTGGCCTTATCCTCGGCGGTCATAAGATTTGACCCTCCACCAGAGGCGACTTGGTTGAGTGCAACACAGAGAAGTGTATACCAAAGGACGGCGGAGAGCATGAGATAATCATCGGCCTGAAGGTTGCGAATACCTAATCGGCGGATACGGGCAGTGCTAATCAAAAGCGAGTTAGTTTCAACACATCCAAGTCTTGCGATGTCGTTTAGCAATGAGATATTTCAACTTACAATCGTAGAACGGCACCTAGGACACCGACGGCGTATAATGCCCATGTTTCCCGGGCAAAGCGGACGCCAAAGTCACCTCCTAACCCAGACATGGTATTAGAGTGTAGCCTTGAGGACAGTTAGATTATCGACCGGCCGGAGGAGAGGAGGGGGGGGGTTCAAAAGAAAGTGCAGCACCCACATCTTATTATAAGATAAGTCGGAAAAATTGGGTCAATCTAACGCATGAGTATAGAGTTTGCGGGAACGCTTCCACTGCCGAGGAAGATCACTTTGCCAGGGGAGTGGGTGATGAGAGAGTTCGCCGGGCGTGATGTGTACACGATTATTGGGGAGATGCATGACCGAAGTCTGTGGGCGTACGGAGTAGAGGACATGGCTTATCAGAGGCGAACAGATCGAGACGAGCCTCCGATAGGTCGCCGCATTTGGTAACTGAGGATCTTCCTCTGACAGCACTGGACCAACCATTGAGCCTGGTGGGGGAAGCAATCGAGGTTCCCAGTTCCATGGCTAGACTGGAAGGGAAACCTTGGATTGAATTTCGCGGGAAATGAATGTGATTGCTGCAGATGGTCGAACATGATTTGTGCCTGGGATTTGTTGCCGATATACTCCACTCATTTCAGCTGCTTTAGCAAAGATTGGCTACAGACCTTCCGCATTTAGGAGGCCACCCTTGGGCTATGCTCTGTCCTCAAGGTTCAACTTCGGGGGAGAGCACAGTAATACAAGTGCAAAGAGAGTTTAATTGGGTCTATAGGACTTGGCGATAGCGGAATCTGACCGCAGATATATTAAAGTCAAACGGAATACCTAGAAAAGGTAGGTCCTAAGGATATGTGATACTATAAGCGTGAGACCAGACGATACTCCGTAGTATAACATTTGGCGAACCAGAGAGCCTACGACAAAGCCGAGTTCAAACCTGCCTTCCTAGGCGGGGCAAGTCTCAATGGGTGGCTGCGGAGGCGAGTCCATAAGTGGGCAAGTCGATCGCGTGAAATTTAGGTGTTGGAGTAATCTTGGCCAGTGGAATTGACCTAATACAACAGACTTCCGGCGAGCGTCCGTATACTTTACTCGATGCGGGCGTACGGCCTTGGGGTCGAGATGTCCACAACTCTATTAAACTTCAGTCTGCGGGGCCGCTAATAGAGTGGAGCACTTGCCTTGGTTAGCGAGCCCTTGCAGTTGAGGTATTTTGATGGTGGAGCCGGGGAGATCACTACTCCGTACGGGGCTTGTAGGTGGGATGTGGGGGGGTCTCAGCGTGGCGAATAGATCCTTTGCCCTGAACCAAATGCAAGATCAGGTAATTCGTACATGCCGTCTTTGCCTATCAACCTTTTTTCCCAGTTCAGAGCGCGAACTTGGGGGGAGGGAGAACGAGAGGAAGTTGTTTTTAATGCCGATCGGATCGGGTATAGACTAGGAACCAGGAGATCTCGCAGTTCGTCTTGCCAGCCCCGATGTCGCAACGCTAGCGGAGCGGACGAATCAATGGCTAGTTCCAGAATCTACGCTGGAATCGAGCAGGCTGTGTGCCTGGACAAGAAAGATCGTTTGGCTTTAGAGCACTCTCAATGGTTGGTCGCATGGTTACAGTTACAGATACATACTCCATAGTGATTTGTGTATTCCAGTAACATCCACATATGCAGGAAAGACTAATCATCGCTGAGCCTTGGCGGCCATTCTAGATCCAGAGCTCAAACGCCACTTTGATCCTACCAAATCTAAAACTAATCTAGGCCACCTCCATACGAAGAGCAGAGTGTTGTGGTATCTAGTGTAGCCATCTTAGAGTGGGCACAACATCCACTCTAGTTCTCCGTAGCTACGACGCACAGATTTGAGACAAGCCCACGGTTCTCACGGTTCTCGGGGGAAGCCTTGTTAGGCGTAGATCGGTGGGCCAGATGGGGTGGTTTCTCGCAAGCTGGATCGCTCTTCGTTCATAATACAACATGCGACCGACATGAAAAAGCCTCCAGCAGGCCGAGACTTCGACTAGTGTATGTAGTAGATTTTGTTTCGCACGGGCATTGGCATGGCCACTTCATATGGAACTCGTGAGATCTCGATCTCATCTAACAATAGAATTGTCGACCTACTAGTGGCTAGAGCCTTATGATGTGGCCCCCCCTATGCTACAAGCTAAATTTCAAGACATCATTCCTAAAGGGACAAAGTGCGACGACAAAGCATATCCAGGCCACAGGGCTCATCTTGTCTCACTTTGATGGCCCCCAAAGTACTTCATAAGGGAATCGGTGTCGACGTTGAGTGTCTAGTGAACTTTGGTTAACACCATGTGGATGGGAACTAGTTTCCACTTGTGGCCAATTTTTTGTCTCTTTCTAGAAGAACATACGCCTCGGAAAGAAGACGGAATCTACGTCACCTACGTAGACCAAAAACTAGGGCAGACAAAATTCTATTCCACATGGTTGTCGCATATTTATGCATGACATGCGCAAGTGTCTGACTAGTAGTAGTAGTACTGCGACGAATGTAGAATCCTCCAGGTACTGTAGTGTAAATGGGGATCCCCTCATCTCTCCCCCCCTATCCACTGATCCGGCACATCCTCCACAGAACTGGGGAGGCTTTGCCTCCAGATCATGGAGCATCAAACAGGAATAGGAAACCGGTACGTTCATAGGGCCAGGGATAAACTGAAGGTACATGGAATGATGTGCCAAGGAACCATATGAGTGGCCTGAACCGAGCAGGAAAATTCTTTCTGCTGAAGCTCCCCTTCTAGGTAAGGTGCGTACTGGCTCTCCGCGTCGATGGCTGAGTTTCGTTGGAGTTTGGCTCAACTCGCCTCTTGGAGGCATCCAATGAGCCCAGTTCATTGCCCTTGCCGTGACCCACATAATGCCGGTGGTCACTCCATTTGGTGCCCCGCGGTAGCCCATTGGATGGAGATTGGGGTTTCAGTCATTTAGAGTGGCTAGGAAGAGTGGAGTACAGGAATGCATTCACGGTTGAGCAGACCGATGTGCCCGATACCCCCTTCGTGGGAGTTGTACAGTTCTCCACCACCGCAAAATAATATAGCCTTGAGCTGCTGCTCCTTTTCTTCTCAACTTCACTTCGGTTCCTTCATTCTTTCGGCCCGGGTGAAGAACGAAAGTCATTCTCCCCCTTTCTCTCCAACCTGTCCACGCCCGCAGTTGTGAGATTCGGAACGCAAGCCCCCTTGGCCCGTTTCGATCCGTTCGGATCATCCGATTATTTACGGTATATACCGGTTTCTCTTCTAAGCTCTCCCCTAATCGACTCGGGAAGCCGAGCCACGTGAATTCGCCATGTCGATTGAATACGATGAGAAGACCAAGGCCTCCGCCGAGCTGGCCGCTGAGGATAGTAACAGCAACCAGGGTGAAATGGTCAACGCCTCTGGTCACAAACAGGAACTCGAGCGCAACTTCAGCTTGCTGAGCATCTGTGCCGTCGCCGTGACTACAGGTAACACATGGATTGCCCAAGGTGGTAGTGTGGTCACTGCATTGGGTAACGGTGGACTGGCTGGAACTATCTATGAATTGTATGCCCCCTCGCCACCCAACACAGGATGACGCTCGAAGGCCATGTCTCGGCTAACCCGGTCCACAGTATTGCTGTATCTATGTGCTACTGGCTTGTCGCTGCCTCTATCGCTGAGTTGGCCTCTGGTATGCCCTCGTCGAGTGGTGTCTACCATTGGGCAACTATTACCGCTGGTCGATATGGTCGCGTCTGCGGTTTCTTCGCCGGGTGGTGGAATTGCCTGGCCTGGATTCTGGGTGCTGCCTCGATGTCCTTCATCATGGGCCAACAGGTCGTCTCTATGTATGCGCTCATGCACCCCGGCTTCGAACCCGTACCTGGAACATCTTCGTCGCTATGTTGCTTTGCTCCTGGATCTGCTGCTGCATCGTGCTATTCATGAACCGCTTCTTGCCCATGATTGGCAACTTGGGAATGTTCTTCATTTTGTCTGGTGTCTTCATCACAATCATCGTCTGTGCTGTGATGCCTTATGTCAATGGCAATCCTTACAGATCGAACTTTGACGTATGGGGCGATTTTGACAACAAAACTGGTTATACCCAGCCAGGCTTTGTTTTCGTCCTGGGCATGCTCAATGGCGCCTATAGTGTCGGTACCCCCGATTGCTCGACTCATTTGGCTGAAGAGATCCCCAAGCCTAGCCGCAATATCCCCAAGGCCGTGCTCGCTCAAATGGGTGTTGGCTTCATCACCGGTGTCTGCTACATGGTGGCCATCTTCTACTCCATCCAGAATCGCGATGATGTGGCGAATTCTAAGCTGTTCCCTCTCGCGGAGATTTATCGCCAAGCTACTGGCACCGGCAGTGGTGCCGTTGGCCTTCTGGTCATCGCCTTCATTCCTACCATGATCACTGCCGCCGGTTGCTACATCACTGCCGGTCGCACCTTGTGGACTATCTCTCGTGATCGCGCCACTCCCTTCCCCAACTGGATTGGCCACATCAGCACCAAATTCCAGAACCCCTTCAACGCCACCCTCGTCTGCGGCTGCACTGTCACGATTCTGGCTTGTATTTATATGGGATCCCAGACCGCTTTCCAGGCTTTCGTCGGATGCTTCGCTCAGCTGTCCAGTCTATCGTACTTCATGGCGATCTTTCCCCATATCCTGAGCCGCCGTTCTTCTTTTGTCCCCGGCTATTTCTTCATGAACAACAAAATTGGATTTGTCGTGAACACTCTCGCTTGCATCTACATTATTGCTTTCGTCATCATCTTCTGCTTCCCCTTTACAGCCGAGTTTACGGCCCAGGACATGAACTACGCCAGTCTGATGACCGGTGGCCTGTCCATCTTTGTTGCCATTTGGTGGTTCATCCGCCAGGGCTCATACGAGGGACCGAAAAACATCCCTATCACCGACAAGCACGTGCTTGAAGATGCCAAATAAGCCTCTTGTATCGCAGATTGTCGTGTTCTACGGAAGACCAATGAAGGGCTTTCTGATCGCATATACCACTTTGTTTCGCTTCAACTTCAAAACTTTGCATTTCTCATGATCTCGCATTATTTTAATGCATCTACTTTATGTGACTGATGTGATATTTTCTTTCTGTGTATCGTCTTAATCGTGTTGGATATGCTGGTATTGTATATAGTACCTCCGACAACACACCCCATAAATAATACCTTTTTGCTAGACGACATGCTTGGAACTGATAAGCTAAAAAATGATAAATCTGATAAAATTATACTTTCCATTTCCAAGGTTCCTTTCCAAAAATAACCACTGTAAGGCTGAGTTTCCCAAATTCCAAGGTTTGGTCGATGTGTTGCTCGTTTTGCACATATTGACCACCGTCACGTGACTGCGTGTCTCCTAAGTCGCGTCTTTCCACGGACCGCGCAGCTTGTTAACCTTCTACAGACGCCATGGTTTTCAAGCCCTTTAAACCTCCTTTGATCAGGAAACCAGACCAATCCACTGAAAAGGGAGACGAGCAGGAACACCCCACCAAGAAGCCTCGCCTTGAGAAGGAAGACCCGGTAGTCGACTCCGAAACGCGACCTGCAGCTCTCGCGAGCCGAAAGCCTCTGCTACAAGTCCAAAATGTCGGCAAGGATCCAACGGTGAAAGCCGCACCCGGAACTGTCTCCAAGGAAGATGCATCGTTTGAGAAATTCTTCAATGCGCTCTGGTTAGTCGATTCAGCCTGTGGCTCATCCCTCGTGCAATCTCCGATTCGGAACACCAACTGACAGGTCTTCGGCATAGGAGAAAACCGAGCACGAAGAAGAACAAAACATGGGATGGAGATGGAATACTCGCATCCCGCCAAGGTTTCGTCTACCTACGCGACATTGGAGGCAAGGAAATGGGACGCGCCATGTACGAATCGAGCCTCGAGCCAGGGACCATGCTGTATATTGGGGGGAAGGAAGTCGAACTTGACTCCGAGATACCCCGCGCACAATTCCTGTCTTCGAGAAAATTTGTTCTAGATTCGAAACCCGCTCCGTCGCCACCTGTACCTTCCAAGAAAACACCACTGCCCACATCGAGGAGGGCTGAAGGGCGCATCTCCTCACTCGCCATAGCTACAGGCGCATTGAAGAGGACTTCTTCAGCGTTGGAAACCGGAACTGCGATCAAAAAGTCCGGACTGGGCGCATATAAAAAGCCGTTTCTGGAGGACACGGTAATTCCGATCAGCGCAGACAAAATAGTCCCACGGCATGACCCCAAGGCGGTTGGGGCGTTGGTCATGCCTCGTCCAAGCTCGGTCCCGAAAGGAAAACAAATCGTGGATGTTGTTGTGGATCCTCTATTGACAAAGAACCTGCGACAACACCAGCGGGAGGGTGTTCGATTTCTCTATGAGTGTGTAATGGGGATGCGGGACTTTAATGGAGAGGGAGCGATTCTTGCGGACGATATGGGCCTGGGAAAAACCCTCCAGACCATCACTTTGCTATGGACATTGCTAAAGCAGAATCCAATTTACGGAGACGCCCCGGTCATTCAAAAGGCCTTGATTGTTTGCCCGGTGACCCTTATCACGAATTGGAGAAAAGGAGATCCGCAAGTGGCTTGGAAATGAGCGGATTGGGGTTTTTATTATGGATGACAACCGGAAACGATTGACTGATTTTACCAAAGGCAAAGCCTACAGCATCATGATTGTAGGATACGAGAAACTCCGAACGGTGCAAGAGGGCCTGGCCAAAGGATCTGGCGTCGATATCATCATTGCAGATGAGGGCCATCGCCTGAAAACATTACAGAACAAAAGTGGACAAGCTATCCAATCCCTCAACGCCGCGAAGAGGGTCATTCTCTCTGGAACCCCTATCCAAAATGACTTGCGGGAGTTTTTCGCAGCAGTCGATCTTGTCAACCCCGGCGTCCTCGGAACTTTCAAATCGTTTATTCGAGAGTTTGAAACGCCAATTGTTCGAAGCAGACAACCGGAAGCAACACGCAAGGACATTGAGAAGGGCGAGTCCAGAGGTGAAGAACTCAGGGAGCTCACCTCGAGGTTTATTCTTCGCAGAACTGCCGACGTCCTGGCAAAGTATCTACCGCCAAAATCCGAATACGTTCTCTTCTGCAATCCAACTCGTGCACAGGCCAACATCTACCAAGCTGTTCTCGCGTCACCCATTTTCCAGACTGCCATGGGCAACGCTGAAAGTGCTCTACAACTGATCACAATTCTGAAGAAACTCTGCAATAGCCCATCCCTCCTGTCCGCAAAGAACAGTGACAAGAAGCCCAGCGAAACCATTACCGCCCTTTTGGAGTCGTTGCCGCCCAACCTCATGCGCCATTTTTCTCCATCGGCAAGCGCCAAAGTCCGGGTAATGGATCAAATTCTGGATAGCATGAGTACGAAAACCTCAGAGAAAATCGTCCTGGTCTCTAACTATACCTCCACTCTAAATCTGTTGGCGACACTTCTCACATCTCTTGGTCTACCTTTTCTCCGATTAGACGGGAGTACCCCTGCTCAGAAACGACAGCCACTCGTCGACGACTTCAACCGTTTGCCTGCTGAATCGTGTTTCGCTTTCCTACTATCCGCAAAAGCAGGTGGCACGGGCCTCAACCTCATCGGTGCCAGCCGACTGATTCTTTTCGACGTGGATTGGAACCCTGCGACAGACATCCAAGCCATGGCTCGTATTCATCGCGATGGACAAAAGAATCATTGTCGCATCTATCGCGTGATTCTCAAGGGTAGCTTGGAGGAAAAGATATGGCAGCGCCAGGTTACCAAACTCGGACTGGCCGACAGTGTCATGGAGAACAAGGACAGTGTTTCCCAATTCTCCACCGCCGAATTGCGAGATCTCTTTCGTCTGGACGAGGAAAGTCTCTGTCAAACACACGATCTACTGGGATGTGAGTGTGGTGGAAAGGGAATTGCATCGTTACCATCATCTGGAGTGGCTACCCCGACCGAGCGAAGGGTGGACGAAGATTCGGAGCTTTCAGAGCTAAGCGATGTCGACTCCGATTATGAACTGCCTGAATTAGATATTCCTGCCCTGATGAAAGCTTCAGAGGTTGACATGGAGAAGCAAGAGCGCTCCATCCGCGAAGCATCGCGCCGCAAATCGACGAAGAAAGAGAAAGGCAAGGTGAAGGATCAAAAGGAGAAGATGCACCAGTCTCTCGCTCAGTATATGCATATCAATCCTGCTTTACTCGCATCAGGCGCCGATGAGGATGAAGATATTGCTGCTGCTGTCGATGATGATGTGCTTGTTTCCTTACTCAAAGACGAGTGCAACCGAATAGGGTATATCTTCAAGAAGACCAGTGGAGCGGAAGTGGAAACACGCAGCCCACCACCCGACAAGAAATAAGGAGACGCATTTTGACGATCGACTTGGTGGAGAATATAAAGTTGAAGCACCATTCCTATATCCGATCTATTCATTTACAGAGCAGAGTTAAGTCGCCCTGTTCTCAAGACTCATCATTTCATTGGCATTTTAGACGATTCATCAATTTTTGCCTACTCAAAACATAATCCATCTCAAATCCAATCATACCCGACTGAGGCAGCCCAATGTCACATCTTGGCTAAATCAGAGACTGTCACATACACCTGAGTCTGACCGCGCCTCGTAATTGCAAAAACTCTTTCTCCAACAATCTTCAAATCCTCCATCGACGTATCGTGCAATTCGAAATCGAAGCGACGTGCAAGCCCAGCAATAGCCTTGTAAATCTCCGCATACGCCAATCTAGAAATAAAGTCAATACATTTCCCCCACAAAGGCGTCAAAAAGCAGAGACTATGTAGAGGAGATCAAGTAACTCACGTAATACCCAGGCAACCTCTACTTCCTTTAGTGAAATTGACAATATACCGTTTCAGGTCCTCACTCTGACTACCCTGAAGCCACCTCTCGGGATCGAATTTGTCCGGATTGGGGAAGAGAGTTGGATCGCGATGAATGAAGTAGGTGATAGCAGACATTGGGGTCTAGCATAACGAGTAGGTTTATTAGTTTCAAGTTTCAAACAGCGCTAAGCCCTTGCTTTTCGGGTCAGATCAGATCAGATCAGATCACATACACCGGGAGGAATCACATGTTCCCCATATCTCAAGCTTTCAGTCGGTGCAACCCGAGGCATGCGAGTGATAGGGCCGTAGGCTAAACGAAGAGTTTCGTAAATAACCGCCGTCTATATTAAGTCACAAGTTAGCTTTGGATCACAGGTAGGAAGCTTGGGACGATCCTAGACACGGACTAGATAAGGCAACTTTTCCAATTCCAAAAGGCTTGCATTGCTAGTCGGTATCGGTAGCACTTGTTTTAACTCGGTGCGTAATCGTTGCAGAATCTCCTGATTCCTCGAAAGATAGAAGATTGATATAGTCAGTGTGTGAGCCACTGTTTCTGTCCCCGCCCCCAGGACAACCAGTCCTTCCTCCTGAAGACGATCAAGTGTCCGCTCCGAGGCTGGGACAGCAGGATCAACCAAATTATCAAACATGTTTCGTTTCTCATTCTTTTCCGTTTGGGCCGATGAGCGTCTCAGGAGGAACCTTAAAGGACGATACTGCCTGGTCATATACAGCCTCCATAGCCTCGAAGATAGTCGCTTTTCCAGGCTGCATACGGCGGAGTAGGTGAACTGGTATCCTACGGAGGAGTCGGATAAGCCACGGTGCAAATTGACCGACGTGCAGAGTATTTGCCGTCTCCAGAAGAGCGCCGCGAGTATCACTCCTGAAGTGTTCGTCTTCCAGAAATCCCCAACTTTTCCCATAGCAATATTCAGTGATGATATCAGAGGTAAACGCGTTCAGGGCGTTGTCTAAACGGACGACTGTCTTGCTGCCGTGGAGCTGGCCTAAGCGATCTCCAAGCTTTTGTAGGTATTGGTCAATGATTGGAGTCATGTTGAGAATTGAGCGCCGAGAGAAGAATTCACTCAGAATGGCTCGGCGGATACGGTGATGGTCGTGCGGTGCAGTTGCTATCATAGAACCTTCGACTCCGGTGGCTTTAGTGACTCTCACGTCCTTATCCCGTCGTCGGCTACTGGGTGCGTAAATTTCGTCGTAGAAGAGAGGATCGATGATGTGCACTTCATTAGGGCTGATTCGAACAATTGGACCTGTTGTGGTAAATACTAGTACTAGTAGTACATTCAAGTATACTTCAAGTTATTGAAGACATACCATATTTCTGGTGCATTTTTTCAATTTCGAATATATATCTCCCATCTAGCACGCAATTGTAATAGAATTCAACACCATGGGTAATCGCCACCAGCCTAGGACCAGGAATTTTTCGCAGAGGGTGGAAGAAAAGACGGTAGATACTTCGCAGGACGAGGTATGCCCCCAGTCCAAGCAAAGCCAACCATGCCCGTTCGAGCAGCATTTTCGTATACAAAATAGACGATTATACCAACTGAAGAATTTTTGGATATCCCAGAGGCATCCGAGTCATAAAAGTACATTTTTTCAAAGCATGCTGACAACCGGGATACGTCTTAAATAAGGCTAAATTAGGAACCGGAACCCTGTCTTCCTAGAATAGAAGATGAGGGGGTCTTGTGGGACGCAGATTCGCGACGTGATGATGTCCTCCTATCATAAATCCACGATTACCATTTATAGGAGTAGTCCTGCAAGAGCTGGGATGGAGGTCAAGAATCAGGCATGTGTACTCTTGCTTCCACCAATGAGATTGATCTTAGTATGTACTAGAGGGGTAGTGGCGGGAAGAATCTAGCCCGTCTTGCATTAGTCGAGCTTGGTGACACGGCTAATCTTGAACTTGGTTAAGCGATAGGTCGATGTCAGCTGAATGTTGGAATGTTTGCTTGTTTGAGGGTGCAATCTGCCAAGGTGTTAGACCGGGTGTGGCCTTGTGGCCGTCTGGGGATCGGGGAACCGTACAAGAAATAGACTAGAAGAAATTCATGGGAAAGCATTGGGCGCCACCGTTTTTAGCAGTGGCGACGAATATCTTGCAGCAGCAGTCGGGAGACATAATCCAATTCTCAGGTTACCCTACGAGGAAGAACGAAAAGAATTAGAGATTGCAGAATCCACAAGCCGAATCAATTGGCATGAAATCTAAATGTACAAAAGAAAATAGTCGAGAGACGACAGGGAGATATCTAAGATACTAATGTAATAAAAAAATGAAACAATGAAAATAGGGGGATGAAAATAGACAAATAAGTCATGCACAAGAAAAATACCTCCCATCCCATTCACCATGCACCAAAAGCCAATGCGGATATCACAAGTCCAGCCCTACCCAGTCCCGTCCGTCCCAGCCAATTCCAGCGCCCGATCACATCGGCAGACTTCGAACTCCTAGTATCGTAGTTTACCAACAAGGCCAAATGTATAAGCAGTCTCCGCCTCGCTCTTCATCTGAAGCATATAGATGCGCTGAGAGCTAGCAGTAACACCTCCTTGTTTCGCGACGCCGCCACCGGCAGTATCCTCATGAACAGAGACAGCAATTCCCGTCCGAGCAACGCGCTCGAACGAGCTTTCAGGAAGACAGACATCAAGAAGCACTTCTCCGCGGGTCTTGCCGCGGATTATAATACGTTTCTCAGTTTCGACGTCACGGCGGGGCGTTGTCGCGCCGGAGCTTGGAGGGGAGGAGCCGGTTCCATCGCCGTGTGTGCCGCTACCCTCGCTACGGCCGCTGACGGCGGTTCCAGGGCGAGAAGGAGGGTTCTTGGGAGGAGCGGGCATGATTGTTAGACGGGCAGCGCCCATGTCGCGCCACTTGGAGGCGGTTTCGCGGAGATAGATGCGGATCTTGGCATTTGATAGACCGATGCCATCGGCGCCCTTGATGGCGGCGGCGATGCGGCCGATTCCACCAGATGGTGAGTGGCTATACCCCTCCTCGCCGGAGTACATGCTACCCTCACGGCCGCTGCGAGATTCCACAGTCGAGCGAGAGATGTTAAACATCTTGCTTCCGCCGCCGAAGCGCTTTAGGGCGGAGAAGGCGGAGCTCATGGTGCCTACACTGCTCTCGGAGCCTTCGGCGAGAGAACGGGGGGAGCTGGAGGCGCGGTAGCTCTTCCTGCGACGAGGGAAGCCGAACCAGGCACCACCAGACTTGGAATCTGGCTCGTAGTTCGGGATTGGGTTGTCGAAGGTGCTGCCACGGGCATTCTGGAGGGCGATGTAGGTGGGGTTATTGATTCTGGCTTGGTTGATGAGGCCATAAAGCGAATCACACTCGTCAGGGGTGCGGGAGCGGAACATGATATTGTTGCTCGAAGTGATCTTGGATCGGTTAGTTGGAGGGGAGCGGACGCTGATATCGATAGCGGTTCCGCGGCGGAGGGGAACGAGTGGTGTCAGTTCCATAGAAATGAGTGGACGCGACGATCGGGATGATCGATCAGACGAATTTGTGTTGGAATCAGGAGTCATCTTGAATGCTTCAATGAGGCCCGGGCTGACGACGATGTTACACTCGTCGGGAACCAGACTTTCCCAGCTACCTTTATCTGACCATGCGAAAAGAGATGCAATGACCTTGGTCGACTTGGTAGGTTGTACGGGAACTGTACGGTAGCCACTCTGCGATGCAGAGTTGGAAGGCGACAGAGAGCTTGTCTCGGAGGTAGCGGTAGCGGTATCGTGTATCTTTGGCTTGGGGAGATGAGCCTCGTCCTCTGATTCTGACGAATAGTCGGATTCGGATTCAGAATCAGATCTTGAATATTCGGACGATGAGTAAGAGTAATGTCGCACGGTCGAAGCATCGGAGTCGGTCTCTGAGTAGTCGGAAGCAGTAGAGGGTTCATATTCGTGCTTCAGAGGGGACGATCCACGGCGCTTGAGACGAACAGCTGACGGGCTGAGAGTAGGCTGGTTGTTGTTCACCTTTGCGCTGGGGGAGCGATGAGGTGGTGGTGGCGGGGGCGCATCGTCGTGCTTATCATCATGCTTGGACTTGCGCCGAGACTTTCTTCTCGTTCTTGTGGGAGTCTCTGGAACTTCTTCTTCTTGATCAGGCAGAGACTCGAGGGGAGGATAGTCCTCTTCCGCATCAACGTCAACGCTAGTTGGGCTAGACATATGAGTTTGGCTGCTCGCACTGCGAAGCTTGGGAATTTGGGGAAGATGAGCTGACGGCGTGGACGATACGCGCGGCGATTCCTCCGGGGATTCTCTTCCACGAGGGGCTTGCGGTGTCTTCGGGGGGAGACTTGGGCTTTGGCAAGCGTGAATCTTTAGAAGTATCCTTGCTACCTCCATAGAATCTGGGTTCTGGTTGCTGAAGTGTCTTGGGCTGGGCCTCTGGCTCTGGCTCCGGCTCCGGCTGCGGTTGAGGCGCTGGAGGGGCCACGGCATTGTCTGGAGCACCGATTGGAGAAGATGGTGTTTCTGATGGGCTATCCCCGTAGCGGGACATTCGCTTCGCCTTGGATCTCTTCAAGCCGGACGGAGACTTTTCCGAGCTTACAGTAGAGGGGAGAAGTGGTAGACCGGGACGAGACTGTTTTGTAGAGAGCTCCGATCCTCCGGTGGTGTAATCAGTTTCACGAGTAGCGGTCGAACAGACAGAGCTTCTGTTCTCGGTAATAGCAGAGTTAACTGTACTAGGTTCGGAGTACTGCTCCTTTGGTGTCAAAGAGCGGCGTTTGCTGAAAGGCTTCTCGCCAATGGGAATATCAACATCGCTGGCATTGGGTCGTGGTGGCGATTCAACATCTGACTTGCGAGCCTTGTGCTGTTTGGCTCGGCTGATAAAGCTTTGAGTTCGGAATATCGTCGGAGGGATGGGGTCAGAGCCTAATAACTGGATCCATTCAAGACCAACCTCGACTTCGTCGATACGAAGGGAGATGAGCTCCTGCCAGTACTTCTCTGCATCCGGGGCACTGCGGAGCATGAGTACAATCTCGCCTTTGCTATCGCCAGTACGGGCCGAAACACATCGCAAATCCATTGGCGGGAAAAGAAGCCAACGTTCCGAATGATCGATCTCGCAGATCATCAGATCACCTCCAGGTCCGTTGCTTGGAGTATTGTCTCGATAGAGCAATTCCGCCCGGCAGTCAACCAATTGCCCGCTGGAATGATATAGAGACAAATTGAAGAAGTCACGAGCTCTGACTCGGCGGCTGTGATCAACATTTATGTTTTGGAGTACACCCAAGGTCGCAGGGTCTCGTGCACGGGTCGCATCGATGTTGGAGGCAGACTCATCTTCCAGCCTCGCTCGTTCGTCTCGGGCTCGTTTGCGTGCATCAGTCACAAGATCTTGATAAACCCCTGCAACTTCCTCCGCCTTAGGCGAAGGTTGTAAAGTATTGATTCCCTTGAAGGTTTTGGAAAGGTACTTGAGGCGGACCAAGGGTCGCTTCAGCAGGTAAGCGACATCAACCTTCTCGCCATCACTGCCAATCACATCACCGTTCTCGTCGCGCTCCAAACCTTCGTCCAAACTCCTGGTCTCGGCCAGTTGATTGGCTTCGTCTTCTTCCAGGGGAGCAAGGTTCACAATGACATCTTTAAAGCCAAGTCTCCAGGCTTTGAGGTACTCGCGGTACACGCGCTGGGCCCCTTGAGCCCACGTCAGCAATGCGTCGGCGTTATCTTGCGGGATTCGCTTGTGCAACGTCTTCAACCGCTCAATGGCCACGCCCATATTAACGATGGGCTTCGAGAAGTTCACATCGTCAGTCGGATCCATGGAGGGCCGGAACAGGCCCGCGGCAATAGCTGAATCAGAACGCGACAGCACGCAGGTCAGTAGAACTGGAATCACACCACCAACAATAGTTTTCAGCTCGCGCATGTACTTTGTCTCGTCGCCGGAGAGCTCGGCCATGATGTCGGAAATTGTTGCGTTGGCCAGACGGCTCTTATTAGAGCGAATGCTTCGATTGGATCGGTTGCTTCTGCTTCGGCCAGGACCCGATAACACGGACATCAGATCATTATGCGTGGTGAGTCGTCTCTTGAGTTGTGATGTCACTTGGGGTAGCGAATCAGGATCGAATTGATCTTTTTCTTCGGCAGCTTCCTCTGCCTCTTCGACGGTCTGGGGATGCGCTTTTCAGGAGATGTCGTCTTGCTGGGATCATCTGATCCCTCCAGGACAGTACTTAGGGTCTCGCTGGATGCGATCGTTGAGAGTCTGTGGTTCCCGGTAGTTGGGAAAGGCCGTTTGGGGCCGGTGGGAACAGGCGCATTGTTCGCAGAGACCTCTGATCCCTCCGAAAAGGGTTGGAGGTCAGATTCCGAGGGTGCAAGGCTGTCTTCGTATGGCTTGTCGAGCTTTTTGTCCTCTCGAATGCGGAGTGCTAATGGTCTTTCAACCTTTTTGTCTACGCTGGACCGCTTGGGGTTCGATGTCGCATCACGATCTTGGGACTTGCGAGGCTTCTCGGACGATGAAGGGCGATCCCTGTCCTTGGAGTGTCGGCTATGGGAACTCTTTGGGCGTGATTCGCTCTCCACCGATAGTTCGGACCGTGAGAAAGTGCTCGAGGCGATTTCATCAGTGATTTTCTGGGATCGCCGCGCTCGGGCTGACTTTATGTCGAGAGGACCGGGCATATCACCCTTTGACTCTTCGCCGTCTCTAGGAACGGATCCGAGGTCCCGGACAGCCATGCTTCAATTTTAGCTCCGCGGTTTCCGGTTGGCGGAGGAGCAGGCCTAGGTGGCTCAGCCTCTGGTCTGGTGAACATCTTTCTTGACTCGTCCAGCATATGCGCGAAGATTCCCCCCTTTGGCCCCTTCACTGGCCCCCGAGCACGCCTCCGCGACAACTCGGTGAAGTCTGCTTCGCTCTTGGCCCATTCCACGTCCTCGGGAGGCGGTGATTGTCGCTTCTGACGTTCGGGGATATCTGACATAACCGTCGACCGAGGGAGATCTGTCTCCGCATCACTATCTGCAACGGAGGAAACATCTTTGCGGGAGCTCGCGCGCTTCCAGTCGCGGGTCGGGGACCGAGAAATGACAGTGTCGCGCCGGGCTCTGGACCGAGGGGGATCACGACCCTTGTCCAGATCTTCATTTTTATCATCTTTCCTCGGTTTCGAGGTCTCCGACTCGTCATTCGTCGTGTATTCATTGATGCGCTTCGGGGCAGGGAGGTGCCGCGGTGTCGTTGAAACTGTGGTCGTAGATCGGTTTCTCCTCCAATGCTCATCACTGATCACTCGTTTTCGTGGGGTACTGTGACTGCGTTTGCGCATCGCCGGAGCCGTGGCCGTCTTTTCTTTGTCCTTGACAGGCTTCTCGACTCGATCGGGTTTGACCTTGACCGGCTTGGGCTTGGGTTTTTCCTGGATCGCATTCTCCTCGTCGTCATCGTAGGCTCCATCGTTGATCGTAATTACTCCTCCACCTTGCTGCTGCCATTTTCGCACTCTCGAGCGAACGGTATTTGTATCGTGGACGCCCAGCGGTTGACCAATATCCAGCGGCTTTGTCGGGGTGGATTTGGCGGTGCCTCCACCTTTCGCCGGCCGGTGCGGCGTCGCAGGAGATGGCATCGATATCTGTGGTAAAATACAGAGTCAATACCACGATTCAGATTGAATGCAATCGAGTAATGTTGAGCATGCGGGCGGCCGATATGTGTTTTGTTGACTTTGTTGACACGATCCATGGATGTCGACCTTGGGGGCGGAAGAGGGGAGCTAGGGTCACTCACCACGCTGGGCTCTTAGGCTTCGCTTTGATCCTGACGATCAGAGATCTCGAACTTGCGGCATCTGTTGGGTTGGATTTGCTTCTTCTGCGCTGGGATCGGAGGCGGGGAGGGAAAGTAAACAAGCTGATCGGAGTTGGAGTCTTCCACCGCCCGCGATAAGCCAAGGTGACCAGCCTAACCTAAGACTGCGGCTGTCCAAAACACGCTGCCGGGGAAACCGCTGATCGACGTCCAATAAGCCCAAGTTCAGCTCGCAGCTGGTTTCTGGCTGGTTTTAGAGTCTTTTGGAGGGGGACAAGGTTTGATTTCTGCAAGGTTCGCCTGCGCGTGATTTGGTCGGCTGGAGGCTCACCTGAAGCTCACCTGGATGAAAGCTGAGGTCTCGCCCTCTTGGCTTCGCCTAGTGTTGCCTTTGCCTTTGCCTTTGCCTTTGAGGCCTGGCCTGGGGAGGAAAGGGGAAAGGAAAGGAAAGGAAGAGAATAGACGACGCCCTAACCGGTTTTAAGGCGACGCGTCGAGTGTCCAGGTGGTCCCATCTGCATTGCTTTGCTCTGCGTTGGTCCCCAGCATGCATGTGTGTGTATAGCGGTGTACTGAGTAGTTAGTGGTTAGTAGTTACTACTATAGTTCCTAGTATCCCAGGTGAAGCCGAGCTTGTTCCCGCAATATTAAATATTCATACTCGTATTACTACCATACACCAGAACACGAGGTACATATTCTACTAGTAATAAGCATCATTTCTATTTCCTTCCCTTCATTCATCTTGATTTCGACCAGGGCCAAGCATGATTTGTGCCTGTGCCTGTGCCCATTGGGAGACTCCCCTTCCCCACCACCACCACATCCACAAATCCACAAATCCACCCACCCGTGGCGATGACGAAAGAGGTGTTCTACTGGCTTTTGCGCCGCTCGTCTGACACCTGCTGGGCCCGAATCGCGGCCGAAATGGTGGAGATGCTGTCATAAAAGTAATCTGCCCAGTAATTAGTATCAGTATTAATCTGTGTTTGTGTCTGTGTTTGCGTCTGCGTGTAGGAGTGCATACAACCCGGAACCACAATCCAGATGAAGTTCATAAAAAAGTAATACAGCCAAAAATAATACCCCTCCGGTCGGCAGTATGCCACTCCATTCACATAGTCATCGAAGAGGCTCGTCGCATAATACAGCGTATCCCCGTAGAGATGGCTCATGCACACCACCAACTGCATCGGGTGTCGCAGGGAATGCCGCCGTGCGGTCAGATAGGCGACGACAAAGCAGAGAGGTCCCCACAACAACTGGTACAAGAGGATACTAGTTAGTGGGTTATATTTGCATTGGGCAGGAATACTGTACTCGTAGTACTGTACACAACACTCACCACCGTCATAGTCTCCATGCACAACACCAGCGTGTCCGAGGTCATGTACCGAGAGTCGGACAGGGCATATTCCTTCCAGAGCTGCCCAAAAAGATCCTGGGCCGAGGCCATGTGGTCATGATGGATCATAAAGTAGCCCTCGAAGAAGCAGTGTAAAGTCCCAGCTATTGCATTTCCAATGTTTTCACTCATTAGCTCAACTCTGGCCCGGCTCCGGGGGAGAGGGCACCATTTCTGGCAGGATGTCATACAGAGCACAAACCACAAGATGGCGATCCGATCGGCCATTCGCAGCGATGGGCGCACATAACTGGCCACGGCAAAAGTCAATCCCAGCAAGGCCGCGCATCCTCCACCCGCCGTGACGAGTAGCTCGAGGACGGAGGTCTGGTTGGGCGAATAACCGACAATGTTCGCCCCGAGGGGGTAGTAAGGGTGTGAGGCTGACATGATAAAAGCTTGTTTGAGTGGCAGTCTGTGCCCGTGGTAGTTGTTAGCCAAGTGAGGTGAACTTGTATATTTATAGCTGGATTGTCGATCAATTGATCAATTGATCATTTCTGATCGATCACTCTTGCAAACTTGGAGAATTGCACTTGAATGTTTGCATGTCTGCCGTGGGTGGAGCAAGGTACCTCGGTATCTGGATGAGATAAGCCAATGGGGGGCAGTTACAACAGTTTATTTCTAGTTTCCAATGTTTATTTCAATGAATTCACAATTAAAAAGATAGTATATAAAGTAAAGTAGTCTATATTCTACTATAGACTTCAAGAGTATGCTTAGAAGATACTAAAGTAAAAGGGATGACTGGGGGGATATCACCTGACCTGAGTAAGAATCTGCTGTCATAAGCCCTGAGTTTACGCAATAGGTGCAATGCTCATTTCATCTCAAGCGATTGCATATCAAGTGTACCATGCCTCGAAGATTTTATTAAACCTTAACTTTGATCCGGATCCTGCCGAAAGTCACTGCCTGGGCTCAATGCAATTCCTCCACCAACGTCGCCAAATCGAGAAATCTCGCGAGCAGATATTCCTTGTTTTTAACTCTGGTGTGCCAGATACCTGGAGTCTAGTCTCGACGCAATGCTTGTATATTGCCGGCTACCGAAGGAGTGTTGGAAAGGCGTCGCACAATAGGACTTATTGAAGATTGTCAGAACAGATCCGGTCGGCGAACTTTCTGTCTTGCAGAGGCTCTACGGAAAATGTGGACTAATTGAATATTGAGAACTTGTATTCGCTGCGAAGATCACACCCATGCATACCGAGAGCAATATCTAATAGAACTGTAGTCCGGAAAGCGATTGGAATGTCTTACATGACCTAAGAAAGTATTCTTGGGAATTTAAGATTATAAGTGCTAAAACCGAGTAAACCGTTGCTGTATTTGTTCTGAGATAATACCCGAATATCCACAATTCCAACACGTCTAAAAATTATCAAAGCCCCCAGGAAACAATTGAAGATTCCCCGTAAACTTCGCAAAGTGAAGTTGGGTGACTGAGCTAGGTGACCAATTGACCTTTGGGGTGGGTGAATTCTCTCGGGTTGATCTCCTTGGCCGTCCAAGGTTGATCATTCCACTGTGAGTAGACAGTGTCTTCACCGGCAACAAGTCGCTGGATATTGCGCCTGGCGCTGTACACCGTGTTCCACGATTCCTCTTCATGAATAACGTTCTCATCATAGCTGTTGATGTCCGAATCCCGGGAGGATGGCCCAGGTCGTCGGTAGGTACCAATAATTTGAGGGAATAGTGCGTAGCAATCAATCTGTCGGCGACCAGACCTACCTCCGCATAAGTCACTCAAAGCGTTATCCACTGGTACCTCTATATGATCAAGCTCAAGTTCAGCGATAATTTTTCTTGCCCCCCTTGTTCGAAACGGCATAGCCATATAGACAACAGCCTGCTTCGGCTTTAAAAGAAAACCTAGTCGAGTCTTCTGGAAACTGCGACTTCAAGCTATCAGGGACCCCACCAAGCATTGATCGATGTTCGACATTCGGACATGTAGGGTCATCGCGTACAGCGTAGAACTGGGTTTCGTCGGGAAATGGAGCCGACCCACATCCTCCAATCCAAAGAACATCCCAGTCTACTCCATAGGGGTGCTGTGTCGAGGCATGCTCATTGCCCTGTAAAGCGTGCAGCCCACGAGCAAACTCGCGTAACTGTGATCTGATATTCACATCCCAGTCGGCATCATCTTCGAAAATCAGCGCAGAGGAATAACCTCTCTGGACAACTCTAAAAAATTGTTAGTGGGTGTTGATTCAGGTCACGCAATTAAACTGAACAACATACTCGAACATAGCATTCAGATGAGCTCTCCAGCATGCGATCATAGTGGGCGCCGTAGATGAGAGATTATATCCCTGTACCAGGGTTATGTGGGAACTTGACTTCAATAATAGAGATTGCTCACGTTTGGCATAGCTTTCTGCCGCAGCTCAGATGGTCTCACCCCGTCCAGCCAGTCAACCTCGAAGCCAGTTTCTAAGGCCGCTAACGTAAGGAAATCGCGCTTGTCGGGACGCTCTTTCATGCCTATAGCGAAGACATGCTCAAACTAAGTGAAAGCTTGTAAGTATCACAAATCATGAATCTGGCCATCGAAACTAACCCCAAGAGTTTCATTGTCGATATGAGCAAAAGCCTTCAAATTGTCTCTAGGCTCAATTGAAAAATGAAACAGGCTCTTCGACCATCTTTCCGGATCGCTATAACGGATGCATAAGGCGAGGAGAAGCCACGTAAGTATAATCGCAACAGAAATCTGCAGAATCTTCCATGATTTGACAACCAACATGTTCTGATATTGATGGCACTAGAGCATAGTTTGAAGTGCGGGATGGGGAACGATTAAAAGAGTATCTTCGTAAGCTTCGGGGTTGATTGGATTGAATAATAATCTGTCACAAGGAGAAGGCTTCCGGGGGAATATTCACATACGTATTTAATTCTAAATTGAACTCTGCTGCCGCTTCAAGTTTGTCTGTCCTAGGACAGTTGGTGCGGAATGGACGTAAACGGTGATGACTAAGCTGCATTCCCCAGTTGTCAATCTTAAAACGGGCTGGGGTTAACCGCTTTCAACTGATCAACTGGCCAACCACAGAAGATTTCTCAGAGGACAGAAAGCTGATCGGGTAAAGAAACATTGCTGGAACTCTAGAAAAGGGGGGTATACATAGGTATTAGCATCCAACTAGTGTTGCTATTACCACTAACTAGTTACAACCTACTAATACTACAGTATAGCGATACTCAACCAATGGAAGTGAGAATGACGAACCTATACTATACTAGTAGTAGTTACCAGTACTACTAGTATCAAATATTTTCTAAGAGTATTCTGAGTAAAGACATGAGATGTAATAGTACTGGTAACTACTACATATTGTACTCCTACTCCTACTATGTCAGAGTATATCCAAAGCGGTCAGTCTCGGCCACCCCAACTTCCGAGGGTCCTCCACCCACCTCCACCTCCACTTCCACCGTGATTCCCCGATACCCTTGGAACTTCTGCCCAGCTGGAATCGACCTACTCCGATTTCCCGAATGGCGCCATTAGGGTCTTCTCGTTCAACTTGAGCTTCCTCCAACATCATTATGGCCCCTGACTCCCATACAAAGTCCGCCATTGATGCTTCTCGCGCCGCCATGGAATCCCCCCCCAGGCATCGCTGCCTTATTTGTTATCCGCTTCGATATCAGGACCGGGTAAGGCTTACTCCACCCCTCTTCTCCAAGCTCAGGAGGGGCTCATCGCCGATGCTAATGCGCATGCGCGGACAGATACGTGGTCTCATGGAAACGAACGACCGGAGGTGAGTGTACATCGGAGCTTTTGCGACGCGCCAGGCTGACACCCGGGCCCCATACATAGTTGACGTCGAAGGCGTGGTCGAATACAAGTCGCTGCCCTCCGGCCTACACAACGTGAAGGATGATCTGGTGTGAGTTTGCTTAATGCGTCTCTAACAGACCTCTGTACAAAATGCTAATACAGTCTACCTTCTTCCCAGCTATTTCGTCCATGACCAGTATGCCGGGATCAGCTCATTCCTTAACCAGCCCGCCGCCGAGGCGGAGCGCAATGCGAAGATGTTCGCAATCGGCGTCCTCGTCCCTTTGAGCTCTGGAAGACTCGGGAAGAGTTGGCGACACGCTCCAAGATTGAGAGACTTGACGCTGTGAGTGCTACTTCACCCCGCCCCAATGCCCGGTGGCAAGCTTCCCAACTGACACCTATGCCCCTGCCAGGAAATACGCCGCCGATATGTCGAATGAACAACCCTTGTCCGATTACTGGGATGCATTTCAGATCGGAGGACCTGATTCTTCTGCTGCCGATTCGCCGGTCGACTCGCCAGTGAGCCTTCGCTTCCGACCGGGCGACCGACCGGACAGCCTGTCGCGCAGTCGCGCTTTTAGCGACGCAATGGTATTGGAGACCTTCAGGCCGGCCCTGACACCATTCCATCCGGCTTCATCGCTTCCCGATTTTCTCGATTGCTTTGGTCCTTTGATCTTTCCTCTATACCGCGCCGCGCTACTGCGCAAACGCATCCTTTTCATGAACGAAGCACCAGTTCATATACCATGCAATTATGGTAAAACGCATCCCTTGTCATAACCCCTCCCTAACGGCTTCTGACTATTCCATAGTATATGACCTATCGTTGCTAGCATCTCTTCCGAATTCTCTATTACAAGAACTCCCGTCCGGATACACACCACCGCTTCGGCCCCGCCCCCTCTTCAACGTTGGTATACATGATATTCCTCACCTTGCATCCTTCGACACGACCAGATCGAGTCAAGATCCGGATCAGGACCCCAGTTGGATTGCCTGCTCCACCGACAGTGTCCTGACTATGAAGCCTGAGCTTTACGATGTCTTGGTTACTCTTCCACCCGCCCATTCCCAGCATGCTACTGAGCGAGTCTTCCCTCAGATTAGTTTGATGCATCCTTCAAGTGGCAAGCAGAACTCAAAGCAGACCTTCCTTCTTAAGGCCACACAACGCGATGCCCGGCGCTATGCGATGCTTCGCAGAGGCTTACGACATTTCGCCGCCGACCGTCCTACGTCCCCGGAGACCGAGGACTCATCTGACAGTGACTCTACATATTCCTCGAGCCCAGTTGTCGAGCCAATCTCGTGGACCCGACTTGCTTACAACTCTTTCATCTGGTGGGCTTCCGCCGGCGAACATCGCGATGGACTCACCGAAGAGGAAGAGGAGCACCAGATCGAACAAGACGCACGACTTCTGGCAAGCGTGGAAAGTCTTGCATACCCAGCCCCCAACTCCACAACCCGTCGTTCATTCCATGGCGAGGAGAGTGGCCAAGAGCCACCGGAAGTTGCTCTGGTAGCCTACTTCCGTCGTCTGACAACGCAGATATTCTACACCTTGGCCGGGGCCATTGCGCGTCACGACTCTGAATCCGGTGAAGATTGTATAGACGCTTACCATGATTCGCCGTATCTCGATGATATGGAGAACGACGACACGGATCTATCGCTTTCCATGTCGCGACAGTCCATTCAAACCGACGATGACAACGCCCCCCTGCTGCGGCAGCGATCAAATGTGAACCACACTAGCCAAAACAATGACTGGGAAGAGCAAGGTGAGCCAGACAGCGATGGCCCAGTCACCATCACGATTGCCGATATGGCAGAGATGGGTCTAGACGTGTGGAGCGCCACGGACCGGATCTTTGTCGAGGAGCTCGTTACGCTCTGGTGGGGACGTCAGGCGCATGTGGACAGTGCACGAATTCGCTGCTGTGGAATTTCAATCCTATAGAGTGGCCTTGGATTTCTTTTACCAGCTCCGAGGTGATTTTCCGGTGCAATCTCCCTCCTCTATTTTCTCTATCTAGGCTCAGACCTAGGTATCATTGTTCGATTCCAACATCATGAGCTCTTGTACATATATTTTGCATCAAACAGCAACCGCAGACAAGCTCAAATGCAGACCAACCACCACGGGTGCATCCGTTGAATGCAGAGATTAGTAGAATCCATGGATTATACACGTTAAAAGTTATTCTAGACGTTCAAGTTTCTTCGATATGAATAGTGCCAATCAGGTCGAGCCATATCTTGACGGACCTTATACACAGCCTCGGCATCATCCAAAATCGTCATATCCAAATCAACGATCTTCATCTCCTCTTCACAACTGTCAGACCTCCCAACACAACCCAAAAAAGGGACCGTGACCTGCGACAACCCCGCAAAGTCCTCTTCCTCCGGGCCACCCGCATTGCAAAAGACAACGGCGCACGTATTCTCGCACGCCCGACTAATAAGCGCCGCATCGAGAAAGACCTTTTCTGCAAATCGGTTGTGCACGATTCCCTGGGGCGCGCAATCGGTAAGCTTCCAGAACGATGGCACGATGATAAGCTTCGCGCCTTGGCTAGTCAATTCACGAAATGCTTCTGGAAACGCCACGTCCCAGCAAATCAGCATCCCAACCTTTCCAAGGGTGTATCAAAAGCAACATGCGGATCATTCTGTGAACTCTTCACATGAGGTCGCTCTGGGTGCCAGAGGTTTTTCTTTTCGTACCGGCCATTCACGGCGCCGGTGTTGTCGATGAAGTAGACCACGTTGAATATAGTCTCTGCTCCGGTCTTCTCGTCGCGATACAGCTCTGCTGCGGACCCGGGTACAATGCAGATGTTACATTCCTTGGCAAGACCACGGTATACATCTAAGTATTGCTTCCAATTGGCGCATTCATCGCGATATTTGGGGTCTTCAGGAAAGAAGTCGCCGAGATGGTACTCGGGGAGCACTGCGAGATTCGCACCGGCACGAGCTGCCTTTCGAATATAGGCAATAGCGCGGGCCTGATTTGACTCTGTTTGATGAGGCTAGAGTGCAAGGTGAGTAAGATATAGGCATCTTGAGAGTACTTGAGGATGGACATACTTGAGGATGGAGCTGAATTATAGCAACTTTGATAGAAGACATAATGGCGATTGGGTGCGTTGTTCAAATGAAAATGATGAATGTAGGGAACGGATAAAGGATGGAATAGAACGATTGCTAATATAATCGATGCCTTATTAATGTCCTATATACCACCGTTGAGATACGCCCGGGCGGAGTTCATATACTAGTAACTAGAATGATATCTGGAGATAGTTCCTGCGTGCTCCGCGTGCTCCGCGGGGGTCATATCTCTCTGATCAGTACCGAAAGGGTAGGTCCTAGCGACCGAACTGTATCTTGTGTACATCTAGGTTGAGCATGGACCCTTTGCTTCCCCTGGTGGTTGTATCTACTCGGCTTTAGAAAATACATTGAGACATTTCATTCGTAAAGAGCACCGAGATATCTATAATGGGTCGAAGGGGTTGATGGCATTGGCTCAATTGCCGAAACTGTATCATCAAGCAGTCCTGCACTAAATTGTCTACACATGTTGGAACACGGCAATATTTACCGGAAAACGATGGCTTATCTGCTTGAAGTAAATGTCTCCTATCATAGAATGTCATAGATAGCCCTGTTTATGGCTTCTCCGCATTTATATAGGATTCCACTTCGAACATAAGTGGCTCTAAAGCACCGGGCACCAAGACGTTTTTTGAGCTATCAGCTAATGTCATCTTCATTGAAAGTGTTATATCAGAATAGATACTCGCACAAAAAACCATTCAAACTTCAATTATGGCAGAGATTACCGATGCTGAGCCGACCGAGGCAGGACAGTCGCTCAAGGAAATCACGTTTGATGCACCAGGAACTGCATATCTAGAGGGCCCAGGTAGGTTGGTCCGGCTTTTTCACTGTGAGCCGTGGATTACTCTGACTGAAGACACCTTTTCACAGTAGGAGCAGGGTCTTCGCACAGAAGGGTCATTCTACAACCAAAGCCTACCTCCGACCCAAACGACCCCTTGGTGAGCTACATTGACAGAAAAATCCAATGATGTGGAGAATACCCGTATTGATCCCAGATTAACAGAATTGGTCGTTCCGTCGAAAGTCTGTACACTTTGCCATTGCATCATTTTTTACCATGTTGGTGTTTGCTTTGTGGGTTAATATCTTGTTTCTTGCATACATATTCCGTACTACTCTAATCTATTCAGGATTGACATCGGCCCGGTGATTTGGCAAGACTTTGAGGAGCTTCTTCATATTACATACCCTCAACTCAACAACCAATACGCTGTGAACTGTGTCTCTCTCGGTCTCGGTTCAATCATCCTTGTACCCTTGGCCTTGAAGTTTGGGCGCAGGCCTATTTACCTATTGACTGCCATGGTGGTCCTAATTACTGCAATTTGGCAGGCAGTGCTTCGGGACCTTGCAAATATGATGGCTGCACAAGTGTTCAATGGGATAGCTTGCGCCGTTGGATGGACTCTAGTTCCTATCACGGTAAATTTCCAAACAACACAGGTTTGAGTTCATCTCTGTGCTGACATTCTTTCGAAGATCACAGATTTATTCTTCGTCCATCAGAGAGGTCGAGCAAATGCGATTTATCAGATAATGAGTAGCACAGGTGTAAGATCACCCCGAGACCTATACCTCAAATTCAGACTAATCCAATTATTTTCCAGGTCTTTCTCGCTCCTGTCGCCGCGGGATACATAGCGGATGCTCAAGGTTGGCCTTGGATCTATTGGTGGTCAGCTATTCTTGTGGCTGTGAACTTGGTTCTTTTCGTTTTCGCTTTTGAAGAAACCAAGTTCTCCATTCATACCATTGCTGGGTCAGAAATCAGGGCTCCAACATCAGCTCAGGACATTGGACCCATCAACACAGGTGATGTTTTCAAAAGAACAGAACTAGTAGATCCCGAAAGCCAGTTTACAGCTACCACAAATCTATCGACTGTGCCGGATGAGATACAGAATTGGATAGACCATTCCATTCCTTTGAAATCACCGCGCCAACGTTTGGCGCTCTTCACGACATCCGCCGGATCTCTCAGCCAATTTCTACATCATATATACATGCCAGTTCAAGTCCTAGTGAGCATACCAGCCGTTGCCTATGTGATGATACAATATAGCTCCGCTTTAGTATGGTTCACGGTACTCGCCACAACACAGTCAGAATATCTCGCCCTGCCTCCCTATAACTTTGGAACGACAGGCATCGGCCTGCTCAACCTACCACCGTTCGTTGGATCTATCTTCGGGTGTATATGGGGAGGCCCTGTGAGCGATTGGTCAATCAAATTCCTCGCCCGACGGAATGAAGGTGTCTATGAGCCTGAAATGCGGCTTTACATTTCTCTTCTGCCGGGAATATTAGGCCCCGTGGGTCTGTTTCTGTATGGATACAGTGTATCGGAGGTATTTCTTCCCACTAATTCTATACTTACATTCAGCTTAAGGTCTTGATTTATATTGACTATATGTGTACAGGGCTTGCCGTGGATATTTCCCTGCCTCGGATCTGGGCTTTATGGGTTTAGCATGTCTGCACTTATTCCAATCGCCCTGACCTATCTCACTGACTCATATAACAAAGTAAGTAGTCCTGCCAGAGAAATGGGACAGAAAACTGTCTACTAGTATGCAGCAACTGATTTGTGAAGATCCTCGGAACTGCTCTGATTGGGGTGAGCTTCGCCCAGTATATGGTTGCAACTATCATCATCTTTGCGCTTGACCCATGGATCAGCAGTATGGGGTTGTACAACACTTTCACAGTAATTGGATGTCTAGCAGTCGGATGTAACTTGCTCTGCATTCCGATGATTCTCTTTGGAAAGAAATGGCGGATATCTTGCAAACCGCAGTACGAGAAGATGGCAGCTGTTCAGTTTGATGAACGAGGGATTTGATACTACATAGATCCATTTGCTATTACCCGAGGCATCATGATGAATATACTCTTTGTAATTCTAAGATGGCTTAGAATGTTTCACGAGATAATCTTTAGAACAATATTGTATGTTGACTGTGCCTACAACTTCCCCATAGAAATAACAGTGGAGCCTCGCGGGGTCCGCGGACAACCACGAGGCTTAGGTCGCCACCATATCGCGGAGCTCGCGGAGCTCGCGGAACTTTGCTCTTCACCCATGTTCTCGCAATGTCAACGCCTGGAATGGACTCTCAAGCGATTGGGCAAGCTCCATCAGATTCCGCCGCGCGGAAGCGCAAGCGAACGGCATGTCGAACTTGCAGGGAGCGTCGCGTCAAATGCGACAACGGGCGGCCCTCATGCCACTCATGCTGCACCCTGAAATTAGCTTGTGTCTACCCCGACGACAGATCTTCTGCAAGCCCCAAGTTAGTGGGAACTAGGCAGTCCAGTCCCATGATCACCTACTATGAAGCTGACGCATATCCTAACTTAGATTTGACTCTGGCTCTGTGGAGATTCTGCATCAGTTGCAGGGGATCCGTACAGTTCTGGACTCTATAGCCCAAACACAAAAAGATTCTAACGCCTCGCCTACCTACGACTTAACCACCATATTGACCACGGAGCCAAATTTGAGATATGCAAGCTCGAATGATTACAACCCAGGCCACGTGCATCGTGGAAACTTGAGTGACGGGACTGGTCATTCACCATCAAATCGCCTCTGCGCCGGCGTTGAGAGACTTCTTTTCTGGCCCAAAGTCATGGAATTTCTCGGAGAACCAATCGTGGAGAAGTCATTCGTCCTCGAGTGTAATTTGAACATAGCGGGTCTTGCGCCAGATAGGCAATCTTCCAAGTATGGAATCCGCGAAGACGACTTTCTTACACTATGTCGAAACTTCTTAGACTATGTGCATGTGCGCAATCCCATCCTCGAACCAAGTGAACTTGAGCAGCATGCCAAACAATTAGCAGAAGCCGGCCTGAAATGGGACACCAAGTCTTGTCTTGTGGTATGTGATTATTGAAGTACTTCGCCCATATTTTGATTTGTCATTCTAATTGCATGTTCCAGCTCCTGGCATGTGCGCTTGGCTGTTTCGCTTCTGAATATTTTCCAGAAGGAGCTGACGCGCCGGATGAAAATTCAACAAGAGATGATGCATCCTACACCCGAGCAGAAACATATTACGAGGCAGCATGCAAGCGTATCGGTTATTTAGGTACAACGCTGATGGATATCCAATGTCTTTACCTGGCAGGAATATACAAGAAGCATACGCTACGAATTCTCGAGGCCTGGTTCCTGACTGAGCAGGCTTGCTCTCGACTGCATGCATATCTGCTTTGTCAACAAAGACCAACCGGTCCATATGAGCAGAGTGACTATCGTCTTGAACAACGTCTATACTGGTCCTGCGTTAAGGCTGAAAGGTACTCACACGATGGAATTTATATGTTGGACGCGGCTAACCTATTTGATTCACTGACAGCGAGTTCTTGAACGAGATCCCGCTGATTCGAAGCGCCCTAATTTCCCTCGACTACCCGGACCTATTTCCCTCGCCCCCAACACTGCCATGCGCCGAATCTCCCAACATCAATAGCCGAGATGCCTTGTTCAACAAAAGCCAAGAGCAAAGCTGGCTATACTACCTCGCCGAGATTGCATTGCGAAGAACACTGGACCAAGCAATACCTCTGATATACTCACCTGAAGGTCCAGAAATATGGATGGAGAACATCAGCCTCATTCTGCAAAGATCTTCACAGATCGACGAACAGTTGACTGCATGGTATAACCATCTACCCCTTACAATACGACCATCTGTAAACACCGAGATTCCGTCTAATGACCAGCTGTCTTTGTTTCTGCTAGGCCGGTTCTTGGGTGGCAGAGAGGCAATTCTTCGGCCATTCCTTTATTACGTCCTTCACCACAATAGAGCCCCAATCAACCCAGCAGTCCTTTCACGTGCTAATGAGTATGTGTATCTGGCAAGGGGATTAATTATTCATCTTCAGAAGCACAGGCGACATGGCGGTATCTGGTATGCGCTCCGGGGGATCTGGGGCTTGGCTATGATTATTTCGACGATCGTGCATGTGGAAATGTCCAGTTTACCTCCTCCAGCCGATTGGCGGGAACTGATACAGATTTCCTTGCAAATGCTACGCACTTGGAGCGTTGAAGCGGCGGATGTTCGGCAGATGTATGATATTTTGGTCTGCGCATATCGGGCTTTGTGTCTTGAGGTTGGGGTATCTCCGGAGCTTGCGGACTGAACTCCGACAACGAAACTAGTCAAATCCATACAGAAGACTAGAAATGACTTGGATAATTTACTAGTAATCAAAAGCGGTTTGTGGGTATCCTTGCAATGGCAAAAAGGCCGACGATCGTAATCACACGATACAGATGGAGTCGTTTCGGCCCCCTCGTCTTTTCTTAATTACTGGATATCTTGCTCGGTTTCAAAAATACTATCAATCGATATACTACATCTTTTTCTCTCTCGAATATGCAAGCTGGAGATTTTGAAAAGGCAAGAAGATGATTTATCTCGACATCACCGTACTGGAGGTGCGGGGCAGGTCTATAGTTAGAGTATACGCTGCGCATGTATCTTCCGAATACCGAACTTTAGACAGTTGTACTCTGAAGGTTCACGCCGAGACCGTATTATCCGGTCATCGGAACTGATTTTGAATGCAACGTTGAATTATTAAGGTTCGTTCCGTATTTTCAAACCTCGGCGAAATCAAAATTATGGGCAGTCTCATTTGTGTCGAGGATAAATTGTGCTTTTGATCTGGTCCGCGGACTCTGTGCAGTCAACTAGTTCCCCGAGCTCCGCGAAGTGGAGCTGTGGATCTCTATCATCATACCGACATACTTCACAGAAGGCAGCCTAATTCCGGGGCCATAAAGCAAAGCGAGATTTCATAATGCAGTAAACCATCTCAACATGCTCTCAAATCGACTACTTTTATCATTTCATGCCGTCAGCGTTGGGCTGGTTGCAGCATCAGCAGCCCTCACTGTTGATGAGAATGACTTCACCCCCATCAATGAACTTCGCGACCTAGTTCATAGAGTGGGAAGTGTCGGGCTGCGACTTCCGGGAAGCGATGTGCATAATGAACTAGTTGACTGGGTCAATACAAGCTTGCATGACATACCCGGACTTGAAGTCCAGGGGTCTAAGTACGATCTTGACGTCTGGGAGCCAAAGGAAGGGATGAATCTGAGTGAGGCTGGAACCCTTTGCATCCAGTCTGATGGAAAGTGCCACAATATCCCAATTGTTGGAGCAATCCCATTCACTCTTCCGACAAATGACTCTGCCCTCACCGGCCCTCTGATCTATGTCCCTTTCAACCAAAGCATCTCATCCGTAGATGTCCGGGGTAAAGTCATTCTTAGAGATCTTCTCCCTTTGAAAGTCCCATATCCATATCTATTGAAGGATTCGCATGTCAGTCAGTCCCTCTTTTACCCGGGCCCCACTTGCGATTCGCGATACAGCAACTATTTACTGAGTCAAATATAGTACATCACGCCAGATCTTGCCGCTCAAATCAATGGCACCTACGAAAGGCCATATCTTTCCACACCAGCGGACGACCTTATCGCCGCTGGAAGAGGTGGTGCAGCCGGATTGATTTCTGCGTTCGACATCCCTCGAAAAACGCTAGAAGGTTACTACGATCCTCATTTTGGACAACATTATCTAATTCCGGGTGTCTATCTGGGTTCCGAGCAGTACTATATGCTTCGAGACGCATGTCGGTACGGACATGCAGCATCTCTGAAGATTTCCGCAGACACAGGTCGTAAATATACCCGCGAGCTGTTTGCTACTCTTCCCGGTCGATCCAAGGAAACAATAATCATCGGTTCGCATACGGATGGCGCAACCTGGGTCCAAGAGAATGGCGTGGCAGGCCTCCTTACACTGGCAAAGTACTTTGCAGCTCAGCCGATAGCATCGCCCGCCAGGGCGAAGACACTTAAGTTTGCATTCACGTCCGGACATCTGACATACAGCAGAGATGGATCGATCCCGTACGCAAAGAAACTCGACCAGGAATACGATAGCGGAAATCTTGCGTTGGTCATCATCCTCGAGCACCTGGGAGCACGGGAGCTGCTGCCATCCGCTGCGTCAAACGGTCAATATGGTCGTGTATTGAACTTCACCGGCAATAGCGAAGCAACTCTTTGGAGCGTTGGACCTACTCGGCTAGTTATTGATGCTGTTACTACAGCTGTCAAAAACCGCATGCTGGATGGGATGGGGGTGACCCCAGGAAACCCCCCAAAAAACACTTCGCAGATTCCTTTCTATGCCTCCCAGGGTGGCATCGGGACAACGTACCATAACTACCTTCTTCCGACTACGTCTATCGTCTCTGGACCGTGGAGTCTATGGGCGCCCTCCTTTGGCGAAGCGGCCATTGATTTCGCCCGACTGCGCGATCAGTTGCTGGCTGTTGCGGATGTGGTGGTTGGTCTTGCATCAGATTCGAAGGACGAGATCGCTGGGGGGGTATATCGAATACCGCCAGATGCGTGAAAATGGCTTCCCTTGGAAGGAGCCAAGTTGGATCTCCCAATATTTGCCTGGACCTCGGTAGACGTGCAAACTTAACGAGTCATGACCAGCTCCAATCATGATTTTGGGAATTGACCAAGGCTTTGTAGCCAGCAGAGTATATGACAATGTGGTGGTCATAGTCTGAAGTCCATCATGTTTCATCTCCGACTGCTCAGGAATCAATATGATTTCCACGTTGTTGGTGGCTGACAGTCGACCTTCCTCAACTGTCGTCGGTCGAGGAGGGCTGCTAAATGGACCACCCTTTTTTGCTAAATGGACCATATGCCCTTCTGAATCCAGATTAGTATGTAATCTCTATACAACTTTGGATACACTTAATCTACCTCTAGCGCTGTGAAAGTTTCTAGTCCGTTGTTGGCCTCTCTAGTCTCCGCTATCCTATGGCAGACTAGTACCTACCTGAGATGGAAGAGAGTAGCTAATCTATTCTATCCTGGGTAGGTACTAGTCTGCTCACTATTAGAAGACAGTAACTGATAGTAGACAACAGGGAGTCAGAAACTTTTGCAGTACTTGTACTACCGTAGACATAGATTGAGTATATCTAAATTTGTATAGAAATTATATACTCATCTGGATTCAGAAGGGCCCATGGCCCATTTAGCAAAAAAGGTGGTCCATTTAGCAGCACTCCGGTTGAGCCCTACTAGACCCGTTTCGGCCGCTACGGCTCAGTTAGTAGCGGCGCCGGAGTTTAAATCCCTTGAATGTTCAACACAATTCACATCTCACCCATTCTTTTCATTACGTTCTATTTCTCTGAAGCACTTAAATTTCCCACGATGGTCATAAAGACAACATTTTTACTCTTTGCCCAGGTCTTTCTGTCCACCTCGGCGGCTGTTCCGCACGTATCCAGTTCGTGCAAAGGACATACTCATCAAAACGGCAACCTACCCAATGTGACAATTTTCGGAACCGGAGGCACAATTGCGAGCAAAGGTACGAGTAATACTCAAACCACAAACTATAAAGTCGGAGTCACCATCGAGGCGCTCGTAGAGGCAGTGCCTGAATTATGCAACATATCAAATGTTTCTGGTCTACAAGTCTCAAACGTTGATAGCGGATCAATCAACTCCACTATCCTACTTCATCTAGCTCGATACGTCAATGCCGACATGGCGAACCCAATATCCCACGGCTCTGTCGTGACACACGGAACTGATACACTGGAGGAAACGGCATTCTTCCTAGACCTGACTGTGAAGACACATAAGCCGGTTGTTATGACTGGCGCTATGAGGCCTTCCACCGCAATCAGCGCCGACGGACCCTTGAATCTATATCAAGCGGTGAAACTCGCCGGCTCCGATGAAGCTCGCGACCGGGGTGTCCTAATTGTGTTGAACGAGTAAGTAAATCGACGTTATTCTGTCCCTTGATCGATACTAACATCATAAATTAGCCGTATAGGAAGCGCATATACTACAACCAAAAACAACGCAAACTCTCTAGATACATTTTACGCAACAGAACAAGGCCAACTCGGCTTCTTCATCGACCAAGTCCCTAAATTCTACTCTTCTCCATCGACCCCTCGCAACAAACCACACTTCAGTATCGGGGATGCAGATTTTCTGCCCCAGGTAGATATTCTTTACGGCTATCAGGACGCGAATCCGGCTCTCGTCGAAGCATCCGTTCGATCTGGAGCGAAAGGAATTATTTTCGCAGGGGTAGGAGCTGGCGGATGGAGTGAGAGTGGGCTGAAGGCTGCGCAGAGAATGTATAATGAGACTGGTATTCCGATGGTATTTAGTCGACGTACGGAGGATGGGTTTGCCGGTGGTGACTCTATTTATTCATTTCAAATGACGAGCGGATTTCTGAATCCGCAGAAAGCAAGGATTATGTTGCAGCTTGCCCTCCTTGAGAATTATGGAAACGAGGAGATCAGGGCTCTATTTTATGGCCAGTGATAGCGGCAAATTAGAGGCATTTCGATTCAAGTTCACAATAATTCAAGCTCTACGTATCAGTTAGAGTGCAATTTAAAGGAGATATCTAAAACCTCCATCATTTCCACCATCGAGCTCCGCTCTACCAAGTTTCCGATTTAGTCTTCGTAGGATGAACCGGAAAACGGTAGCAGTAACTATCGCCAATAAGGAGGTGCCGGCATTCACACTCATGGCAAGAACAAACCGGGGTGCGCCACTATCAGGGTACAGATAGGGGCTATAAATCGATGAACAATTTGCTATCGCGTTTGTAAGTGCAAGCGCAGCTGCTCGCTTTGAAGATGGCCGAGGAAGCGTGTTTGCTACCCAGGCAATACCAATAATGAAAGCAGTATAAACACCAGGAAGCATAATCATCATGGCAAAGTATCTTGGACCGAATTTAGTCGTGGCTGCAGAGATAATGAAGCCAGCAATGGAGACCCAAAGTGGTAGAGTGAAATGGAAGTAGCGTTCGCCTGTCCGGTCGGCATTCCGAGAAACAGCCATGGCGACAATGCAGGACAAGATATAAGGAGGAACTGTGAGTAGAAGTGTGTGAATTCGACTTTCTCCGAGGCCTTCTACCACGGTGGGAAAGAAGCTGTTTATTGTACCACTGGAGACTGCACCAAGATTCAGAACCACGAGAAACCAGGTTTTCGAGTCGGTTATACACTCTTTAAACCCTCCCATCAAGGTTGGTTTTTCTTCGCATTCCCATTCGTCTTCTCTGATATCCTTTGCCAGTCGCCAGATGGCGAGCTCTCGTTGTTGCTCAGTTATACATGTTGAATTGTGTGGGAAATTCGGTAGAACGAAATATGCGGCAAAAGCAATGAAAACCGTGATTGAGCCCTACTGTGGTCAGAGGTCTGCATAAGGACTATTACGATGATGAAACAGCCGGGACATACCTCGATTATGAATAGCCACCTCCATGCCAAGAGGCCTCTCACACTTATTGCTAGTTAGTGATTTTGAAGAATTAAATGGGCCGTTACAACTAACCCATTCATTCCGTCGTTGATACCAGCAGCGATAAGCCCGGAAAATGCCCCTGAAAGAAGAGCCCCGCAGTAAAGAATGGCAGTGCGCAAAGATAGTTCCTTTCGGGTATACCAAGCGCTCAGCGTCGCCATGCATCCTGGCTATAATATGTTAGCTGCAGCGATATACAAATAGTAGGATGGCTGACAGACAAAATATGCTGCTTCCACGAAGCCTAAGATAAATCTTCTCTAGGTTAGCTCATCGGGCATTTGTCGCAACTATTCAACAATTTCATACCTGCATGCTACAAGGCCACCATAGCCCTGTGTTGCACCACTGGCGCCACATAGAATGCCCTAGATGATCTTAGACAAACGAAAGATTGAAAATGCTGCTTTTATGGCGTTAACTGACCCATATTATCATACATGTGGGAAGATAAAGCGCGGGCTTTCCAATTTTATTCAGAAACAAATTCGACGGCACTTGCATTAGGATATATCTAAAGCTGTCAGTGGTATCCATGGTCGGAGTGAGAGGGGATATGGGACCTACCCGACAAATAGAACGCTCACGCAAGTCTTGAATGATATGCTAGTATTAGAAAGAAAAGCCTTCGGGTTGCCATGATTTCAAATACCTGGAACTGAACCGAAGTCAGACCTAGCTCCTCCGTGATTCCGCTTAATTTGGCGGCTGCGATCGCATTTCTGAATATCTTATTAGTCAAGAAATACCTTAAACTTTTTATTGGCAAAATACCTGTCAAGATAGTTCATGATGTAGATCAAGACCAGCATAGGCATAAGTCGAATGTCGAGCTTCCTAACGAGAAGATTTTCCAATTTTCCAATCTCTTCACTCGTGAGCCCTTGCAATGTGGGAGGCATTGGGTGAATAGACACAGGCGAGCCCCAATCCAGCTTCTCCTGGGGCCAATTGCAGGGTGTTCGACTTGCTTCTTAACATCCGTCATGATGACTTTTAGAAATGAGTCAAAAAATGGTAAAAATTTATGATTTATACTAAGCGCTCGGATGCGACTTTATAGTGAACCTTGGAAAATCGTCATTTAGCTAGTCTGTGCCCCCTCCTATTATCTCTAATATATAATATATCTACCACACTGTCCGGCTCGAACGGCTTGACCCCAGATTATGATCAGCTGCAACGGAGATAGCCTTCCCCGCATATTTGGATATGCCTTGAGAGCTTATCAGCCGTCGGCCGCTACGGCTTCTTCCACGAGTTTAATTGGGTAAACAGTCATACCCTCCACTTTCGGAAGCGGGGTTGGCTGAGTCTTTCTTCCATCGCCGTAGCGGCCGTGTCGACAGACTATTTACGTTATCCACTAGCAAGGATAAAACAATATGGGAATGGATGACTTTGACGCTGGCTCTCCAATTATCTTTTAGCCGTAGTGTCCGGTGATGTAAAGAGACCTCATCATCTCCGCACTTTTAAGCCCTTTTCCGAAAAGACCAGAGATTTAAATGGAGCTCACAATTCCGCCAGATGGAAATACATCTGAAAATCTTAGTCTAGACAACCAAAAATGTCGCCGCCTTCTGTTCTCATCATTGGTGGAGGTGCTTTCGGCACTTCCACTGCTTACCATCTCTCTCACCGAGGTTATTCCAATGTGACTGTTCTTGATCGCTTTGCAGCACCATCCAAGGATGCAGCGGCCACAGACTTGAACAAGATTATTCGACATGATTATCCAAATCCTTTATATACAAGACTTGGAAGAGAAGCGATGACTGTGTGGAAAGACCAGGATTCAATTTTTCGGGGGATGTTTAGAGGAACTGGGTGGATCATGTCTGCACACGAAATGACCAAGAATTTTCTGAAGGCCGCGTACGAATCTGCGACCAAGGGAGATAACGAATCTGCACAATGGATGAGCATCGCGGAAACGAAAGAGAAGTGGCCTGAGTTTACTGGTTCTTTTGACGGCTGGTTGAACCTTTGGAGTCCGCAAGCTGGATGGGTGAGTAGAAATCAAATTAGTCCAATCAGGAAATTGCTGAATATTTTAACTCACAGGTTCCCTCCGGACAAGCTCTTCTTCGGTTTTCTCAAGCAGCTCAGTCCAATGGAGTTAGATATGTCTCGGGAGACGCGGGATTTGTCAAGCGGCTTCTTTACAATGAAGATGGCGCTTGCATTGGTGCATTAGCGGCCAATGGACAGGTACACCTGGCTGATGTGGTCGTCATCTGTACAGGTGCAAATACGGCGACGCTCATTGATGCGAAAGATGAAATAATCGCTCGGTCGCATTGTGTGGGGATAATTCAATTAACCCCGGAGGAAGTGATCAAGTACAAGAATTTGCCCATCGTGGATGATTTCGAGCAAGGTGAGTTTGCTATGATCGACAGGGAAATATTTATGATGCTCATACAATCCAACAGGTATTCTGTTTCCTCCAGATGAGAATGGACTCCTCAAACTTTGTAGTTGCCGATTTATCACCAACTACTACAACTCCTTTATCCCGGGCGCTTCTATCGGCCATTCGCATGAAGACTATCCAGAAGACGGTATTCCTAGACAAATCGAACAGGAAATGAGATCTTTCGTTCGTGACATGATTCCTGAGCTTGCGGACCGAGAGTGGGCCTCCACTCGCATGTGCTGGTAGGTGTTAATTCTGCTGAACTACGAGTATTCTTCTTCGGATGCTAACATTGCGAAGGGACGGAGATACCAAGGATGTCAACTTTCGCATCTGCCCTTACCCTAAGGCTAAGAACCTATACATTGCCACAGCAGGCTCTGGTCACGGATTCAAGTTTATGCCGGTGATTGGCAAATATGTCGTGGACATGTTAGAAGGAAAACTGGACAAGGAGTATACCGATCTATGGAAGTGGCGGTTTGGCGCAACTCCGCCAAAGACTGGCAAAGAGCCTCATCCGTGGCCGCAGAGAGACTTGGGAGAGCTGGATGGATGGAAGGGTAGGAACAAAAAAGTCATTCCAGGCAAACTATAGAAAATCATAGGCGAAATGAGGTTAGATTTTCCCATCGGACAAGTAGTCTTTGTTCTATAGAGATGTTTTTTTTTCTTTTCTTTCAGATTTCAAATAATTCGCAACATGTAATTTCCAAGAAAGGGAGAAAAAAGGCCAGAAAGTGTGCTATGACCTGTGAAGATATAGATCATCAAGTGAACTCAAGTTACTAGTGTGGTTCTAGCAGATATCAATAAACTCTACCGAGAGTTGGTACTGCGGGGACTCGGATCCGTTGGAGATAAAAGCCGGGGACTCTCCCACTTGCCCGGCTTCCCTCGCTGGGAACTCGAGTCAGAAACATCTTCCCCCAATCGGTCGCTACGCCCAGTCATCTAAAATGCCTCGCTTCAAAGGGAGATCTATCAACGCTTGTCATTACTGCCGCACCCAGAAAGTGAAGTGCAGTGGGGGTACGTCCAGATTTCTCGTCCATCGACACCAGCCTGACAAATCGAGAACAGAACAACCTTGTGTAAAATGCCGTTCAAGCCAGAGGACTTGCGTATACTCGTTTCGAGAAAAAGCAATATCGATTCCGGAGAGCTATTTGCGAAGATTAGAGAGCGAACTTGCGCAACTCCGGCAGCCCGTTGGCGATAATCAGAGACGTGTGACTCAAGTTGGCTACCAGTTCACAACTCCCTCGAGCATTGGCCTAGAAGGACAGGCAATTCCAGATCGGTTGATTGAGAACTCTACAACGGAGCACTTTGTTCGCAAGCTCAAAGGCGTCTATTCCACCCGGTCGCAAGACATTTCGGGGGTTTCTCCATTGTCAAACGGCTCAACTGCCGACCGATCCAACTTTCATGATAATGATGACCGGTCTGCAACTTCAGATTACACATATATCCCCCTCGATAATGACAGTAACCGTATAATTATACAGTCCTCTCCCCCACCAACATCTACTAACCGTCACAGATGCCAAGGTCTTCGTCAAACTCCCGCCACACTCATATGCTCTTTATCTGTTGGGCCAGTTTGAATCTTTCATGGGGTCGGATTATCATTGGTATAAAAAGAAGTGTTTCCGTGCCAAAATCGAAGCCACCTATGATTCGTCACAGTCACAGGCAGTCGATCGAATATGGCTTTGCTGTTTCTCGGTTGTTTTGGCTCTCGGGGAGTCATACAACGACGGCGTTGCGCCTTCATTTTTCATCGGTGATAAGTCAGGATTAACAGCGGATAACCCCTATGATGGGGATTCGCGACAGATTACACCCCCGGGAATTGAATTTTTCAAACAAGCATTACTTTTGCTTCGGCCGTCTTACGAGGAACCGACAATCGAACAAGTCGAAGCTCTCAACCTCATTGTAAGTGCGATATGTATGTTGGTTTTACATGAGATCGAAGCTCATTTCTAGTAGACATTCTACTGCTATTCACTTAACCGGAGAAAGACAGCATATGCCTATGCCGGAATGGCTCTACGACTAGCGAACCTCCTGGGGATTCCAAATTCATTGGTGGCACATAGCCCACTTGAGAAAGAACACCACAAGCGAATTTGGTGGACGGCAGTTTGCATGGATATAATGACTTGTACCGAGCTGTCATTAGCACCATCCCAGGTGCTGTATGACGATACTAGTGCAACTGCAGATTGCATAGAATTGTCTTCTGGCGAGACCGAAGAATTTTCAGATCCTCGGTATCTTACTGCGCAAGTTAAGCTTGTTCGTATCAAGTACCATATAACAAGGACTATCTCCGAGCTTCGATACGGGAATTCCTTGGAGGCACATGCACTGATTGAGCCCTGTCTCCAAGCCCTGAGGAATTGGAAGGCACAGTTCTCACTAAGCCTGGAGTTCAAGGAAGATGGTACATTTTCCGAGAATACGCTTTCTAATCCCCCTATGCGTACGATTGCGTCACTACTCCTACGCTATAACCAGGTATGAAGTGATAACTTGTGTCAATCCCAAATAGAAGACTAATTAATCCAGTGCTTTATAATTCTCCTTCGCCCCCTACTATTAAAACAACTTCAAGATCTCGTTCAGAACATCGATGCCCCAATCCCAAGCAGCGAGATTGAGAGCCTGGATACTCAGTGCTTACAGGCAGCAATAAACAACACCGCCATACAGTTTGCTCTATCAAAATGTCATAGGATAGGTACGTGCTTATATTTCCAAGTTATTTGAGACTGGGCTCAAACTATGAAATAAACCACTAGATCCGACTGACTTATTCGTAGCAAACTTCGGGTTCTGGGACTCTCTGCACATATTTACTAGTCTTGCGATACATCTAATATCGAGATTTATCAGAGAAAGGCGGCCCACTGCGTTCGATGGTGTCATATTCAATGCACCATACGAGCCAGTCAAAAGGCTACTTGCTGAAATGGCCCAATGTGGCAACGCAGCATCCAAGGATCACAACCGCATGATAACTGAGATAGAGGATCTATTCACGGAAACCTCTTTGAACACCGAATTACTAGTTGAAGGGATCGAGAGTCTTGTAGACTGGCCAGACTACCTGGACAACGGGACACTGGGCTTCGAGTTTGATGGGACATTTCCGTCAGTTGGCTGGTCCTGATCTGATTGAGAAATTATGTTGTATGAGAATAGGGTCCCGAGAACAGCGAAATACAGAACAGCGAAATACAGAACAGCGAAATACAGAACAGCGAAATACTATACTGACGATGTTGGAAATGAACAATATTTACAAGGACCCTGGCGCCCTCCCTCTTCTTCTCCTCCTCCCTCCCCTTCTCATGCTCTCGGTGGTGAAAACATGTCAGCGCAACAATCTGAACTAGGAGGGCAAAGATCTCCAAGTCTTCTCAAAGATGCTGAAGGCGCCGTATAATCGGAGCGTTAGGAACGAGGTTTTGGAACCAGGGTTCGGAGAAAAACCCTGGAACGGGAAGCCCAAATATTCTTGATTCATCTCGGCAACTGTAAGGAAGATTTCGATGCCGTAGTGAGTGAGCTGACCCATCTTGGCGTATCAATTAGCGTATATTACGCCATGGCTGATACAATTTACTTACTGACTTAGCCGGATATGATCTTTGTGCTTGCGGTGTTTGCCGCGGCCTGGCACATCAAAAGATTCGCAAGTAGAGGCAATAAACGCCAGAATTTTCAAGGCTTGTCGCACAAGAAGTGGCTTTCAAGGACTTTCGGTTCGGGGTTGTGCTTTAACCTCAACTATGAGAAGAAAAGTTCGCCATTGGGATCAATGAGCCCACCACCGACAATGGATCGAATATTCGCTTGGCCGAGCTGGGATGTTACGTGTCGTTGTACTTGGTCGTATTTCAGGTCCGTTGGCAACGCGGGACATGAAGTTTCCAACAGAAGGCGAAAGCCGAATTGATTCGAGGCTCTGCTGTTTCTTCGAGTGCCTCTCGCACAGCGAGAGCTCTTTGATTGTGCAATGGGAGCAAATCTAGGAAACCACCAGTGCCGTCAGTTTTGTCGGTCTTGATTTGCAGGTTGCACATTCCCTTGGATATTCTGGCTCATCGATGTCGTCTTGATCTTGGTCGCTGAGGGTATCTGAACGACTTGTTGGCTGCGATTCCAGTTTAATACATTTAGGTGGCCCCTGAACCGGCATATCCGATGAATGACCGCTTGCTGGCCATCTAGGTCCATCAGCACTCCCACCATAGGAATCCTCGGGAAAATGAAAAGTAAAAATTTCCTTGAATTGATAATGGAGGTCGCGAACATTGGATAAAGGTCCCGGAGATGACAGGTTGCCCGGGCTTTCGTTCCTTGTTTTTGTAGATGTGGTCTAGAAATCGAACCTAGTTGGCAAAACTCTGTTTCATCAAAAACAGTGGAGCTGGCGCAGTAAAGTAGGGTTGTAAAAGAAATTGAGAGAAGAAAATAAAGACTATCCAAGGCAGATTCCACCTTATCCCCCGATCATGTGAGTACCTTACCCTATCTTAAGGTAAGTGCGATGTTGACCTACGAGAAAGGGAAGGCATGACTCGCATGAGGCAGGTATACTGCAGTAGCGGCAATGGCAAGAACAACAACAATAACAACAATAACAACCTTAGAAAGGCAGTCACCACCCACAGCTTACATACTACTAGTATATGGTTGACTACTCGTACCTACTCAGGTAGCCATCTCTTGCCCGATCTCTTCCACCTGCAACTCCTAGCTTTAACAACAACCATCGTCCCATCTCCAAACCAGTGCCGTGTTGTTCTCACCAATTCCAGTCTAATACCATTTCAAGGAACTGGAAAAAGCGCTCCGAAGAGACCAATAAAGCAGACTGGCCTTCAGTACGACTTTATCTGGAGTCTGTCAATTCCGCATGGACTCCCAACGGCCTCGACTAGACTGCTTCTTGCAAGGATTCAAACAATCCCGTATCATTTTTACGCTTGAGAACTGTGATATATGTACTATCTACCGCCGTCCGAGTGAAGCAGACGATACTATTCAACACCTGGGCAGTATCAACACGCCTTGCAAGGCTGGCCAAAACTCGGGAAAGAATGGATTGTCTCGAGCTCGTTCCCGAGATCCGTTCTTTATCAAAAATCGAAACCGAAGAGAATACCTGCTGGAGGGAATCCGGAACGGAAGCGCCGAGAAGCTGAGGATCAGCTACAGCGTCTTCAGTGTGGACAAGATACAAGAGCCCACTTTCGTCAAAAAAAGAAGCCCCAGAGTGGCTTTTCCATGCTACCGTCTCCGAAGAGATCAAGCCACAGGTTTCCGAAACGACCGAAATCCAATTCGCGCTCTACAAGAACTCTCCCTTGACAAAGAGGTTTTTCTCTCAAAAAGACTGTTCGTACACGGCAGAGAAATGGATCCCCACGGCCCTGAGTTCTTCAACCTCGATAGGTGTCAGCACTCGGGTCTAGAGACGTCAATCAAAGACGCTCGGATCAAGCGCATCCTCGACCAGACTACTCTCGACCAGTTCCAGCTAGAGACTTTCAAAAAGTCCACCGCGGCAAGTCCTGGCGGAGTGATGCTGATCCAAGGACCCCCTGGAATATGTAAAACCAATGCGACTATTCCGGTCGTCCTCTCCCATGCCGCAATTGGGATTAAGTTTTTGATTGCTGCTGGGTGAAACAAAGCTGTTGACAACCTCACCGCCGCAGTATACACACGCCTTGCTAGCAGGGCCCCTGATCTGCGTAAGTGGTGTGGCTCGCTTATTCGGTTCCTATCACAAAGTTGGCAGATGTCTGTGATCCGTAAGGAGAGGAAGACACAGCCATGGGTCCAGTTGTCTGTTGACGTCTCTGCCATGGATCAAAAACTGCAGAAACTCCAGTTAAACACAATGATCGAGAGCTATGAAGCCTGGAAAGATACGAGGAGGAAAATGTTTGCAAAAAATGGAGACTACTGGTGAAGCAGGACCACGATCAGGGAGTCGGGACTTCCAGGTAGCGAGAACAGAGACTTGAAAGGTGCGACAAAGCAACTTATTGGCCGTGTCTTCAGCTTTCTCAGACACGTATTGTTGCAGCGACTCTCAGCTGCGCCTCCAATAAAATACTGCGGTTGAACTTCGAGCCTGATGTCCTCGTGTGCGACGAGTCTGGCCAATGCTTGGAGGGGGACTACATGATCGCCATGACCCTGGCAAGCCTCAAAGCTGTCATTTTGATTGGTGACCACAAACAGCTCTCATCGACAGTTATCTCCAAGTCGACTGGAAATGAGATCGCCCGTTATCTAGAACGCTCACTCTTGAGTCGACTGTACAAACTACCGCTGCCATCCTTCCATTATGGAATTGTTCAACAAAGTAGTTAACAGGGGCTCGTTTGTCGCAAAGCTCCGGAATGATGACATAGAGCGGATTAGTCATGTCTGGGATGAGTTTACCCAAAGCCGGCACTACTTCACGGCACAGGGCGTCGCGGGAGTCCGACGAATGTTCGTTAGCGTGTCTGGGACTGCGGAGAAAAGGACAGGGAAACCGTTTAGGTCAATCGCCATCAAGTACGGGTTCTGGTCGATATGCTGCAAAGTCTTTATAAATTCCGAGCTCCTTCTGGTGACAAGGTGAACCCCGAAGACATAATGGTCATCGCTCCCTACCGCGGCAGCGGAACCTGGTCAAAGATTCCCTCCGTGATCAGCGCCTGGTATGGAAAGATGTCCACATCATCAATGCAGTGCAGAGTCAAGAAGCTCCGATAGTGTTCCTGCTGATGACAAAACCTAGCGAGAACCCCAAGAGCTTGGGTTTCAACGCTGACCGTAACCGACTCAATTTGCCGTTAGTCGGGCTCAAAGAGTCTTTGTCATTATTGGGAGCCTTAAAGATGGGACCGAAGGATGGTATCGAAGGATGGGACCGCCAAGTTCATGACTGGATGATGAGACGTCGTTTTGAAGGGTAACGTGTTGACGTATTTTAACACCAACACGGTTGCTCGAACAGCTAGCACGCAGAGGGATCAAGAGGCTGCATCATACTCTAGCAGCCGGTCCGCTTTTTCGATTTTCGCCCAAGCTACCAGCTCATCTAGCTGCTCAAGCAGCTTAGTGCTCAGATTCGTACTGCCCCGATAAGGAGATCAGTATGCCTCCTCACGCTACGACCCTCTCCACGCCATCCCTCAAGTAACTTACGGCAGTCCTCAAAACCATCAAATGAAAGCTTGATACACCTAACTCCATACGCAAGCCATCTTCGGCAGAGTTTACGTCCTGAGTGGGTAGATCGTACGGAGCCAAACTTGCTGCTCCACTTGTCGCAGTTGCAGGTGACAATCCATACCCAGGAAGCGCAACAAGCAGCCGCAGAAGCAAACAGGGTCCAAGCTGAGCATGATTATACGGAAGGTTGCTTGGAAATGTCCCGCCAATATTGACAGAGCCATCGCGAGCGGTCGCGAAGTACGCGTAAGTACCGCGAGTACCGCAAAAGCCCCTCCGCCAGTTGATCTCCTCCCGAGCGTTTTGGGGTAAGCTTTATGACCTCCCATCCCAGCAGCAATTCTAATGTGGCCAGAACTAGCAAATTCCTGATACCCCTGCATGTACTTCAGTCGGACCCCTGGCCCTTCAGGTTTCGACGTCTTTTGTCTTATAAAGTGACAGTACTATCACCTTCGCAGCCAATTGATTTGTTCTTATGCTTCTCATTCGATGTGATGAACTTAAATAGGCTCAGAGCTTAGATCAATTATCATAACGGCTAAAGGATAAAGTACTATGGAGTAACTAGTAGGCCAGTACTCATGAGTCATGACGCTGCACCTAATTGTCTATGAGCAAAGCAAAGGAACGAGCTTTAGACGAATATTTCTGTAATATAGATCCAATAATAGAGAACCTACAGTACACATTGGGTGTTATCCACTAGCAGCTTGATAAAGCATAGCTGTTTATTACCCTTCTTCAAACAATAAGGATTCGTGAAGTCACATTCCGATTTCCATTTAGTCTGAACCTATTTTGGAAAGGTTCGATATGTGATTAGTCGATTACAATCAATCACAATTGTTTCCCAATACCTTTGAGGAGCAGGACCGATCTGCGAAGGAATCTGGCAATACGACCCAACGTTGCTTTTTGCGCAAATTCTCAAATTGAAGGCGCGTGGGTACCTGCTCAAGGTCAAACAGGCTAGTTAGCCTCTCAGGGATTCCAAACAAATTATCCCCGAGGAGACACCGCTAACCTCGGCATTCTTTTAACGGGCCCCCTGAATGGTAGAAGTTACAGTTTCTCAGGTAAAACAATTAAAGATGTTGACTTTTTATTATGGGGGACCTGAAAAAATAACAACGCAGCTTAAACCGACCTGTACTGTGCATACGGGCTTTGTTTGCGCAAGCACCCTTTGCCCAGTCCAGCGTCATACATACTGTATGTACAATGTACTAGTTATGCATGCTCATCAGGCCTGTCAACCAACTAAATCGTTCCGGTCGACGCTCCAGGGCTGCAGGCGGGAGGCTCTGGCCACTCGCTGTCGTTTTCAGCCCTCCATCATCACCTCCCCTTCGCCAGAGTACATATTTCACCCTGGTCCGAATCCTCGTTTTTTTCTTGAAAAGGGTCGGAAATGGTGTGCAGAAAGGAAAGCCCTATCTGGGTGAACATCACGAATAGGGCCTGGCTCAACGGTGAGGAGGGGAAGCGAATTTGAGAGTCATCAGGTAGTCCTGGTAGGAATCGGCTATATGTCAAGATGTCAGATCACATTTGCTTATGACATTGGGCGCACATCTTGCAGCAAGCACCGGCAGGGAACTTTGTCTCTCTTAGCTCCTTGCTGCCTTCCGAAACTTACTTACCTGACTTATGGTGTTCCATTCTGTTCTTGCATTCCTCCCACATCCTCTCCGCATCCCATCCCTCCCACGCACCCCGAGTTGTTCCACACAGTATCCAAGTCATCAAGACCAGCATTCGACGGACCCTGATCCAATTCTGATCTGACGTGAAACCTTTCTCCATTAGGTTGTTCACGAAGGACTCACGATCTGCGTCGACGGCCATTCCGACGCTGCGAATCAACTCCTTTTCCCAGATTGTTGCGAAACGGGACCTACCCAAGTCCTCCAAGGACTCAGATACCACATGAGACTCATGAGTGGCAACATCTGCGTTTGTGAGAGAATGAGTCATTTACAGAATATTGAAAGGAAGGCCGAAATATGGCTCACCTACTCAGGCTTGCTGTCCGGCCGGCAACAGGGGCAACATTCTCAACTCGCCTAGCTCTCTGGATCTCTGACATGTCTCAGGGGTAGACGCCGACTTGCAGGACCGTTGCTACTGTGCGGGATCGAACTGCCAATGGAAAGTGAATGGAACAGAATCGATTGATATCGACGATCTGGAGATGCTCCCGCGGAATTTAATATCCTTCGCTATTCTCGAGCAAGAATGGTTGAGATTTCTTTGACTCGGAGATTATGTACCGCCTGAAAAGGTACTTTTTGATCTATCATCCACCAGGCAACGGCTCCATCTGCGGTAAATCTGCCTGGGTCGTGGTGTTCAATGCTGCACATGCTCCTTGAGGCCAAAAAAAGACTTGTTTCTCAGCTACAGATACTAACCAACCTGCGTTGGATATGCTTGAAAAAAAAAGCTTTTGTTCTGGCTCTTCTTTGACGACACAATCGTCTTGTTGGGCCTCCCCTTTGTTCGACCGACTGGATTCAGTACTGCCGTGGTTGGTTCTTCATACCAGACCGCACTGTATCCACGGTCTCGTATTGGTCCTCAGCGCCAGGGATGGTACGAGAGTTTCGTCTCGGGTGTGTGACCTATCGATTCTTGGCCTCAACATCGATTCATACAGAAATGAACCTTTGAAATGAGGGGATTTTTAATTATCTAGCGATTCATATCTATTGATATTTTTCGATCATTCCACCGCCTATTTTGTTTTGATACTAAGTAGCACAAGTTGAGAAAAGTTGGCTCGGCCAAAATTGGTGATCAAACCTACAGCGAAGAAATGAGATGGCTACTAGTTGCTAGTGAACAGGGATTATGACAAATTTCAGAATCAACCCTCTTCAGCTCAATCTGGCCCCCAAATCAGTGAAAAACAGGATAAAGCAAAACAATGCCAAAACTTTTAAGTCCCTCTCCCTCATCCAACACCCGTCTACCCTTGTTCAATACGATCTGCGGCCCAATTGAGCGGAGTCTGTGATTTCTTCAATGAAACGATGAACAACATCCATCTCATTAAGCACATCTCTTGCCATGCGTTTATTCGACACCAAAAATGCCAATTTTATTGGTCGCTGATCATGTCGACTCAGCCATCTCCACAGCCGATCAATACGGGTCTTATCTGCGCCAGCCAGCTCATGATCTTCCTTTAATGACTCCTGCTGCTTTATATCCACCATCCAGTGGAGATGACCTTTAAGCTCTTTCTCAAATGGAAATTTGAGAAGCCTGCTCTGCCATTCCCGACTTGGATAAAGAAGTCTCATCCACAGGAATGCGCTCATTATTGCCCTTAACTTTTCGGTAGGCGTGATTGTTTCAGTAGTAGTGCACTCAATGGTCGCATTATTCCTTCCAATCATCATTTCATCGACGAGATAAAAACCAAGATCAAAGTCGATGCCCTCATAGTCTCGTGCAACTTCGTAGTAATTTTCACGATGAGTGTCTTTGGAGAAATGATTTCTAATGAAACCATCCAAGAATTTCTCCAACGCGGCTTGACTATTGATATTGATCGATTGAAAAAAGTATATCAAGAGTTCTGTTGATGGTCCAGCATGGCTGTGGTCGAGCTTTTCAGACCGTAGATATTTCTTGAAATACCAAGCAGCATCGTTGGGGCTCCTGAAAACCTGATCTCTCTTGGCTTGTTTGTGGAACTGGTGCTCTCGCAGCTTACATGAATCCATCGCTAGGCTTTTCAAAACAGAATCAAGATGCTGTAAGGAGACCTCGCGATCTGAATTCCGTGATGCTTCCAGGTGCTCCGAATTTCTATCGAATCTGGCCCATACATCCTCCACGAAATCGGTCACTTGAATGTAGATTTTGGTTGCATTGGCCTTGGATGTGGATTCTGAATCATTCTCGAAGAATGCCGTCTGTGTAAGGCGATAGTTTATGGTAGCTCTTGGGAGTCTTCCTGCATCTGGTCGCTCCTTCAGAAATCCCATGAATCCCGGGATTGAATTGAGTTCTTGTACGAAGAATGCTCTTTTCCAAATTTCTTTGATTTTGTGGTGATCTTCCATGCGATATATCACGATTCGAAGATCGAAAGAGTCGGGATGCAGCTGGCCAACCCCTTGGGCTGGTGTATGTTGCTCCACCATAGGGCTCTCGGTAAAATGCGGTATGCCATGATTGAGCAAAATCTGACGGCAGACGCTCTCTGGTGATCCCGGCCGGATGACGAACGACTGCATGTCGAGATGAGGATCGTCAAAGGAGAGGAGACTTGAAATGGGTCTCGCTGTGTTACCCATTATGATGTCTGGACTCATTCCGCAGAAGACCACAGGCAAGAAGAAGTCAAAAAAGCCCGATTGAAAATGAAGAAAGCTCCAGGCGTGAGAACCTGAATTCGTGGATTTGCGAGAATGAATATTTTCACAAACAATCTCATTTCTCCGGAACTAGAGGAGAATATTTATAGACTTCCTTCCACAATGAACACAGAGCCCGATTTCTAGGAAGTAAAAAAGCCCAAGCCATCTTCACAGCGAAAAGAAAGTCGGTATGGCTGTGAGGTTGTCAAGGGCAGGGGTTGCATGAAAATTTTCACGATGGTGTGAAGGAGAGCAAGGGTTATCAGATGAATCGGTGAAGGAACAAGAGGGTGGCGATTCGCTATGGAGCACGTTCGTATGTTTGCCCGGGCGACGGGAGTGCAGGTGAGCCGTAGACAATGACATGCTTTGGGGCCCAAGATATGTAGCCTCGATCTTTCAGCGGGCTCATGCGTGAATTTAGTGGTAGGGGCTGCACCACTAGCGCTGAGTCTGGAGAGTATGGCATCTCTGATTTGCCGATGACACTGCATGAACCGATGCCCGCACCCAAAACTGGAAACCACCCTTGTCACTACCCAAGATTATGGTGTGAACGATCAAACAGTTTGGGAGAGTCGATGAACTGTGGATCCATAGGACTTTTGAGATGTGATAGATCTTTTGATGTTCAATACTTTAATTTTTATATGCAGATTCAAAGCATAAATGTGCATTCGATCTATAAAAGTAAATAAATATTGGGTAAAGCCTTTGGGGCTCCAGGGTCCCCTGAAAAAGACGCAATTCCCAAGAAGCGGGGGAAATGGCCCTCCCTGTCAAACATGGCCATACCTCGATTTGCAGTGGATAATTCTCTTATTCGCGACGGCCCGAGCCTACTGCACCGCGCCACGCGACACCGTCCTGATGGACATGACTTTGCACCCAATAGAGTGTGATGCCGTGCATACAATCATAGACTGAGCGTTCTCTGATAGGACTGAGGAAAGGACCAGGCGGCTCCTGTTTGATAAAATAGGTTTTCTTCGTGCCATGCCCTACGTGAACTGGGCACCCACGTCTCATACCTGCAAAGAAAACCGGTTCAGCGGACAGGAGTTATCCAATAGATGGTATTTATCGGGTGCGTAGCTCCGCATAGTTGCATCAGTACATGCCAGATGTAGCTGGCGCAAAGGATCAGAATTTTCACTCTGTAGTGGCATAGTGACCATCTGGCCAAAGCCAACCTATCAAGGATACCATCGGGTAAAGCGCCAGCCACCTGTTCGCGCTAAGTACCCAAGGCCTGGGCGGCTGGCACATAAAATATCGAAGAGCCGCTCACCGCTTGACTACATTCAATAAATTTGAAGCCCTGAAGTGTCGTTACTTTAGATAAATGAGGCTCCAACATTTCAATATAGACCACCCTAGCCCGAACTTGAATATATCGCTAAGCCAGCTATTGAGTTGAGAGGCTGAGACTCGGAGTGAACTTACCCTCAGGCTGCAAAGGGCTGAAATGTTGAATATTGGGTGATTTCGTAACAAAAGATGAGCAGTTATAGCTGGAGGTGACCGTAGTATAGGCCAGGGACTAAAGGCAAAAGTAACTAAGCAGTGACAGAGGTCGAATATCATGGATGAACGACTTTTCCAAAACAACTCTCTTGGACTGCCGATTCACGAGCCTGAAACGCCTGAAAGCTGAGTAACTGAAAGCTTCTTACTTGCAAATCGAAGCGAAGATAGATTAGGAACAATCTAAGATGTGGTATCTACTTAAAGTGTAAGATGAATCCCATTCTAGGCTCCATATTTAAGTTAGCTGACAAGGACGAGGTTCAAAAAGTTGGTATACTCATGGCTAAAATTTTTCTCAGACGCGAGTCAGTTATGCAGTATTTGAATACATCAATTACCAACGGGGCAAAGAAAATGCACCATATATGATCCTAGCAGTCAAGCTCAACGGCAGCATCAACGAGATTGATGTTGAGGCCAGCCTGTCTCAGGCGATGCTGTGCCTTTTATCGAAATAACTTCAAGGTTGTCTTCTTTTCTCAATCTATAACCACCGCCATCTGCACTATCGGCATCATCTATCCGTGACATATTTCCATGCATATCCATCCCCATTCCAAGGTTACCCCTCAACGATTGTGAAGATGCTTGACGGTTCAGTCATCACTTTGATTTTGATAAAGAAAAATGACATGCAAACCCCAGATACTTGAGCTTAGTTTATCTTGCTATATATCAGATTAGCATGCAAGATATTCCGACCGCAAATACTCGTACATGAATGTGGATTTAGACAAGAAGTCAGGGTCTAATCTAGGCTGCCGCCATTGACCCACCGCTCCCGAGATCGTTTTAACTTCTCAGAACATTGACCTTCCTCACACTCCTCCAGCATCCATCTGACCATGGGCAAAGTACTTTCTAAAGTATACGATGAGGCTTTCAAGATACGAGCACTCATATCCGAGATACTCACAACGAAACAATGTTTTGACGATCTCGTCTCTCGGGTCTCCGCCGTAACATTCCCAGTGACAAACCCCACCTCCTCATTTTGGCAAAATGACCCAGTATTCCCGGAACTGGTGAACATGCAATCTGAGAATCTCCCAGAGACCGCTGACATTGTCATTATTGGGTCAGGGATATCCGGTGCCAGTGTGGCATACTCGATTCTCAATGGAGTCCAGAATCAAGGGAAAGCTAAGCAGCCCCTAAGGATAGTCATGATCGAAGCCAGGGAAACGTGCAGTGGTGCAACCGGAAGAAACGGAGGACATATCAAATGCGCTGCGTATTTGGAATATTCTTCTCTAAAGTCGAGATATGGAATCGATAGCGCAAAGAAAATATTGCAATTTCAGAGGCGACATATGCCCATCTTACTTGATATGATACAGCAGATGGGCTTGGATTCTGCAGAGGCGAAGGATGTTGAAACAGTGGATATATTTACCGACGAGAAAGTATGGAATGAGGCGAAGCTGATGGTGCAAGAATTAAGGGACGATTTTCCCGACGCGGCTGAAGACATTGTGGTTCATGATGGTTCGAGTGGTTGTGAGGTAAGTCGCACCCCCTTCCTCTTCCAATCACATACTAAAAGCGTTTAGCAATATAATGTTGATCCTCAGCACTGCTATGGAATTATGTCGTATCGTGCAGCAGCTCTTTCGCCATATCGCTTCATTACCGCTCTCTACGCATCTCTTCTTGCATCATTTCCTTCCGACTTTTCTATCGAGACTAAAACTCTCGCGACTGATATACGAATTGACTCCAAAGACTCTGGCCGGCCCTTCGTGGTCACCACACCGCGCGGAAACATCAATGCAACCCATGTTGTGCATGCCACGGACGCATTTGCAGCGAATCTCATCCCAGGGCTAAAAGGAAAGCTCTTCCCATTACGAGGACACATGACCGCTCAAAGTCCAGGAACGCATTTTGCAAAGCTTGCAGGTTCTAGATCATGGTGTTTTCATCACAAGCGTGGCTTCGACTACATCAGCCAACGACCCGGTGAAGGCGAGCTTATGGTCGGCGGTGGAGTAATTCAGTCACAGGATAAGGGAATAGATGAGTTTGGAATCTGGAGAGATGATCAAATCAGTTATCCTGTTCTTGCGTATCTGAATGGCCTGATGCCCACGATCTTCGGTACCAATATTTGGGGGGTCGATGAAGCTCCCAGGGCGAAGCAAGCGTGGACTGGGTGTATGGGGTTTACGCCAGATCTTTTACCTTTTGTTGGGAAGCTGGAGGATGGTCTCACCCAACGGAAACTAGAATTCCCGTCAGAAAAAGACGATAACAAGGAAGCTGCGGAGTGGATTTCAGCGGGATTTCAAGGAGAGGGGATGGTTATGGCGTGGTTGTCGGGTGTTGCCGTGGGCATGATGATTATTGGGGACGAAGAAGGCGGATTTCTGGAATGTCCAGGGATACCCGAAGGGAATGTTCAGGATTGGTTGCCTCGAGAGTTCGTTTGTTCTAAACAAAGGGTGGACAAGTTGAGTCTCACAGATATGGCAACGCTTCTGTAGAATGGATTTTGCTTTAAACAATATCGCCAAAAGCGGACTTTTTCGGCATCTTTTGCACGTATTCTCGGATGGGTTAGTCATAAAGTCTTGTTACAAGTTACAAGTTAAGTTTTCTACGATGAGGTAGTTTGGAAATTTCAAGGTTTGAAATAGAGATTTAAAATAATATTTGGAAAATATTTTACGCCATACATTAGTAGTGTCTTGAAAGGCTCAAATCAGCCAGCCTCCCCAAAGAGAAACAAGCTAAAGGAAAGGGAAATAAGCAAACAAGTAAAGAAATTAGATAGTATGAAACATAAGAGCACCTTCACTTCGTGATAATCATGATAGTTGTAGACAAGAAAAGACTTTTCGTTATATGCAATGTCTTTAGATGGTAAGAGGTCGAGACCGAGTCAAAAGACATGATCCGATCTCTACTCATCATAGAGATCCATGTTACCAGTGTCATCCTCCATATCAGCGGCAGATGAGTCAGAGTCAGAATCAGTCATGGATTCATCTCCGTCACTATCGGTGGGAGTATGGTGATTAGGCAAGACGTCCAGGTGGCCATTGCGAAGGACAACACGAGCCTGCTCGCCATCCCGGATACTGCCACGGAGGATAAGAACAGCAAGGCGATTGAGGACTTCGCGCTCGATGAGACGCTGCAAGGGTCGGGCACCATAAGCTGGCGAGTAACCCGCCTCCCCGAGGTAATCCTTGACTTCATCGGTGCAGTAGATTTCGACATTGCGGCCGTTGTGCTCGAGGCGTTTCTGGACCTCGTTGAGACGGAGGTCGACGATCTTGCGGATCTCCTTCCGGGTGAGACGATTGAAAATGACGGTGCTGGAGATACGGTTGAGGAATTCCGGCAGGAAGTAGTTGCGGAGTGCGCCCATGACCATCTCGCGGGTTTGCGGGTCGATTGAG